CAGGACGGAACAAGATTGGCTATGTCACTTCAGGCGGGGAGACAATCGCCGCCGTCACCAGGAACGGTGACGTCTTCACCATGCAGCTGAACCAGAAAGCTGAAGCTCACCAGATGGCTTCGACAACGAACCCCACCAAGATAAAAGGCGCGCTCAGTCAGCCCCAGTGCATCTGGGACTCACGCAAGGATGGGGCCATGTCTGTCAATGTTGGTGAGCACGGTTCCGTGATCATTTGCACAGAATCCGGTGCTGTGTGGAAGCGAGTGAAGCGCAACAAGGGAAAGGGCGCAACTTTCGCAGGGAGTGAGCTGCGAAAGAACGATTTCAAATTTGAGCGTGTGCCGTATATTACAGATTGTGTTTCGACTCGCAGCTCAACCTTTGGGGCCTTTGCGGCGATAAGGAAGGATAGTAAAGTCATGACGGAACAGATCAAAGTTCAGGAGAAGTCCTTATGGCGCGACATTGCTTCACTACTCGGCCTGGACGACTTCAAGGCCGGGCTGATCGATCTTAGCGCACACCGGCCATGGGATGGCTCCAGCAGCTGGGAACTGCCTCCCACTTTCCTCAAACCTGAAGCATTCGAGAACACCTTTGCTCAGTGGCTACGGGGCAACGCGCGCCGCCACGAGGACGCGGATATGTTTGTCGAGAGCACTTCAGTACCAAACCTTCGAGTTCCCGCTCATAGCTTCGTCTTCGCCGGCAGAAGCTCGACTCTACGCCAAGCCTTTGCAGCATATCGGAACGATAGTGTCCAAACAGAGCCTGACTGCTTTGTTCTCGAAGAAGCCGAGGGCAAGCTTGTGCTCAGACTCTTCAACACTGACTTCTTGACTTTGCTCAACCTTGTCACTTTTGCTTACCAAGACGCCATGGTGCCCGTGTGGCGCTACACGCGCGAGGCTCCTGCATATGCGTTCCATTTCAGACAGGTCCGCACAGAAGTGATGAAGTTGGCCACAAAACTCGACCTGACGCAACTTGAAGCTGCCGCAAGACTGCAGCGTTCAATGGAGCGCTCGCTCGACACCGATTTACGAGTTGCTACTGAAGACCCGCTGTTCTATGAAGACGCAGACGTCGTACTTGAGCTAGATGGTGACGAGGTTCCTGCTCACAGTTCATTACTCTGTCAGCGATGCCCCTTTTTCGAAGGCATGTTCAACGGAAGATCCCAAGGCGGATGGCTTGCCGGGCGTCGAGACCAGCTCGGATCTGAGCACAAAGTTCGGGTCGACCTCGCGCACGTAAACCCCGACACGTTCTACTACGTGCTCCAGCATATATACTGCGACGCAGGTTCCGAGATGTTCGACGAAGTCGCTGCTGGCGATATTGATGACTTTTCTGAGCTCATTCTGGATGTCATGAGTGTCGCGAACGAGCTGATGCTCGATCGTCTGTCGCAGACATGCCAGTCCATCATTGGCAAATTTGTCACAACTCGCAACATTGCGAACCTGCTCAACGAGATCAGTCCCTGTGTGGTAACGGACTTCAAAGACACAGGCCTTGAGTACATCTGTCTCCAGCTTGAATCGATGCTGGAGAATCATCTGCTTGAAGACCTCGACGAAGACCTCGTGCACGAGCTCGATGAGATTGTCCGGGAGAACCAACTCGCTCGTCTCCCCATTGGTCGAAGTGGTCGCGCTGAGCTGGTTCTCCTTGACAAGTACCCTGAGCTGGTGACCGAAATAGAAGAGGAACGCCGTATCCGCATCAAGGAACTCGCATACAGGGCAATTCAGAAGGAAGATGATAGGAAGGTATCATCGTCTGTCAAGAGTCCCAGCCTGCGGCCTAAGAGTTCAATGGCCGACATGATCTTCGATATGGACGAGGACAGAGCACCTGGCAGGCCTGCCGCATCTCCCATGATTTCGGGGTCGTTGGACAATTTCGACCTGGATACGGGGCATGTATCCCAGCTTCCTAGGTCCTGGCAACAGGCCAGAGACAGGGCCACGCAGAGCCCATTTGACACAACACCGTTGGGAGTTTCACCTTTATCTGCTGCCAGATCGCCTCCAAACGCCGGCGGGAAGCCTTGGGCATCAGCTGCCCAGCCGATGCCGAAGCTTGGGTTGAAGGATATTCTGTCGGAAGTGAAGCCAGCCTCAGCGCTGAGTGAAGGCTTGGCTGGTCAGGCTAAGGCCCCCCCTGTCCCGACCGATAAGCTGTCGAACAATGCGGCCGCGCCCAAGCTGTCACAGAAGGAGCGGAAGAAACAGATGCAATTACAGGCAGCAGCTGAAGCAGCCGAGAAAAACGTCAAGTCACAGCAAGTGCCCTGGGAAACAGTGTCCTCGGGCAGCAAGCCTGCCATGGCTCCTTGGAAGGCAGGGGTACCTGCTTCCAAGACGTCCATGAAGGATGCAATGTCGGCGGAATCTGCCGCCAAGGAGGCTGTTGCTGCGAGCGCGAAGCCGTTGATTGCATCGGAAGCTAGTCCAGCATCGTCCAGATCCAAAGTGCGAAATGCATCGCCAGACACTCGATTCTCGGGTCAAGGTCGCACCAGTAGCTCACCCGTCGTCCCATCCGCTTCCACCGCCCAGCGGAAGGAGACGCCATTAGTACCTCACTCCAAGTCCTACATGACTCCAGCTCGGAAGACGGAGGACTTTCTGGGCGCCAGCATGTCCGATATCATTGGCCAGCAGGCACGTGAGCAACAGAAGGCCAAAGAAGCTGTTGCGAAGCGGTCTTTGCAAGAGATACAGCAGGAACAGGAGTTCCAAGCGTGGTGGGATCAAGAGAGCCGTCGCGCACAAGAAGAGGAGGCTCGGAGGCTCAATAAGGGCCCCGGAAAGGAGCAAGGCGATAAACCGGCTCCACGTGGCCGAAGAGGGAGGAGCCACAGGCCAAAGGGCAAGTCTGAGGTGGCTGAAATCGCAGCGCATGTGGGAAATGGCACTGCTTCGGGGGCCAACCGAGGCGCAAGAGGCACAAGAGGCAGAGGACGCAAGGCCTGAGATGGTACGCTCGTTTCTTTGCTGGTCTGAGTATTCCTTCCGGTCCCCATTGCGATATCCCGTGGTGGACCGTTTGTTTGTATAAATAGAGCACAGTCATATATGGGTTCGAAAGCTCAATCGCTACGGTGTTGCCATATTACGGATAAAGAGTGGGAAGGTTTACGAGTCTACAATCGTACAATGGGGAAAGGCAAACGCTGCGAGAGTATACGATAATGAGATACTCATTGACTAGGATCGTTAGCTCCTCCATCTCAGCCTCTGACACCAAATACCCGTTACGTCTAGTTACTATCTACGGATACAGTATTTCCCAAAGCGGAATCCGGGTTGATCACCAGGCCCAGGCACATGGTGTTGCATCAGGATTCCCCCCTCACTGCGCTGATGATAAGCCACTGTCACAAGTCGGCTTATCACGATGCGGGGAGCTAACACGGACGGGGTGTGACTCGTTAACGAGTACTCCTTCATCGGTTTTCATGTTGGTTGTGGGCAGGGGAGTCAAACCTCCTTTGTATATTTTCATTCTGCGGCGCAGAATTTTAATGGACCTGCATGAGGATGAACGCTTCATCTATCAAGGTGCCTGGCCCACCTGGCTGGCTGCCTGCCAGCTTGCGCGTGTTGGTACGTACTGTATGTTGCCTGCCTGACTGGAGCAGTGCCTGCCTATCGGATCACGACATGGTGGTCGCCGCGACGAAAGTGAACATCATGAAACATTGTTGGCCACCTTGCTATGGATGACTCTTCGAGTCTAGACGCTTGATGAGCTGCGGACTGCCGTAGGCAACAACAAGCCGGGACCAACGGTGTCTTCGTCTGATTTTGGAGGCAGCAGGATCACTAATTATCTCACGTCACTGACCCAAAGTTTGGTGTGAACATGTTCAGTTAAATATGTCGGTATTCGTTATCTTATCTCCACTCTCCATGATGTGGATGCCGATCGCAAACGAGGAAACGAGGCAGATCGACGGTTGCGCCGATGCTGCTAGAACAAATGGTCTTCAACCCAAAGAACTTTGGACTAAGGAATTCCAGAACATGAGATGAATACATTAGAAAGACGTTGTTTGGCTTGTGGGCGAAGAAGTGAATAAATAGTACCTTAGGTCACGCCGATGACGAAAGGCGTCATTGTCTCCGGTATCGTCATGGCCGTCACGGGACTGCAGGAACGAGACCGCCTCAACCCCTTGGGCGGGTGAACGACCTCTCGATTCCATGTCCTATTTCAACCAACTCCTAACTCAGGCAGCAGCTGTACAAGTTATCGCTCTCGCCAGGCACATACCCGCAAAGTGTATTGGGCTGCAAGTTGTGGTGAATGCATGGTTGAGTCAGTCGGTCACCCCGTGTCAAGGTTCAGGTACCTTACCCTCTGCTGGCGCGCGCGACTGGACCCAAGTCACTTCGCCGACAGCTGCATGTCGTCCACCACCACCACCACCACCACCACCACCTCCGCGACGCACCTTTGGCGACTGGACTCAACAGCTCCAACACACCAGACCGCCCTCTTGACTCCCGCTTCATCGAGATTCCTTTCTCCCCAATCTTGCATTGCCTCTCCAGTCCACACACTACGAGCCTCATCCTCCCACTGGCATCGCGGTGTGTGTAATTGTCCCTACCATCTTGCTAGGCACACCTCTATCGAGACGAAGATAAGCTGCCACCAACGATGGAACAGCACGTCCGCTCCACGGACGAAAAGACGACAATAGCAACTGCTTGATCTAGAAACTGCCCTTCGAAAAACATAACGAGAGCATACGTACATATCATATACACCAAAAGGGGGCCATGCATCAGCAGCCCCGAGCGCCTCCGAGGACGGCCTCGCCGGCCTCATCACCCCAAACGAACCCAGCTCGGACGAACAACCCGCGGCAAGCAGATGAAGAGACCAGCTTGGTGACGAGGGCAAGGGCGGGTTCGAACGCTTCCAGGGGAGGGGACTCCCTCTCATCCCCTTCGCCGACCGCCGATCACGCACTGGCGATGCCGGGGCCGCCTGTTGAAAGCGTCAAGAAGCTGGACCAGATTGTTCAGGTTCGTTTAATCGCACAATGCGTTTTCATAATGAAGGTGTGCTAACGTGAGCAGAACTTCTTCAATAAGGTTGCTGTACTGGTGCTGGATTCAAGGATCAAGACAAAGCCGACAAGGACTGCGAATGGCGTCAAGAAGCCTAACAAATGGGTGAGTCCATACTGCATCGTACCGCCTGATTGATCTCTGACAGAAGCCAGTTCCAACTCGAAACAGACGAGATTGACGATTTCCGGGACGAGCTCAAAACATGGAAGCTGAGCGGGAGCATCGACAGCAGGCCACCTCCTCTAATAATCGAAGTGTACCTCGACACATCGCGGCTGGAGAGCAGTCAGAGCCTGACCATTGTGGATGAAGAGGGAAAGAGATGGGATGTCATGGAGCAGCTCAGCGAGGTGAGCGCAAACGGCACCACAACAAGGAACACGCAGGTCATCCTCGAGCGGTGGAAGGTGGAGCTCAGGGCGACAGACAACCCACCGTCGGATGACTTTGGTCCATCGCTGCCGACCATCTACAAGAAAGCGATCGTCTTCTTCCGATCCTTCTTTGCGGCTTCGAGACTACTACCAGCATGGCGCTTTGCCAGCCAGGGCGCAGCCCGCAATCCGCATCCAGCATTGATCCCGCGTTGTCGGATACGGACATCGGAGCCACGCAGTACAGGCACTGACTTGCTGAGATCGCCAATCGATGGAAAGTCTGACGCAACGACGGATTATTTGTTTGGCGACCTGGACATACCAGTGGGTCGGATGGCGGTGGCGGTCACCTACAGGAATGACTGTAGTTTTCGAATCGACGACTCCGAGGCACTGCTGAGCTCGCGATTCATGGGGGTTGATGAAAACTTCTTCAAGCCTTCGTTACAACAACATCAACCTGACCGATCGCGGAGCCACGTGGCCGAAGTTGGCTCTTTGCGTGATCGACGACAAGAACGAGGTATTGGCAACGTGCAGCAAACGTACGGTAGCTTGTCAACTTTCCACGGCGATGCAGCTCTGGGAACCAGCCCATTGACAGCCCTCAAATCTATTCGACCGCCTGGCTCAGACACAAGCTCACCGCCGGCGTCCTTTCCAAAGCACTCGGACATCCACCCACCGAGTTCTCTGCCAATGGCCAGCCGGGTACCATCTGCCAGACCATCTATGAGAAGTGATGACAATACAGGTCGCCGGCCATCCGTGTCTTTCCAGCCTTTCAAGGCAGGGTCGCTGTCGGGGTCTCCTATCCCCCGTACCACAGAGTCTGATACCTCAAACTCACCAAGCTCATATCAAAAGCCGCCATCGTTGTCGCAGCCGCGAAGTAGAACTTCTTTGACTGCGGGCAATCCTGCTTCATTGAGGGGCGGGCCGCCGACTCCTCAACCTGCCGAGCCTGCCGGTGGGAGCTCGCCTAGGCCCAGCTCGACGAGTCGCTACAGCAGCAGCTTCACCCACCGACGCGGTCGGCTGTCCGTCGGCGGAGCGAGTAGGACCGCAGACGACGAGCAGAACAGCAGTGGCAGGCAGAGTCTGGCATCCTCACTCGCCCAACCCGGCTCGGGACTTTTGGCTGAGCCTGGCGCGAGCTCTGGCTCCTTGGGCGCCGAGGAAGATAACATCTCCGAGTTCCTCAAGGCGCTTGACAGCAAGAAGACACTCAAGAGTTTCGACTCGCCCAAACGCGGCGAGTCTGCCACGAACAAGACGGTGGCTCAACTGTCAAAGTTCCACATGATGAGAGAATCCAACAACGCTCTGACCGAGTCCATGACCTCGTCGGTCCAGATGCAGAGGTCTCTGAGCTCCTCGAGCCGCCACATGACGAGTAATCCCGGCATGGTCGCTGGTTCCATCTCAGCGTCCTCTTCCCCCAGCAAGCCGCACTCTCCGCATACGCCACACACGCCCGCCATCCCATCGCGACTCAGCGAGAACTCGCTCATAGATGACTCGTCGACCTCGAGGAGGGTGTCGTCTCGACGACCAGCCGCACCAGAGTCAACAGTACCTGAGTCGAGTCGGGAGAACACCATCACCGGGGAGGGCACTACTGCTATTGACATTCCGCTATCGCCGCGCTTGGGCTCTTACCAGCGACGTTCCAGCTCAGTTGCCCAGCAAAGCCGAGCAGTCATGGACGATGACACAGCTGATCTTCCTTTTGCAACCAACCGTAGCATCAGTCTAGGGGCCGACGACCGAGATCCGCCCACTATCAGTGGCCTGCTTGGCCGGCGGATGGACCAAGAGGCCGAGCAACAAGCTTTGCAGCCTGCTGCCGACATTCGCACGACCGAAACGTCTAATATCCTCAACCGACAAGATTCGAACGAGGACAACAACCCGCCGGACGCTTTCCTATCGGGGCTGCCCAACTCCCCGTATGGCCGCAAGCGATACATGGGCATGAGTGCGCAGAGGAATCGCCAGACCCCTCCACAGTCATCCCGTGGCAGTTTCACGGGTTCTGGCAGCAGGCCCGGGCGAGAAGATGCTGAGTCCCTCAGTGGAGAGCCGCTGATGTTCGACTTGTCCGAAATGGACCCTCAGGGGCGAAGAAGTCTGGAAGCAGACAGGGGAGGCAATTCGCGGAGGATGTGGTAAAGGCTTGCATATTGATATTGTCCCGTGCATATGGCGAAGATTGTACATCATTTTTGAGTTATTTAACTTGGGCGTTTGGAGAGCCGCGCAACTGGGTCCAGTCCTGTCTCTGCTGCCGATCGACGAATTTTTGTTAATGAAAGGGCGGGCGATGGGAGCCTACTGGATTGTGCGCATCACGCCACTCTCCTTTGGCCAATATCATAGCCACTAACGCTAGCGAGTGTATTACAGAAGACTACTTGAACAAATATATGTGGTTTGCTCTGACATAGACCAATGCGTAGGATGGCATGACGACTGCTGATGAGTCCTGGCTGAGGGGATGTGTGGCGGTGGGGAGGATGTTCGTCGTCCCGTCCTTGGCGTCTCCAGCAGCGACGGCGATAGTTACACATATGCCATGCAACAGGATCCGCAAAACAGACTGTAGTCTGGTCTGGGATATGGTCCAGTGTTCTCTTTCATCTATCATCTTCATCGAGCATCCTTCAAGTTCATATAGCAGCTGCGCCACAATACGAGGCTGATGTGGCGCGTGGCGCAGTACGTCATGGCGAAGAACGCCGTCGCAAGCTCAGCCCCACGCTCCGCACCTGATAGTGTCTGGACCTCGTTGGCTCATGACGAACTGCGCAGACTGTCCACGCTACCAACTTTAATGTTACATACCTTACTTGGCCAGCCTTCTTCTGCCTGACGACCGAAGCTGCAGGCTGCAATTTTCCCTGAACAACCCGACCATCACCTTCTAGCAGCGGGCGGCTCACGTTTTCTTGCTGCGAAACCGCGAAACGTCATCTTATTGAAGACCGTCCAGTCTCGCCCAACTTAGGTTACCATCCGAACGACGACTGCGACCAGCGAGCGAGCTATCAGCGCCATGTTCCGTGCGGCGGCCACCTCGCCCTACGACGATGTCGTCGGTGAGTAGCAGCTCTTGCGCGCACCGCGGGCACCCGCTAACGTCCACGCAGCCAAGGCGACTGACGAGAAGTCGACGTCCGAGGACTGGGGCGCCATCCTCGAGGTTTGCGACAAAGTCACCACCGATACGAACGGCCCCAAGGAAGTCGTCCAGAGCATGATCAGGCGACTTGCGCATCGCAATGCCAATGTGCAGCTCTACACACTTGAAGTACGTCTACTCTCAGGCTCAGCTCAGCAGAGTGGTTGAGAAACATGGCTAATGAGGTAGCTTGCTCACGCATTATGCCAAAACTGCGGCAAACCCGTCCACCGCGAGATCTCCTCCCACGCCTTCACCGACGCCCTCCTCAAGCTCGCAAACGATCGAAACACCCATTCCCAGGTCAAGGGCAAGATTTTGGAGAAGATGAAGGACTGGAGTGACATGTTCAGCAAAGACCAGGAGCTCGGCATCATGTACGACGCCTACTATCGTCTGAAGCAGAATAACCCCACCCTGCAACCGCCCAGCGCGCCTCAGAAGCAAGGACTCACGGCCACGGATCGCCAGAAGGAGGAGGACGAGCTGCAGATGGCGCTCAAGCTCAGCTTGCAAGAGGAGGAGAGGAAGAAGGCGCCGAGTGGCAGTGCACAGGCTGGCCCTAGTGGGCAGCAGCAGCAGCAACAAGGACAGCAGCAGGATCCCACGCCGGCGCCAGCGCCCCAAGGCACAACGGCAGCGACAGTAAGCAGGGTGCGTGCACTGTACGACTTTTCACCTTCAGAGCCTGGCGAATTGGAGTTCAAGAGGGGCGACGTCATTGCTGTGCTGGAGAGCGTTTACAAGGATTGGTGGCGTGGGTCGTTGAAGGGCAAAACGGGCATTTTCCCCCTCAACTATGTCGAGAAACTGACGGACCCGACGCCGGACGAGCTCCAACGCGAGGCACAGATGGAGGCTGAGGTGTTTGCCGAGATCAAGAACGTGGAGAAGCTCCTGACGCTGTTAAGCACGTCAAACTCGGCGCCACGAGAGGAGGACAACGAGGAGATTTCTGTACGTTGCCTGGCTGCTTGTCTTCCCCGTGGGTCCTCATACTGACTCCTTTTCTCAGAAGCTGTACCACCAGACATTAGCTATCCGGCCAAAGCTGATCAAGCTGATTGAGAAATACTCACAAAAGAAAGATGACTTTACGCAGCTCAACGAGAAATTCATCAAGGCACGTCGCGACTACGAAGCCCTCCTGGAGTCGTCCATGAGCCATCCACCTCAGCACAGCTATCAACAATATCCCGCATGGCCAGGAGCCCCTGGTCAGGGCTATCCCCAAGGTCCTGGGAGCCATCCTCAGCAGCAGGGCCATGGACCACCTCCAGGACACGGACAACATGATCCCCAAAGATTCTACACGCCTGGACCAAGCGGGCTCTCAGGCTCTCACCAAGCAGCATCGTCGCCACCGCCCAACTTTCCCCAGCAAGGCACCCCAGCCCCGTTCTACGTCGCCGGAGCCGAAGTCCCCACGTCGCACGGCCAGAGGCCCCCAGGCGTTCAGCAATACTCACCTCACGAGGACCCTGGCCACCAACCTCCCAGCGGACACCAGCACGCTACTCCTCACAACACCTCGTCGCCTCCCCCTCCCCAACAGTACAATACCTACGGTCAGCCTCCTGGCCCACAGTCCCCAGGCTTTCCCAAACAGCAAGGACGGCCGCAGAGCACCTACGGCGCCCAAGAACTCGCCACCTCAGTGTACGACTCTCCCATTGCCCCTCCCAACAATCTCCAGCCCACCAAGTCGTGGACCAACTCCGCCTACGCGCCCGACGACGACCAGAACCCTAGCGCGCCGCCGCCTCCGCAAAGCGGCTACGCTCCCCAGTACCAGCCCTACACGGCCCCGCCCCCGGACCATCCGCCGCCACCACCGGCTCCCGAGGGCATGGCTCCCCTGCCCCTTCAGCCCGGGGGCGCTGCGTACAACTCCAGGCAGAGCTTCTCTGGCCAGCCAGCAGGGCAGCCGCCAGCACAGCAGTACAAGCCGTACGTACCACCTGGAGGAGGACAGGACGTGGATGCGCCCAGTGCGCCGGCACCGAATGACTACTATCGCAGCGGCGTGTATTAGGTATCCTCTTTGACTAGCAGCAACTATATGATCAATCCTTCGCCCTTTGATGGCCATACTCATGGCACGCTGTATTTCATGTCACTGTTTCTATGTTTGCACTCTTCATGGAAAGTCAGTAATTCAGTACCATGGCATGCATATCTCGCTCATCTTGTCTATCGTCGTGATGCAAGAATCCGCTGATACTCCATAACACCGTGCCACACCGAGCCCAATATCCTCACGGCCAATCCATCCAATAATCGCAGCCGTCCCGAAACACCGCGCAGGGGCGCATCCTCACCATCTGCGCCCAAAAGTAGCACTCTCTTGGCGACCTGCCGCAGAGGGCGCCCTCACGGCTGGTGCCCGCCTCCTGTCCAACAGCCCACTCGACGACGGCCGGGGTGCGTGCTCCCGCTGCGTCAGGTCCACTGGTTCCGACGAGTGATGGCCAGGCTTGAACAAGTCGATAATCTCATTGAGACCCAACTTGAAAGCGTTCTTCTTCATGCCGCCCTCAATGGCCTGCTCGGCGAGCTCCCGCTTCTTGTTCTGCAGATCGACAATCTTCTCCTCGATTGAGTCGGTGACGATGAGTTTGTAAATGGTCACATCGACCGTCTGCGTGAGTCGGTGAACTCGATCAATGGCCTGCTCCTCAACGAACTGTAGACTTTACGTTAGTCATGATCTCGGAAATCAAACAAGAGACATACCGGATTCCAAAAAGGTTCCAGGATGACAACCCTTGTTGCCGCCGTGAGGTTGAGACCGAGACTACCACACTTCAGACTACACAGCAGCACCCTCGTCCGCGAATCTTTCCGCAATTTTCGCAAACTCTCTTCACGCTCGTCATTCTTCATACTTCCGTCGTACCGAGTGAACCTCATCCCTTCACTGTGAAGGAATGGCTCCACTAGGTCGAGCATGGACGTGAATTGGGAAAAGACAATGAATTTGTGCTGGTCGACCTCTTTGGAGAGGATGCGGATGAGCTCTCGGATCTTGGCTGAAGTAACAACGCCAGTAGCACGGGCAAATCGTTTGGTGTCGTAGTCATCATCATCAATACCCGAGGCATCGGATTCCGAGACACCACTCGAGCCATCGGGTTCGCTGTCGTCGTCATCTTCCGCCTCTTCTGTCTGCGATGCCTCGGAGGCAGAATCTTCCGGTAAAGGTTTCTCCTCCAGAGTCTGGGAGGCCAGCTTTTTGGTGATGGCGGAGATCGATATAAGAGAATCATCGTCCGAGTCGCTTTCTGCATCATTCACAGAGATATAGCCCTTTTCTTTTTTCGCAGTTTCGTCGTCGACCACAAAGCTGCTCAGATTGCTTTTGCCCTCGTCATTTACCGAGAGCGCCGAGTCGTCGGGCCCAATCGAGTCGCCACCACCTTCGCAGTTCTCATCTTCCTCTCCGCCAGCCTTGCCAAGCCGCAGACTGCCACGCTCGCCGTCGCCGACCAGCCAACTGCCCTCTTCTTCCTCGTCGTCACTGTCAATGACGTCTCTGCGGTTCCTTGGTCGTCTGGCCGGAGCGGGGGATTTGGATACTTTCTCCTTCTTCGACTTCTTGGTCTTGAGCCTTTTCTTTTGAACCTTGCGGTCCTGGCCCTCTTGGGATTCAAAGTACTCCAAATCGCCATGGCACTCTGTACACATGTCCCGCCCTGCCCGGTTAGACTCCGAGTCCAACTGGTTGCCACAGATACTGCAGTTCTTGGCAGTCTCAATGCCCATGCCGGCAAACATGTCAGCCATGGCATCAATATCGGGCTCTTGGATCTTTTGAGTTGTGCCCGTGGACATGGCGTCCTTGTCTTTTGATAACTTCCCTGCGACTAGCTTAGGATGATTGCACGCTTGTCGCATACGGAGCAGCAAGGTGAAGGCACTCGCGTAGTTCATCTTGCCACCCATCTCCATTGCTTCGATGTTGCCGTTGGCGCGGGCTTCAAGACGACTGTAGAACTTGCGCTCAGCTGCTGTGAGCTCCGCCGATACCGTCACAACGTTACGCTCGGTCACCTTGAAGCCAGTGGTGGATGGTTGACCTTCCTCGGAAGGCTTGCCGCCTGGATTCAAGGCACCTGCTTCCTTGAGGATGTCCTTTGTTCGCCGCTTCATGAAACACTGAAGCAGGCTGTGCAGGCGACGAATAGCAATATGACCTTTTCCATTTTTCATGGGCAGATCAATATGTGCTTTCCACTCTTTGAGATCGTCGTAGGGTTTGATCTTAAGGAATCGAATGAGCGACTGCAGCTCGTCGAGGTTGTTCTGCATGGGTGTGCCCGACAAACACCATCGGAACTCAGACCGCAGTGCGTACGAAGCCTTGGTCATCTTTGCATTGCGGTTCTTGATGGTATGCGCCTCGTCCAGCACGACGCGCCACCAATGAAGGCCAAAGCAGCCAGCCTTGACGCCGTCATCAGCGGCAGAGGAGCTACCATGCTCAGAAACAAGAATCTGATACGTGGTGATGACCACGTCGTACAAGGCCAGGTCCTTGAATCTCTTTGTTCTTTGCGGGCCATGGTGCACGCAGACTTTCAGTTGATGACTATGGAGCACCCGTTCCACGATCTCCGACTCCCACTGCCTGATAAGTGCCAATGGGGCTACCACAAGGGTTGTCTTTTCGATTCCCTCATAGTGCTTCTTCCATTTCTTGTCCTCCTTGCTCGGTTTCTGGTTCGTCAGAATGAGCGAGATGGTCTGCAATGTTTTCCCCAGACCCATGTCATCGGCCAAGATGCCACCTTTGGGCACTTTGCCGCGCTTTACCGGACCAAGCTCGCGACCGCGCATCCAGCTGACACCCTCGACCTGATGAGGTAACAGCCTCACCTTGAGGCCTTCAATGTACCCGCTTTTTGGGTCTGTATCGTTCTTTGAAGCATTGTCCTTTGGAATTTGGGCATTGTCTTGCTGTTGTCCTGGTTCATCTTCTTCGTCTTCGTCCATGACGCCCTCCAGCAGGTTCTTCAGATCGTCGCTCGCCTTGTTCGGATCCGTATAGAAGACCTCGTCACCAAGAGGCGCTCTGGCAGGCGGCGGTGGCAATGAGCCCACTCCACTGCTGTGTGTACTGAACATTGGCATTTTGGGGGACGCCTTGCGATCCTGGTAACGTGGTGGTTCCGGCCCGCGGACCTTGCTAGAGTTGGCCTGGTTGAGGTGATGCTCCGGGCGCCCCCGATTCGGATTGAAGACGTTCGCCTTCTGCTTGAGGGACGAAAGCATCTTGGTCGGGTGCCCGAACGTGGGGCGGCCAGTGAAAGGGTCGTGCACGCCAGCTTTCGGCGGAGGGGATCCTATACCCTTGCTCTCCATCTGGCTGAATAGATCGTCCACGTCGGGGGAGGCGGCGCGCTGGGGATTCCCATTGCTGGTATTGAGTGGTACCTTTGGCGGCGCCCGTTCGTTGACCATTGTGCTGTTGAGGTGCACAATCACGGGCAGCTTGGCTTTTCGAGGGGATGTCGAGAATTCGGGAGCGTGCTGGGAACCGAGAGTGTTGCAGGGTTCTATAGCAAAAGATGCGCCAGGCTTCGACCGAGGGTCAGATCGACTCATGAGGGGGCTGCGTGCTTGTCTGATGTTGTTTGTTCACGGTCGGCAAGCCAGCCATGGTCCACACAAGGCCGATTGTTTCGAGAGTAAGGGTTCGGGGGTGGACAATGAGGTAATCGCCCTGGCAACCATTATTGACCCCTCCAAAAGCTCAACAAGATAATCACAGTGCGCATAGTGCTATCGGTTAAGCGCACAGTGCTGTCTCGCTACGGGCGACAAAGCAGTGGACACACTTCGGAGTAAACTTCTTCACATCAGGCTTATGATACAAGTTGTATATGTATGTGGTTATGATATTCATAATCTTCATCCTAATACTTTCCAGTCTTATACTGAATACATGCCTCTCTTTGACATATCATGCCGAAAACCAAGTAATTCCATGTACTCGCCATGAGAACAGAACGCCTTTCCAAAACAGATTTGTCAAGTGAAATCCCAAAACCCCATTAGAGGATATCTGTGAAGCGAAAATAGAAAATATGGCGCTTTTCCCCAACCACAGACTTAGACGACCGGTCCGGCCTTGACAACCTCCTCGGTTGCCTCGCTCTCGTACTTGGTGAAGTTCTCACGGAAGAGCTTACCGAGCTTGACCACTTCGTTGTTGAAGCTGTCATCGCCGGCAGTCCAGGCCTTCTTGGGGTTGAGCAGCTCGTCTGGGACGTTGGGACAAGTCTTGGGCACGTTGAGGTTGAAGACTTCGTAGGTCTCGTACTCGACGTTAGCAAGCTCCCCAGAGTGAATGGCGTCAAGAATGGCACGGGTGTACTTGAGCGGGCAACGCTTGCCACCCTGCAGAGCGCCGGCACCGACCCAGCCGGTGTTCAACAGCCAGGCGTTGGCCTTGTGCTGCTCAATCTTGTCCGCAAGCATCTTTGCGTAGCGCATGGGGTGCAGAGCTAGGAAGGGCTGAGCGAAGCACGACGAGAACGTGGCTTGGGGCTCGGTCACGCCATCTTCGGTACCAGCCATCTTGGAGGTGTATCCGGAAATGAAGTGGAACATGGTCTGGGCGCGGTCGAGCTTCGAGATGGGAGGCAGAACACCACGGGCGTCGCAGGTGAGGAGAATGATGTTCGATGGCATGTTCTCGGACAAGCAGGGAATCTTGGCATTGGGGATGTACTCGATGGGGTATGCGCAACGAGTATTCTCAGTGAGGGTGGAGTTGTCGTAATCAACTTCACGGGTCTCGGGGTCGAAGACGACATTCTCGAGAACGGAGCCGAACTTGATGGCGTTGTAGATATCGGGCTCCTTCTCGGCAGACAGGCCGATGGTCTTGGCGTAGCAACCACCCTCGATGTTGAAGACACCACGGTCGCTCCAGCAATGCTCATCGTCACCGATCAGGGCGCGGTTGGGGTCAGCTGACAAGGTAGTCTTGCCAGTACCCGACAGACCGAAAAAGACAGTCACATCGCCGTTCTTGCCCTCGTTGGCAGAAGAGTGAAGAGTCAAGACGTTGTGCTTGATGGGCATCTCGTAGAACAGGACAGTGAAAACACCCTTTTTCATCTCGCCTTTGAGAGGTTAGCATATTTTCAGTGGGTTTGAATTCAGGAACATGAGCCGCGGCAGTTCGAAGGAAGAACACATTGTGGAGATAGTAAAGAAAATATTTTAACTCACCGGCGTATTCAGTACCGAGGATAACCATCTCCTTGGCGGCGAAGTTGATGGCGACCGAGGTGGCAGAGGTCATGCCCTCAGTGAAGCGGTTGGCAGGGAAAGAACCGGCATTGTAGATGGTGTAGTCGGGGTGGAAGTGCTCGAGCTCCTCACGAGGAGGGCGGATGAGCATGTTGCGCATGAAGAGAGCATGGTAGGCGCGAGCGCAGATGACACGGACACGAATGCGATATTTCTCGTCCCAACCGGCGTAGCCATCGACGACGTAGATGCGGTTGCGGGTGTTGAGGTAGTCAACAGCACGCTCTCGGTTGATTTTCCAGACCTAAAGCGATCATCGTTAGCACATGAAATCCCCTGAGCCAGATTGCGTTTGCCAAGGAAATGCAGTAGGGGGGGGTGAACGACAATCCGGGGAAAATTGGGGCCGTGCGCTCGAGCCTCGGGATATATCGCGACTGGCCGACGCGACACAGGGTGAAGCCCGTAGGGCCGTAGACCGCGGCTTGAGGGGCAATTGCGGGGGAGCCAAGTGGACGAAAGATGACGGCCTGCCACCATATGACGCCAGGGGTACATCATGCAATCGCGATAGGCTTGCACGCCGTCGGCACGCGACCATGCATTGATGTGTCAGAGTATCCGTCTAGAGCGCCTACCAATGTGCGACGGTAGCCGGATCCATCGCTGCATCGGGTATCTTCGCGCGGACGTTCTCCGTGCGGTGGGCATAATCGTCGTCATATGCGCGTGGAAATTTTGGGCTTTGCGGCAGTGAAATGACAGAAAATGGAGCCAAACACATACCTCTGGGGACATGGGCTTGTTGACAGGACCCCACCAGATATCGTTCTCTGACGAAGGCTCCTTAACAACTCGTTTGTCGAGAGGTGAGCGGCCGGTCTTGGTACCCGAGTAGGCAGTCAAAGCGCCGCTTGATGTGATGGCGGTACCGGACTCGTAGACGAGAGCATCTTCGTATAGAGCAGCAACGGAAGGATTGGCGATCTAGTCGGCTGTGTTAGTATTGCAGATCCTCATCACCATTCCGAGGGGGAGCAGGAGTCTCCTACAATTGACACACGGTCGTAGTCAATGTGCGCGGTCTCGTGCAGCTCCTCCTCGAGCTCGGTGTGAGGAATGTGAGGCTGGACACCACCGGGGTGCAGCGCGGTCTTGTTGACAGTGTGGTTCAGCACTGAAAGGGCCCGTGTTAGTGAAGCTCGAGCTTATACGTGGGATGCAAGCAGGCAGTCAAGACGTACTCTTGCGCAAGTCGGGTCCGGCAGTCAAAATTCGAGACTTTGAATTGGGTACGGAGGGATTGGGGTAGAGAGAAGCGACTCTGAAGACGGGGTCCTTCATGGTTCTTATAAACTTTGGATCGGTTAGCACCCATCGGCTCGATCTACACACTGTCAAAGCAATGGTCAACTAGAACCCGGGATGAGCCCCAAGCTCCCGCCAAGGTCAGAGCGTTCGGAAGCATCACCCAGGGGGTGTGAATGGGCGTGCAGGCCTTCGTTCTCTCCACATGTCTCATCCGCAGTCTCTAGTGCCGGCTAGGCCTCGATTTACCAGCTTCGATTGGACGAGGGCGCGAGGTACATGGACGTTCCCTCCGTGACTGACCGAGAGGCAGGCTATCGAGGAACTCGGGCAAGTAGACTGTGGAGCCGGGGCAGCAAGCACGAGGAAGAGTCGGAATCACGGCGGGCGTTGGAGAAGAGATACAGCGAGCGCGGGCGCCAATGGAGGGGTAAATATTCACAGGCCGATAGCAGCACCTGACAAAATAAGGGGAGGCGGTGCACTTGCCTTACGTGTCGTTATCGGTGGACGGACGAGGGTTGGTCGCGAGTGGCGATGCATTTACTACGACCGTGGCAGCAGAATGGGAGAGAGGAGGAGATTGAATCAGGCGGCACAGTCTGGACAAGCCAGCCAGCCTGCCATTTGTCCGGTGGCAGGTGCAATCGAATACATCGTGATGACTGCCCCTTTCGGCAAGACCTCTGAACCCCGCAACCCAGGACACTGGTCTCAACTTCTGGATGACATCGTGCTACCGGGTAGGCTAATCTCACCAAAATCACCCGGGTTGCTCCGATACATACGTTCGTCCTCAAGTTGAATGCACAGCCCTAGGGCCATGGTGCAAGTAAAAAGTATTAGCTTTTTATTGTAGGTGCTTAATTCGGCATTAATGGATGTTTCAGGGCTTAGCACAGGGACATGTTACGGCCTGGGCAACTTGTTCGCCCTGCAATTACGTTATAATAAATTGGGCAGGAAAGTGGCACATGCCGAACACTTTGTTGGTATAAGCCACGTTCTGCATCCCAATCATCGTGCGTGCGTCCTTCTGGACCAGTGTTTCCTTTATTATTAATGCTGTTCCTTTAGCTAGTAATGAGAGACGCGGACATGGGACATGGAGGCTTCGATCACGAGCACCATATGTTGGTCACACCGCTGAAGTTAAAATTAAACCAAGAGCAGCTGATCGGCACAAAACGCGCGAGCGTTCAGTCTCGGCCTTGAAAGCAAGCCCCGGCTATTGCAAGACTAGCTCAAGACCGGCTCAAGACGAGTTCGAATCTCGGCAAACGGGAGAGAGAACGGGAGCAAGCCAGGGCAGCAATACTTGTGTGTGCATGCCGCGCCCACAGGGCACAGCCTGGAGCTAGTACCCCACGATTTGGCTCGCGGTCCCCATCTCCCTCCCGTCCCCATCTGGAATTAATGACCAGGACTATCATGGCATTCTGCGCATATCAGTTCATTAATCGCTGCTGGATTGTGTACAAGCAGTGCTGTATTGAATTTATCGGCAGTACCGTCTTCACATGTTCCGGCACAGCGTGATAATCATCCACGTCTGTGCTATCTCGGCCGCAGTCCGAAGGCCAGTACGATATCATGTCTCCGCCCGCCCATAATTAATCCGATCGCTGGAGGAATCTCACGATAATCATGATACACAGTCTCCACGAGATCCTCGTCCCCATTTGCACCGAATGACGTTCAATCTTTAGATACTCCGTGCTGCCCTTGGTTGCCCCAGACGTGTCCGTTCCGACATGTTCCGTCCGCCCCTGGGCGCTTAGCTAGACACACGCCCCTAGCGTCGACCGCGGCTACGTCCGACCAGAAGTGTTCGCTCGGGAACAATTTGTTAGAAACACAGGCAAGTCCGGGTGTAAGCGCCCACGTCCTACCATTCAGAAAGCAGGACGGATACGGCTGTGACGCGACGGGCTGACCGTGCACACATAGTGAGCCAGTACGTAAGGGGGCGCTTTCAGGCGGGCCGCAGTTCGTATTGCTGCCATGTTGCGAACCACTGCGTCGCGGACTCCGTAGCCTCACAAAAAAGCCATGTATAATTTTCGGCGACTCGATCACATGGAGCAAGCGTTCCCCTGCAGAGAGACCACCCGCACCGCTCCCGAGTCCTCGGCCATGATCCGAATGAGTGCTGCCCAAGCCGGCGCCGGGACCCACCCGCAAAGGCCTGACGGCTCCGTTGGCCCACCTCCGGGCCGCCGTGGTCATGCAACTGTGCTGGCTCCGGCTCATTTTCGTCTACCTAAGGCACTGACTGACTGGCAACTGACGTATACGTAGTTAGGATACGGAGATATCCGTAGCGGAAAATGCAAGGAGAGGAGAGTGCACTTCTGTGTATCGCAACATAATGTAGCGGCAGCTCGCCGAGCGTTGAATCGATCTCTTGATCATCATCCAGTCATCCACCATGAGTACGAGCAGGTCTTGTGTTGCAATGGCTACCAACGGTGTCTGAGATTGAGAGATCGAGGCAAGCGGAGCGGCTGCGCTACAAAATCATTGTATCTGACCTTTCTTTCCGACTCATCTTATCATGTTATCATCCTCTAGCCTGCGCAAAGATCCTCGTCTTGAAACTGCGTCAGAAGTACATATACATCTCGAGCGGCTGGTACCTGTCGACGGCTATGCGCCCAGATCGCGCTTCCGCGTTGACGATCGACTCATCCGAGATGCCATATCTGCCAACTCAATGATTGCTTTTTTTTTTTGAATGCTGAACGGTCCAAGCTACTGACAAGATCCTCATTTAGGCGCTGTTATCGGTAATGAGCTTGGTAATCTTGCCAATGGCGATGGTTTGACCCTGGAACTTGTTAGCCGGATTCGGCGCAACCGCTCAATGAAACATACCTGGTCACGAAGTGTGAAGCGACCCATCTGGGGGTAGTCCTCAAACCTCTCAATACAGACCGAGCCGGCACCACCAGTAACCTGCATCCTTGCGATGATGCTGTCGCCCTTCTTTGCGTGTGTGGGCGCGCTCTTGCTCTTGCGGCCTGTGCCCTTTTGCAGCTTGTGCAGCAGCGCGGCAAATGTGACCTCCTCAATGGCGGAGTGCACGTGGAGAACACAGTTGAAGCCAGAGGTCAAGATGGACTTGAGCTCCAGAATGCGAATCTGCGCCTCAAACTCGGCAACATTGTGCACCAGACGTTTGGGCGAGCAGATGACGAAACCGGGCAAGATGTCTTCTTCCTCAATGCCCTTGAGCCTCAGACGGACCTGGTCACCGCACTGCGCGTGCGGGATCTCGTCTTCTTGTTCGCCAAAGACAGCCGAGATTTCCACATTCTGCTTCCGGGGCATCATGATCAGGCTCATGCCCTTCTTGCACACACCTGCCTCAACCTTGCCGTCAATCATGGTGCCTAGATCGCGGTACTTGGCATTGACAGGCATCATAAAGGGAGCATTCACCTTGCGCTCCAGTGCCTTCATGTTATCCAGGTACTCGAGCAGGGACGGCCCATCGTACCAAGGGCAGATGTCCTTGCCCACGCGTTCCTTGATATTCAGTGACATCTGCGCGGCCACGGGCATGAAGAAGACATCCGTCTTCAGGTTGTAGCCGGTACCCTTCAAGAATTGGGACAGCTTTGTGGTGCACTCCTTGTATCGCTCTTCAGACCATTCGACAGTCGCGTCGTCCATCTTGTTGATGGCCACAATGAGCTTGTTGACACCCTGCGTCTTGGCCAACATGGCGTGCTCACGGGTCTGCCCACCACGCTCAAAGCCGGTCTCGTACTCACCCTTACGGGCGGAGATGACCAGGATACCCACGTCGGCCTGCGACGCACCACCAATCATGTTGGGCACGTAGGTCTTGTGACCGGGAGCATCCAAGATACTGTAGCGGCGTGTCTCGGTCTCGAAGAAACCTCGACCAACCTCGACCGTCTTGCCCTTGGTGCGCTCCTCCTTAGTCAAGTCCATCACCCACGACAGGTACCAAGACTCGCGTCCGAGATCCTTTGCCTCCTGCTTGTACTTTTCCATGGTTCGCTTGTCGACCATGCCAGTTGTCCACAAGATGGAGCCACCCAGGGTTGATTTTCCCGCGTCAACGTGACCGATGAAAATGATGTTGACGTGCTCCTTGCCGTAAATTTCCTTGAGAGTATCCTCATCGACATCGGCGGCCTGCTCTTTGGTGACGGCATCGACATCTCGTTGAGCCTTCTTCTCACCGCCGACAGGGCTCGAACGTCCAGAAGAGGTTGGCGAGGTCTTGCCAGAGGTCTTACCGCTGGAAGAGGCGGCCTTGCCAGTTTTCTCGCCAGTCTTCTCGATGGCCTTGGCCGCAGTCGTCTTCTGGCCAGCCTCGGGAGCATCAGTTGGTTCGGGCTTAACGTCGTCCTTGGTGGTCTTCGCTGGCGGTGTGGCATCGCCTCCAATCGAAAGGACCTTAGCCTTGGGCTTGGGTGCTGAAGCGTCGCCTCCGATGCTGAGAACCTTGGTACCGCCCTCCTTGGTCACGACAGGCTTTGGCGCATCGGTAGCGGGGGGTGGTGCTGAGGCAGCAGGCTGGGTTGCTGGTTGCGACTGTTGCTGCTGGCCGTATTGGGGGTATCCACCACCTAGTAAATTCAGTATGACGCGCATCCCATGAGTTTCAGTGTCTTACTGTACTGCTGGTTGTTGTAGCCTTGGCTAAAACCTCCACCATATTGCTGATACTGGTTGTAGCCCTGCTGCTGTTGTTGCTGCTGCTGCTGCTGGTTGGCGTATTGAGGGTAGTATCCTTGCTGGTAGTACTGCTGCTGCTGATATTGGGGCTGGAATCCACCGTATGCCTGACCAGGTTGGAAAGACTGAACGCCGGGCTGGAAAGACGCAGCACCGGGTTGGAACGAGTTGGCGCCCGGCTGGAAGCCTTGCGCCTGGGCCGGGTTCATGTTGAGCTGCTGCTGAGCCTGCCGGGCGAGGTTCTCATCTTGTTGCGCCGCAGGGTCATCCTCCCATGAGTTGAGGTTCGACATGTTAGCGATTGTCGTGGGTATTCGAGTCTCGCGCGTTTCAGTCTATCGAGTTTGTGCGATCGTTGGGTATCGAGGGGTAAATGGAGGGGTTGAACGGCAGCGAAGCCCCGAGGTGTTTGCACAACAGCTGCTTTCCGGTCCAAGGTAGAGGGACGCTCGAAATGTGTCCCTGATGTATTTGGTACTGCAATGTAAAAGAGTTAAATTACCTGCCCGAGGAGGTCAAAGTCCCCTCTTCCGCGCGACGTAGTGGAGGTTGAAAATTCAAGCCCCACCAAAACGCATGACGCCTGGGGAAGGAAAGTGACGCTGTACTTGGGACAGTGCGACCGTGTGAGCCAGTCACAAAACTACCATTTAATCACACTGTTGTTGTAGGAGCATTTGCTGGCTTGTTGCGCTAACAAAGTAGCGGGCAGCACTGTGCGAAAAATGGCCAAACAAACGCCTTGCTCGGTCACTCCAACCTTGAATAACAACGATAGCCAAGCTCACTTCATCAGGCCTTGAAGTGAAGCCCGAACCAACCCCCGTAGGGTTCCATTCTCACCACGCAGAGAACCTGGATCAGCTCCGCCATTATGGAGGACTTCCTTGCCACTGTTGGCGCCCAAGCCTGGAAATACGCCGTACGGTCGGGTATCGCTTTAACTTCAAAGTATGCCATGAGGCAATGTTCCAGACTCATCGAGACAGTGGATGATTGTGAAATGCACTCTCGCCTGCTTTCCCTACAGAAGCAATTTGACAGTAAGATCATGGTCAGTTTCGCCGGCCACGCGTGCCAGACCACACTGCTTACCGACGATTTTCGCAGGTCATTGCACCAACTATTGACCTCGTAGAGTTCAAGTGAGTCATTCGGGCAGCAACGCGAACTGGGGCTCATGCTAATACTGCCCAGATCCGGGCGAGGAAACGTTTTTCTTGACTCGGCTTTGCCACTGACCAAGGCCTTGCATGGCGACATTGTGAGCTTAGGGCGACGCATCGACAAGATCGCATCCTTTCTAGAGACAAAATCTCAACACGGCTCCTGTCCACAGCGCCAATTGAATATCGCCAACTTGGACACACGAAGTGTCGTCGACGACATTGCATCAATATTGGAACGCATAGACCGCGAGATTCCGCTACTACAGCTAGCCATCACCGCTTCAGGAGAGAGTCTCTCCAGCTCCTTACCTCCTAGCATTTCGCCGTCAAGGCTGCTACAAGCCAGCACTTTTCTCATTGTCGGGGACATGCAGTTTCACAGCGATCAACTAAATCCAGTCCAAATCGGACCATCGTTCTGCTTGTCTCTGTACATGCTGTTCCTTGGACATGCCCCCGTCGCGCAAGTGCGTGCACCTACACCTTCTTCAGGGGATTCTCATAGACAAAACCGCGGCAGGGACTCCCAAAAATCATACGGGTTAGGCCCAGGTGATCGCAAACCGATATGGCAAGAAGTCATCCACAAGGCACGCGTGACCCTCCACAGGACCAAGGCTTTTGCGGAGTATTCGTATCACCTGGAATTTACCGAAGATCTTGACGATGGTCGCTTACGAGACGAAGCAGAGGCGTGCACCCGAATTCATCAGCAGATACCTATCCATCAGATTTCCAAGATCTTCTACACAGACAGTGGCCGGCTACTAAACATAGGAGACGAGACAGCCGACGGCAAGAATCCTGTCCTTCTTTTCAAGCGTGATGTCAACGCCCAGCCCCCAGGCGACGAACATAAGCACGCGGAGAGCTATCTTGATCCAGCGGGGAGTCATGTCCCAGCTTCGTTTGACAATGATGCACATGATCAAGTGGCGCTTGACCAGCAATTGTATGAAGAATTGCGCAGGAGCGCCAGTGCATGGCATGCACCACCACGAGATGATCATACTCGTGAGGTCCATGGCTTCCCTAAATATCTCGATCCCGAGTGGATAGCCTTGGAGATGTACGAAGAAACTGCCGAGGAGCATGCAACTCCTGAGGGAGGCTCAAGGACGGAGCAAGACGTCGCCGAGTCCTGGGATAACGAGGTTGAGGACAGGTCGGATATCCGGGTTACAAAAGCTGCCGAAGCGCTGCAGAAGTCACAGACTCTGTCCATTGACCAGAATTCTAGCACCATGTCAAATGCGCAGCGCTCACCCTTTAGCAATGTCACAACATCATTGTCGCTTATCGAGATGTTGGTTCGACTAGCTGGTCTCCAAGAGTTCCAGCAGACATCGCATTTGTCTATACCTGATCACATTCTCACGTTCTTTCTGGAGGAATCATCGACAACTGGATTAGGAGGTGAGGCGCAATGGGCAGCGCGCCAGGCGGCCAAGGCGAGGGTTGGATTTGATCCATATCTTGATCCCTCATCAAAAGAGCAGAGCAATCGATAATTTCGCAGATCCCGAGTTTCAAATAACCAAAATATCTGAAACTGTACAAGCTGTAAGAAACTGCGACATTGTTGGCTGCTTTACCCCAACGGAATGCTGAAGTGATGATCCGCTCAAGGACGGGTGACTGCCAATGACGTCGTTGGTTGGCCCTCAATCTGCCTTACTTGTTTAACACGCTTATTTTCTGCCACGCATCCAACACAGCTCAGGATAGCTTCGTTTACATCTTGGTCCGATTATTCGTCTCGCGTTGCAGCTTCCGTCAGCTCAGACTCACAGGTATTTCCGTTCAGCAGGTCCAAACTTGCGCCACCAAGACATCAATATGCCACTCGTCCCGCGCATGCACCTGTTCGAGATTGACGACCAGACATGGTAACAACACATGTCCGAAGAACAGTCCTTGTGTTGGTCACTGATCGCTCTTCTTACTAGGTTTCCACCGTTTTTTCGTCGACTCGTTCAGACCATCCTGTTAAGAACATGGCACATGCAACTCCCCTTTATACAGCCTATGTCGCCCGGCCGTATGATCGCCCACCTCCTGATCCGTGAGCTCGGTGACGACCTTGGGAACTTCACCTTTGTCGACTTTTGTGCTGGTGCCGGTGGCCCGACTCCCATCCTCGAGAAAGAGATCAATCACCACTTGCGCACGCGTCGCAAGCCTGAGGCGCCTGTGCAGTTCGTCCTGACTGATTTGCACCCCAACTTGCCAGCGTGGGAGGGGATCTCGAAGAAGAACCCCCATATCAGTTACGAGCGTGAGCCCGTGGACGCCAGTCGAGCCCCGCCCCAGCTGGTGAGGAGGGGCGATGGGAAAAAGCTGATGAGGCTGTTCAACCTCGCCTTTCATCATTTCGATGATCCTCTTGCCAAGGATATCCTGCGCGACACCGTCCAGACAAGCCAGGGCTTTGCGATTTTCGAACTGCAAGGGCGTACGATCGAGAGCTTCATTGCCGTCAGCCTACTTCCCCTACTGGTCATGGTAGTGGCTCCAGTGCATGCCTGGAAGCATAAGTCCCTCGCCTCCTTAATCTTTATGTGGTTCATTCCCATCATCCCGTTCGTACTCGTTTGGGATGGCTGGATCTCGGCGCTGAGGACTCGTGAGCCGGACGAGGTCGAGGCGCTGCTGAGGAGCTGTGGCGCAGACTCGAGCAAGTGGGAAATCAAGAGCGGTAGCCAGCAGCACCTGTGGCCCGTTGGCTACGTCGACTGGATCATCTGCCAGCCCCGGGACACATAAAAGACAAGAGAATCAGATGAAGAAGCTGCTGAGAACCATGGCGTAGGATGGTTCAAAGATGGTACATGAATGTGATCCGGAACAGCAACGGTACGGTGTTGGAGCATAGAGTACGTATGCGTACTTTGTTATACATGATTTACAGCAAATACAATTCTATCGAAACCACCAGTTGACGGAGCCATTCAGACCACCTTGCTTCCCAACACTTTTCACTGAATGCCACCACCCCTTGGGTATGAAAAGGCCATCGCCCTCGTCCAAGGTCCCTTCGTACATGTCCCCGGTCACCTCCTTATCCTCCCAGACAGTATTGTACAGAAACGTTCGCTCTGGTTCTTCCATCATCTGCGATCCGCGGATACGACTGCTGCCTTGCCGCCCAAGCTTCCGTTGCGCCTGCGCAAAGACTAAATCCCCAGTCCCGGGAGGGAGAAGCCGCACAGTCTTCTGACCACACAGTTGATAGAACAGATTCGGATTTGGGTCGCGATGTATCGGTGTGTATGTGGGTTCTGTACCAATCCAAATGCTGGAGGCATAAATGTCGCCTTTGCCGACCTTCAGGACGAGCTCGGGTGCTTGTACATCCTGCTGCAAAGGCCCAGGCAACTCAGAAATCGCGCACTGCGCAATGTACAATTGGACAGGTCCCATGCCCTTGTTCTGTACTGAAGAGTTGAATTCCAGAGCATGATGGAGCAAGGATATTGGAGCCTGGAGCTGATAGAAGCACGAGTCTGGCTTGTCGGGGATTACAGCCTGCATCATGAGCCCCGAGCGATGACGGTCGAACCTGTCCGCGTCGTGGCTCAGCAGCCATCTTGTAAAGGCTGTCGTTGAATGATCCGACCCGGTTTGCGGCACATATACTTCGAAAGGGAAGTCCAATTTGTGATGACTTCGCTCTGTGAAGTGTGTTGTCAGAGTCCTGGGAGTCGCACTTTCCCAGGATATCGGCGTGAACCATTGGATCGTAGCCGGGTGCAAGTTCCCATCACAGCGAATATGCAGAGGCTTTTCCGTTAGAAACACCTTCTGACGAAAAGTCTCAATGTCTGGATGGCGTTGCGAGGGAATTGTATGAATGCTCCGTCGTGTGGTTTGCGGGCGTGTTGTCAAAAGGGACCAACAACGCCATTGTGTTGACGTACGAGTTCTTCGACCCATAGCACTTGATGGAGAAAGACGTCGCGTAGCTCAATCTGATACAGCATATCGAAGATTTTCTCACACGGTAGGGACAATATCTCCCCTGGATATGAACGACGCGTCGTTGCGGTGACTTTGTGGGGCTCAGGGTAAGTCAAATAAGTTCCAGGCCTGTTGCTGCGGAACCGGCAGAAAGTGGCCCCGATACCTTTCATCACCCCGAGGCTAAGTCAGGTACCCAAGTACCAAAGGCATTGGGTTCAGATGGAGGGTGCCGGACTAATCACAGACTAGAACCAAGAAGTGAGGGTTTCCCCCACCACTGCACCTTGGGCTATCTGCATTCCGACAAGCAGTGATACAAAGCCATTATTCCATCGCACGTTGTTCCATTCTAGATCATCCTTGCGCGACACATGCGTATTGAACTCGACACGAGCAGCGAACCACGACTTTACACCGAGACATCGCACACCACGATCATCCCGAGCCCGTCATCTTCACGTCGATTTGCATCGACTCGAGTCGTTATTTATACCCCTCCGCCACCATCGCGACTTGCGTCAAGCATGTGTCTTGCTTTGCGCTAGGACTCTCTCGTTATCTTCAGCGCACTTTTCTCATCTCGTGGAGCGCTCACTTTGCCCAACCTTGTAACCCGAACCCATCGATCACGACATCGCGTCTCGCCTTCGAAACTAAGCCAGACCCCGCGCCCCAGCATTGAAGCCCGCGTAAAGCAACCTATAGGACGCCATGTCGACGTCCTCAGCAGCGCCCGAGTCATGGATCTCGAGCTTCTGCTCCCTAATTGGACATGAATATTTCGCGGAGGTTTCAGAGGAGTTCATCGAGGATGACTTCAATCTCACGGGATTGCAGACGCAGGTAGCCATGTACAAAGAGGCATTGGAGGTTTGTTGCCGTCACTCCACCTCGTTCAGAAAGTGTTGTACTGACCTGTATAGATGATCCTTGACGTGGAACCCGAGGAGGACGATGAAGATGAGGAAGAAGAGGACGAAGAAGACGAGAGTTTAATCGGCGAGGGCGGCGAGGTAGCCGGACGCGAACGAAGACATCATAGCAGGATGGCCAGTGACCTTTCGGTTATCGAGTCCTCCGCAGAGATGCTCTACGGGCTTATTCATCAACGGTTTATATGCTCCAGAGCTGGCATGCAGCAGATGAGCGAAAAGTACGAATTGGGTCACTTTGGCGCCTGTCCGCGAACAAACTGCATGCAGGCCAGGACACTACCGGTCGGGCTGTCGGACATTCCAGGCGAGGAGACGGTGAAGCTGTTTTGCCCCGCTTGTCTCGACGTGTACGTTCCACCCAACAGTCGGTTCCAAACGGTCGACGGCGCCTTCTTTGGGAGGACGTTTGGCGCTCTCTTCCTCCTCACATTCCCCGACTACGATCTCACAAAACGAGGAGCAGACGTCATGCAGGACATCACCTCTCGGATTTCCGGACACCCGGAGATTCTGAATGGCTTCTTTGCTAAGAACATAGCTCCCGGACTTGGAGCGGGTCACGTGTACGAGCCCAAGATATACGGCTTCAGAGTCTCGGAGAGAGCGAGGTCAGGGCCGCGCATGCAGTGGTTGCGCGAGCGTCCGGGAAATATCAACGAGCTGGACGAGGCTCGCTTGTTTGCCGAGCAGAACCCCGATTCGGAGGACGATGAAGGGGCCAACACCAATGGGAGGGTGGCTGTTGTGAGGCGGCGAGCCCCTGGCAATGCTCGCTTACGCCAGCGCCAACAGCAGCAGCAGCAGCAGCAGCAGCAAAGGCAGAATGGGAGTCCCATGGCGTTGTCGACCAATGGGGCCGAATCGGAGCTGTAGAGTACGAAGACCAGGCGTCGTCAGCACAAGGTTACCACCAGGGCTACCTTGAGCCGAGAGCGAGAACTGCTGCGCGTGCCGATTGAGGCATTGCCCGGGCGTGAGGACCATTGAACGGAGCTTGGATGGTTTGAAGAGTGGTTGCATAGATGGCGTTGGCTCATATTCAAATTCTTACCAAACTCGTTTCCCAAAGCTCGCGGCCAACTTGTTTTCATGGCTGTGTCCACCCCGCAAGGACAAGAACTAGTATTCCCACTTCAAATGTCTACATCCGGACCAAAGGAGCACGGCGAACTGGACACGCTGACGATGAGCAATCCAGACATATCCTAAAAGGCGCTGTTGGCCATATGGCCGACCATGATCGCTAGGCCCGAAGTCGGAGAGTCGGCGTGAGGTCCCAGTCCACTGTTGGACTCTACAATAGTAGATACACTATCGACGTGTCTACGGCTCTTATACCGAAACAGCCGACCAACAGTTACATGGGCATTGAGCGGTGAATTGTATTAGACCAAACCCCAAGTGGACATATCGACTACCGATTCACACACTTCATACAAACCTTTGAAGAACAAAAGTCTGACGGACACAATGTCACAACCATCCCCTCCTCCATCCATGCTGCCTGATCATCAGAGTTACCAAGGCAAAGACGTCGTCAGGGAAGCGTGGGCAGGACTCCGTCTACCCATGGAGTCTCCCGAGAGTCTTTGCTTGCCAGGAGACACTGACGCGCGGACACTTCCCTCTTCCTACAAAATAGACATCCTAGCCCAGGGCAGCATTGCTCTATCTTCTCTCGCAGCCGCACAGATTCACAGTTTGCGTTCTGGGCCGCCTAAGCCGGCTGTCGAGGTGCCATCCAAGCACGCCACAATTGAGTCCAAATCGGAGCGACTATACTTGTTGGATAGTAAGACTACACCATCCCCATGGGGAGCTATCGGGGGGGCTTCACAAGACATTCGACGGCTATGTGCGCGTCTACGACTCGCTCCCAAACCATGTCAGTAGTACACTGGCGCTTGCGAGTCCAAACTGTTGCCACAGCGCTTGGCCAAGATTGAGCCAAAATGCCTCCTCTGGCGTTCGAGTCATTAAGATGTCTCGGGTGATTGCAGCATCGCTTGCCGGCCGGACCCTGGCCGCCCATGGCGCAGATGTCATCTGGAACACCTCGCCTTCGCTTCCCGATCTCCCTGTCATGGACCGGGATCTTGGCAGAGGCAAGCGTACTGTTCGCATTGGCATCAAGAATCCCGACGACAAGGCAAAGCTCCTTGAGCTTCTCGCGACAGCCGACATCTTCATCCAGGGCTTCCGACCGGAGTCGCTGGCTGAATCTGGACTGGGCCCAGAAGACTTGACCAAGCTGAACCCCAACTTGGTCATTGCCAACATGTCGGCCTTTGGCCCTCGTGGACCCTGGTCCAAGCGCAGAGGCTTCGACTCTCTCATACAGATATTGTCTGGCATGAATGTATCTAAAGCCGAGAATGCCGGCAAGGGTGAGCCAGCTTGGCCAACTTCTTGTCAGGCGCTCGACCACGCGGGCGGCTACTTTCTGGCCACGGCTTTCATGAATGCTCTCTACAAGCACTTAACTAAGGGTGGCGCGTGTAGGGCGGATGTATCACTCGAGGGCACGGATGAAATATCTCCGCAGTCTGGGTCAATACCCTGGGGTGACGGGATTCAAGGCCCAAGACTACGAAAAGCCAGAAGATGTGCCAGAAGAGTTCTATGAGACAAAGTCATCGGGGTTTGGGCCTTTAAACGCGATCAAGCATTCCGCTCGCCTAGGTGGGCACGATGTTGGGTGGGACATTATGCCGAAGCCTCTTGGTACAGACAAACCCGAGTGGCACTCATGAGCGTCTGCAATACTACCTGATATATGATTTTAACTCATCATTTATGCTTGTTTGGTGGACCGAGCTTGATTTGATGGGCGATCTGCAGGATCCGGTTTGGGACGGGGGGCGACATCCCCTGAATCCCATGAAGGCGCCCAGAAATCGTCACACTCAACGACGCACATAGCATTCATCTGCATGTTGTGAAGATTCACCCGCTTTCCTGTAGGATATGGTCCCGTCGCCGAACGCAATTGCGTTAGCCAATATTGCAGATCGACCACATCCGCCAGCTACGGGTTGACTCGATCTGCGACGTCATCATCTGAGACTTGGAACAGCCACGAGGCGATGATCCGCTCTGCCTGTACTATAAGAGCAATGGAACTCTGGATGGATTGATAACTTTATTCTATCACCCGTCTCACTTATATTCTCCAGAGCTGGTCTCTTCGAATTTCTGTTCTTCACTTGCATCTTCAGCCTGCGTATTGTCACTGTTCAACAAATTCTTTCACAAATCACTACCGAAGCAAGCACAATGTTCATCAAGACTTCTACAGCTATTGCCATCGTGGGCGTGGCATCCAAGGCCCTCACCGCCGCCGTCCCCCCTCCGGAGATGGTTGCGCCCTCCAAGCCCATCTACACCCTTCCCGTGGAGCAGCCTCTGCCCGTGGCGCAGAGAGACGTGCCTCACCCAGTCAACCCCGACGAACCAGTCTTCACGTTGCCCGTGGAAGAGGACCTCCCGCTGGTGCAGCGTGACCCTCAGCAATTCTGCATCGACCACCCGGACCTGTGCATCACCAAGCTCAAACGCAGCCCGCAGCAGTTCTGCATTGACTTTCCAGACCAGTGCATCACGAAGCGCGTTCCTCAGCAGTTCTGCGACAACTACCCTGATCTCTGTATCACTTGAGTAGCTCCGAACACGACAATTTGATCTTTCCAGATAGGGGTCGGGGCTTTGAGCATCTCGTACTTGTTCGATAGCGGCTGCACACATCAAGCGAGTTAAAGCTTCCTTGTCACACCCTGTTGCATGGAACACGGCTCTGCATTATACAATCATGTATCATATTTGGTGTACTTTGAACAATCTAGTCATCATCTACCAAAACAGCGGCACATCGATCGAGGTATCCCAGTCAATGTTCTGCTCCTCACACTCCACACGTTCCTTCAACGTGCCAAAGATCTTGTCCCAGAGACGGGTCTGCTTGCCATAGTTGCCACTGGCCTTCCAGCCTTTTCGGTGGTGCATATCGTGATCCTCGATGATGAGCTCACACCCAGCCAAGCGTAAGAGCCAGGTGAAAGGGTTCGGCGGTTCCGTGTAGATTCGAATGCCACTGTGACCCGCCAGCTCCGCAAACATGACAAACTGATGTCCGACCCACCACTCGTAGAAGCCCATGGGCATGCCCATTGCCTTCATTGTAAAGTACGTGGCTAGCGGTATGCCGGCAATGTCGAACAACTCCTGCTCCAGGTCCGCGTAGAGTGTCAGGAGCGGGTTGGGGTGCTTGGTGAGGTGGTGCGTGCGGTGGTACTGCCAGAGGGCGCCGACCTCATGCATGAGGCGGTGGTACCAGTAGAACCAGAAGTCGAGGATGATGCCGTAGAGGCCGACCTCGAGAAGCAGCCATCGCCAGTGCATGTCCATGGGGGTCTGGTTGGCGCGGTAGGCGAGGAAGACGGTGAAGACGGGTCGGAAGGTCGAGGTCGAGAGCAGCGAGCGGACAGTCTTGGCCACGCCCACGTCAGGCACACCATCACGCTCGTGGACGTCGCCGTCCAGGAAACCCACAATGTGGCCAATGCGGCGGAGCATGTGAAGCTCGTGGATGGCGTTTGCCTTGAACGCGAAGCTGTAGAAGACAAAGGCTTGAAGGGCTGTGAGGTTGTGCCCCGTGAAGTGGTAGATGCACTGGTGGATGACGAGAGGCGCAAAGGCGTGCGTGAGCACCCATCGATGCACCTGCCATTCAGGGGCGTAGGGCACCTTGTCCTGCTTGCTGTGGACGGGAACCTCTCTGTCAAGGTCGACAGAATGAATACCGAGGACCTCGTAGAACCAGTGATAGGTTGTCCATTGCGAGCGATCCTTGGATCGCCAGGTGGACTTCATGGAGTCCTTGGGGTTGACTTGGGTGGCCATGTTGGACGAGTACACAATCAGTCAGCTGTGTGGTATCAGGTACCCAACAAGGGATGGTGATGGAGATGTGGCAGTGATCTTATATCCCCCGTCCATTCATTCAGCACCGAGTCTGGGTTCGTCTTTCACGTGCGACGACATGGGCTGCGCTGGCTTCGCGTTGCCACCGCCCTACCTTTATGGTTGCTGCAACCGAGGTGCCATCAGATTGTTCGACACCTATCCAGATTAAGCCCCTAGTTGCGATGACGCTAAGCGCTTGCACGTACGTCGCCCCCAATGCACGTCATGGCTGGACCCTTTCCAAGTGCCGTTCGGCACTGTCGACACAAGGGGATACCTCTGAGACACGACTATACTGCTTGCTTGTCTTCTGTGTATCGAGTTGCACAACTTGCTCAGAAATATCAGGCGAGTTAATATTTGATCAAACATTGACCAGTCGATACTGGAATTGAGATGGCTTTCCGTGTAAGTGCGCAACTGCCACTTTGGGTATAGGCTTGCGACGAGGGCCGGCCCTGTCTCCTAGTGTGGGGTAGGACTGCGGATACGTACAGTGCTTCAGCTCTATTAGTTTTCACCTCTATAAATCGACTGGCCCACCGTCGTGGTTCCTTCAACGCCGTCGCTCGCAAGCACGATCCAGAACCAGCATCAGGTGGACATCTTCTTGAACTTCAAGTCATCTCTTCGTCTGCTCATCGCCATCGATCGATCCCCTCTTCGCAGGTAGCAGGCAGGCAGGCGGAATCATTTGCCAGTCCTACTTGCTATATCACCGCATGGGCGAACCACGGAGCCCCGTTGGCAATGCGCGCGCCTCGTGCATTCTCAACGCCAGAGAAATGATACTTGTCAAATACTGTGGAAGTACGCGTACGCCTGAGACTGTCAAGTGTGACATTCACCTGACATCGAACGTGCCATGCCGTAGTGTGGAGTTTGACCAATCGTCTTGTGATCACACGTAGCTGCTCAGCATACCCAGAGACGTTGGCCACAAGCCTCCGATCTTGATCTTGCCTCAAAAAGTGCAACTCTCCATTCGCTGTCGCTTGCCACGTCACTGTGACCCGTACTTGCGTGTCGATCGTATTCACAGCTTGCCCTTGACAGCCTGCTTCCTCATTTCCTGCGCCGACCTTACCAAAGCATACAGCGTCTGTAACCTCGGCATCTCGACACCCCTCTCCCAAGCTATCCTCACAGGATTGCCCAGAATGACCTCGATTTCCATGGGTCGTCCTGCTTCCCAATCCAGAAGCATACTCGGCCTCGCACCCACGTTGCGCTCCGTGCTCTTCAAGATCCTTTCAGGCTGTGCCATGCTGTCTGGGAATGGCCTCCCCAGTATCTTGGGCGCTGCGTCCCATATCTCGTGCATGACACCCGCAAGGTGCTGCCGTAGCTCTGGGTCGGTGACCATGGAGGCATTCCCACGCCCACCAGACAGAACAGCAGAGGGGTTCATGGCAGCATTGATGCACAGCTTGTGCCAGCGCACAGTCTGCAGGCCAATCTCGTCATGGGGCTCTACGTCCTTAACGCCGCCCAGATCGGTCCACCATCTCGTCAGGTCCTCCGTTGCCCGATGCCCACGGCGCTCGAGCTCGGCGTTCCCCGTCTTACCCAGGCCATCTGTAAAGGGGCCGATGCTGACCCTCGTCCACCGGTTCTGTCTTATTACGCCGGGAGATATCTGCTCTGCGCTGACAATGGTCACGGCACTCACAATGGGCGTGTGAGGAAACCTCTTCCTGAAGGGCTCCTCCACCCCAACACCATTCTGAATCAAAACTATGCACGACTTGGAGCCCACGAGGGGCGAGATCATTTCTGAGTCATTGCTGACATCTGGCAACGCTTTGGTCGTCACAAAAATAAAGTCCCAACCGCCCTCGGCCTCAGCGGCAGCTTGGACGGATGGGTACGCCGACTCGGGTTGGAACGTGTAGTCGCCAAACGTGCGCGTCTTCAGTTGAACGCCCGACTGCTCCATGGCCTTGTAGTTTGACCTGGCAACCAGCGATACATGGAGGCCATTTTCGGGCTATGTTGGCCGGTCAGTTATCAATGGCCTTGGAGTCGGGCACGATGCACTTACGTGATGTAACCTTGAAGCGTAGAAGCATCCGACAGCACCCGCCCCTATAAAGACAATGTTGACTTTGCTATCGTTCATCTCAGCGCTGCACTTTGACCGGTATCGAGGGAATGACTTGCCGGTCCGAAGTTTGCTGAGCCATGATCACGATGTGGTCGGTGAGCGCGCTGTCCAGTGCACGCGATCAAGGTTGCCGGTGTGGCGCCTCTACGGAGTACTGGGTTGGCTGTGCGCGATAACAACAGTCGCTGAGATGCGAGGCAATCAACACACGAATGCGGTTGAAGTGCCTGGTTGGTACAAGGTGGTATCAGGGATATGGTGGACTGGTGAGAGTGGGCTTGAGTTCGAGAGCGCATGTCGTAATTCGGTTCGGTTCGGTGTTGTGTCGGCATTGTTGTCCATGATCGACAGCGAGCCGACGTCGACACGGAAGCTTCGTCCATTTTACTCTGATTCTTGTAGATCAACAACATTTCCATTCATGGAAACTATTCACCATGTTCACCTGATCGAATTGACCGATTGGAAGCAAAGTAACAGGTTGGGTCACGTGATTGGCTCTCAACCTGAGCTATCTGTCACTTTATGTTACAATCTCAGCTTGCCCTCTCTTCATCTCTTGTCATGAGGCTGTTGCATTTTTCTGGATTTTAAACCATTCGTCATGAGAAGTGTCCTCCCACGAGATCTTTAACCATTGTTGTTGAGAGGCGTTCATCAAGGCCGCCAAAGCCTATCTCGGCCCAGAACAGGCGCCAGCAAGGTCAACGTCAAAGGTTGATGGGGTGCATTCAGGTAAGGTCCTGGCTGTGCAAGGCTCATGTTCGAATCTTGGACGCCTTTCTCGACCCAACACGCGTTGCCTGACAATTCTTCAATGTACATGCAGACGCGGTCCGGAGGTTCGATTGGAACACATCCGCTTCCCAAACACTGACCAAAACATGTTGGCAAGCCGAGTACTGTTTGCGTGAGTGCAAACATACTAATTAACACCATACAACATTTCCACCAAATACAAGAGGAATGCATGGCTGGAGGCTCTGACAAGGGTCTTGATCGTGTCAATTCCTTGCTGTCCCTTACGTGGCTTGGCTGGCCGTCACGCACAGCAAGCTCACAAAGAGTCAGGCTGACGTCGATACCTGTCGGGGACTATCGATTGAAAGTCTGCGTGAACAGCGTCTCTCTCGGCGTGAACCGGACTAAATCTTATCAGCCAGTACTTGCATCGCCTGTAGACCCATCAAGACGGGCTGAAGTTCAAGAATATCCTACCGTTTGAAGCTGAGGCGCCCAGGAAAGCCGTGATTTAGGGGACCAGGGCATTTATTACATGCGGTAAGCTCGTCAGCTTTCAGGTCTGGACTGCAATGGTCATGCTGGTGCAAGGGCACCTACTACCGCTGGATAGTATCTATGTGTCTATTTTCATAGACACGGAAGCGTACGCTCCAAGTGCCTGCTGGATGTGACACGAAACATCCTCCCCTAACAGGGTGTGAACTCTGGGGTCATCCACAATGTCTCCCTAGGGAGGTTAGTTGAATGTGGATGGTCGTATGACACTCCTGGATGAGTAGGCATTCGGGTGCCTACGTACCTCAATGCAGGATCCCAGCGTCGGAACCACTAAACATGGAAATGGCTTTTCCCAGTTCCTTGCACGATGTGCTCTATTGTCACGCCCATCGCGCCAGTAGCGCATCTGGCTTCCTTGTCAGTTCGACTTGAACTCAACAATAGGAGGCGGGGGCTGGCGCTGACGATACGTATCGGTTGCACGTGCAAGCATAAACTACGTTTGTACTCAGTGATAATGGAATCAGCCGGATCATGTGTTTCTAAGGGGTACTCGATCGTATGCAGCTGAGCCGATTAGTAGCTATTCTGACGCGTCTGACCCTGATGCTGTTCTCTGCACAACTGGCAATGGTGGTGTCACTCCTCCTGAACTATTCGATGTGCAGTTGTACTCAGTCGGTCCAACAATTACCAGGGACTGAGCCTCCACGTCCTCACCACTGACCCTGTTTAGATTATTTATCCGGCGCGTGAGGTTACTGAGCTATGGTCTGGTGGTCAAGTTGAAGACGGCTGGTATATCTTGCGAGCCACTCAGTCAGGTCGATACGTTACTCCTATTCTTGACACTGCAGCATGTTGGGGGGGCAGTGTGGCAGAAGCTGCGCAGGAGTTTAGGCGGATAAGTGAACGATAGCCAACCTTGGAGGCCAAGATGTGCTCACAGAACGGCGGCAGCGTGAAGATCCACTTGGAGGCAGTCTGCTCAACTCCAAGAGATCGTGAACTCGGTGCCGTCTGTGGCAGGATAGGAGAGGGCCACAGGTTGGACATACTTTGGAATTCACGTTCCCCGGCACGGCGAAGCTGTCACATGGCACCCGGAAGGATCGTGAACACATCAATTGACTTGCACGGAACGAAATGTGCCTACAGCTGATTCCCGGCTTGTCCAAGACAGTCAAGACGACATCTCAAAGCCGGGTGCCCAGCAACGAGGCAGATAATTCAATCTATGCCAGAGCGAAAACATCCAGGCCCATGGAGAAACGGCACTGAATGTCGATTTACGTTGTGAACAACGTGAGCTGGCAAAACAAAAGCTGCGGACGTCACATTAGCAGTCACTTGCAGGCCTGACACGGCCAGCACAGCTACGCAAGCTATCACGGCAGTTATACAAGACCAACACGTCTCAGCAGCGCTGCCGGTGAAGCTTGGGTAGTCACTGCCAGGCCGTGAGTCGATGCCATTCACCAACGTCCTGCTCTCAGGATTTTCATGCGCGGCGGTGATGTTGAACAGGCGGCTGCAGCGGACATGGCAAATCTGGTACGTCCGCTATCGGCAGACGAGCAGAGGATTGTGCCAATCCAGCTCAGCTGGGGCGGATATCGTGCTGGCGGTAGTCGGTGAAGAAAGGAAGACATGGCCAACAACAACAACAAACGCGGGCGACAGTGAACCGAGTGTGCGCCACTGGCGTGATCGTCCTAGTGACTTTTGTGTGAAGGGGGGGAAGCTTTGCGTCGATTCATGATGCGTGTGACAAGCAGTAGTGTGTGGTTGGGTAGGAAAAGTTTTCTGGATAAGGATCAGCCGCAGCGTGAATGGAAGAAAGAATTTCGATTTGGAGATTCGAGCTTGTCAGCACATGTGGGGGTGATCTTGGCCTGAGGCACCCAATAGGTACTCTTGGGCTCCCTCCAGTCGGTGTTCTGAAAAGAGAAGAGCCCGCTGCGGAGAAGGCGTGTTGATGGAGATCGCCGAGCATGAATTTGCCAATGCTGCAGTTTATAACTTGATACTGACACAAAGAACTGACCATTGAAGAATCATGGTCAGCCTCTCCAATCACCGGCGCTTAATGTCTTAGAATGTATCGATACTTCCTAGACTCGAGAAGAGTAACTATTGGCCTGACCGCCTTGGGCACACCAACGATGCATTTGACATCGTGAGGCGGTGGTGCGCAATTGTTGATGAAGCGCCCACACGCCGACGGCGGCGTGGGACCCGTGGGGTTCTCCAGGGTCGCCAACGGCGGTTAATCAGATCAATCAACCGGCTGCCTTTACTCCGGATTCGCGACAGCAGATGATCAACAATTGAAGGCACAAGTCTTAGTCAGTGTCGTGTACGTATGTCGTACGTTACGTGGATGTTGACTAAACCTTGACACCCTGCATGTGGAAAAGTAACTATCACCACCAGAGCATTCAGCCACTATTACATGTCCGAGGAGAAGGGCATCCCAACCTCCTTTCCCGCCGCTTCATTGCCCGTCACCGCCTGTGTGAATAAGGCTTCCTGGCTCACGAGACCGAAGAAATACGCCGGGTGGAGCTACAATCACCCCTTGCGCGGCGCGCTATGTGGTGGACTGGTGGTTATGCTTGGCTCAATGACATGGAACATATGAACCTTTTAGCGTGCGTCGTGAGTCCAACCCAAATAGCATCATCCATTCGCTGATGGAATATTAGGCAAATACCATCCGCGAACAAATGCGTAATACGAACCAATATTAGTGACCGAAAACCTGTCTTTGACAACAAAGTATTTCTGAAGACGGCGTGACTTGTTGATGCAAGCTTCCCCGCTTCATGCTCCCAGCATTGGTTCACAGTCCTCTTTCTAGAATGCCGTCGGAAGCCCTGCAAGTCTGCAACTGCACAAAGTACAGCGGGAGAATGCAGACTGTCAAACTCGCGTTCAATCTCAGGCACTATGAAGCTCGCGACTGACCATCTACTCGAGAGTCTAAACTCGTAGACCGAAGATAGGGGACAAGTTGCGCTCTGCGTATTAGATCAGCCATTTTCATGCTTCCACCAGTCAAGGCACTGGAGCTGCTTACGGACTAGACGCAAGCAGACGTTGTTGAAACATACGCCATCGTACCGGGTCGGCGGGAATCGGGCTGGGCCTTGCCAGATGGCTGTCAGAACGGAAGATGGCGTGTGCTCCCACGCGTCTGGGTGCGCATTCGGGCCTCTACCCGTCACTCCTTGTCAGAAAAGGGCAAGCAGTATTTTTGTCCCGCTTGCCAAGCTAATCTACCTGCCAACAAACATTATCCTCATTCTTTGTCACGATGGACGGAATCAGACTGGAGAAGACATGGGACTTGGAGAAAGATAGGAAGCTTAAGTTTGACTTTCAACATGATCAGCATTCTCATCCCTAGTAAAATGCCTCCCCCATATACTCCAGACTCCTTCCCCGTCGCGGCATGGAGGAATCCGGGGTCGAGCTTAGGTGTCTGTTCCTCATCCACCCGAAGCGTCCTTTGATGGTTGGCATCACGACCACTCGCGGACGAGAATGAAGGTGAACTGCCGGGAGATCTAGGCTTCAACAGGCACTAGCGATTGGTCTTTGGTTGTGTCGTCGCGCATGATGCGCGCTGTCACTGGTACCAGGTTCCAGGCTGGTTTTATTTTACCCAGCGATACCAATGCGGCAATGTGACGAATAATACTGGGCTTGCGCTCACCCAGACCGAGAAAGACACTTAACTTCTCACATCAACAAGACAGAAATAACGCTGATTGACGTGCAACATGTACCAGTCGCAATAAGCACCAGCAGCCTCACTGCAGCCATAACTTATAATACTTAGGGTAGACATCACCACTTCGTATAATACGGTACGACACACCCGCTTGGCCGGGCAGACGTCCACGAGCCTCGCGCCAAGGCCCTACCAACTGAATGACCGTGCGTGTTCGAAGCGGATTATCCGCACATATACGATCTTCGCTTTTGTCGGTAGTGAAGGGCCTGGGCTGACCCGTCACATACGATTCCATCACTCGTCAGCCAAGCTCAGCCCCTGGAGCGGGCAGTGAGCTATGTAGGTCCTGTTGGCTGGGACATCGTGAAGGTTGCAATTACGTGTGCCGCAATTGTCAATGCGAACGGGCCGAAGGTCAAACTCCAAAGACACGCACGATCGTTTGACAAGACGGTACGGCCTGTGCACGCAGCACGACTAGCCGACATGCTCCTCACAAGACGGCTTTTGTGTCAATTCAATCCGCACGTCTTAAGACTGACCGGACGTTCGCTGCAACAACCAACCCCTCGTTGAACGCTTTCTTTGGACGACGGCCTGGCCAAGCCGAAAAGCAGAATGGAAGGACTGATGAGCGTGCGGAATGTGATGAGCGTGCGGAATGTGATGAGCGCGTGAGCAGGGCTCCAAGCACGATGATGTCTTCGAACGTCCAAGGTGCTCGTGGCCCAAATTTAGACGAATAAAGACCCTTGACCTTGCTGCTGTCTTGCAGCGAGCTGTTGCTGCATCATGCAGACAATCCACAGGACCCCGGCATGGGACCGTGCACCCTAGAGGTCTGAATCCCTGCGTTGGTCCAAGGACTCATAAACATAGAGACGTCAGCCGCACGCGGACTGCTCGTGGGGATGACGATGACGCCCAATTGTCTGGGCGACTCTAGGGCTTGCCGGGCTAAGTTCGGCTTCCTACTTGGCGCCCAAGTAATTGATGAAGCAAATAGCGGTCTGCGCAGGTCAACGAGGTTGGAATTCTCATGTTGCCTGGGCAAAGCCTGGGCAATTCGGGCAGACTGGAGTGGGGGCCCGGCTAAGTAAGGCAAGGTTGCACGGGATCGTGCTGCTTCAAGGGGCGCACCCCCACTCCATGCCTTGCGGTAGCGTCCAGCCCCGTCGTGTCGACACCAGTCCGATTGAGCTGTTGTAGCGAGGTTCCCGGTCCGACCCAGCTTGATTGTGATGCCACCTGATGCAACATACCTAAATAATGTGCCATTCCACGAGATAGAAAATTCTTCTTTTTGTCCATCTTTTCGTAGAGGGGTCGCGTCCATGCTCGTGAGCGCCGAGCCGCCGCCGCCGCCTCTGATCCGTCCGCACTGTCCAGAAGAGGTTGTAATGTGTTCGCGAAGCGATCCAATTGCATGTCAGATCGACCCTATGCATCGTATGGAGCGAGTCTTCGCAGGGCCAAGATGTGCATCTCGTCAGAGGTATCTTGTCAGAGTTAGAGGAATCGGGTCTTTGTACAGGTACGAACGATGCTAATAAGCGGTCGAGTTAAGTCTTGATTACCGTAATCAGTCCTGTCAGATCTCTGAATAATGGGTACTAACAACGTGGAAGTAGAACGCCATGTCAAATCCGTACGTAGTGTAGTAGTTTATGGACCTTGGGGCTGCCCCAGCGCTTGTGTGCTGTCAGCCGGTTCCTGAAGGAAATGTGTCCAGCGGGAGGATTATGACGAGCACTGCCATAGGAGCTAGGCCAGCCGCCACTGGTTGGTCAATTGATGAACGGCTAGTACAGTGGTGTGCTTACCAGGTACCTTACCGCACCCTTACACGGGGTTGGGTTGGCGGGGAGGGACCTGCTAGGCCCTTTCCCAAAGCCGTGGTGATTTAAATACACCTGTAGCAATAGCGAATGGGTAGGCTCTATGGATGATAGGGACTGTAGCTTGAGGAGCCTTCTGCGTACAGGAATCCGGTTCGGATTGCCCAAAAGTGATGATCCGAAAGCGATGGAGTAAACCCTGGCTGGCGCTTGCCCTTTCCATAAGTGCTATCCCACTGTATCTGGCAATTGGGAAGCTTCCATCGATGGACAGCCACGGAGCAGTGTGCCCGTTGCGCGTGCCAGGTAAGGCAAGCAGGACCTTGGTTATTGACAATAACAAAGCCAGCCCAGGATCATCGCTGATCCATGCTGGTCCGGTCACGGTACCATACCAGATATTGCAACAATAATTATCACTGCGACGAGCCAGCAGCATCACGATGCCCTAATTCGGGAGGCAGCCATCTTACACGGTCAAGCAGATCATGCCAAGGTTTGTGCAAGCTGCCATACCAGAAGCTAGGGTATGCTGCTCTTGGCTCTGCAAAATGCTGCATTGCATCCAACAATTCCCATAGACCACCTTCGAGCCCCAAAGCCATCTCGCAGCCCGCGTCGATAGCATCCACACTCCACATTCGACAGTCAGTGAACCAACGAGCGATCGCCTGCTCGCCGCCGAGCCAAGCCAGATACAAACCCTGCAGCGCCATCCCACTCTAGGACGATCCCACGAGCGTCATTCTGGTGAGCTGTAGGTAGGCGCCACTCTGTTTCGAAGCAGTGCGGCTGCTCCTGTGATTTAAGGTGAGCGGCACGCGCTTCGCGCAAAACGTTTTGGGGACGGGCTGCAACTGGCAAGCCGAGCTCGCAAGTACTTGTAATTCAGTAACAAGCAGCACGTCGATGTACCTCGACACGCTCCTGGATATCTTTGGTCTGTGTGGTCTGACTGCTTCATACGTATACTACGTATTGACGTACGGACATTGTAACGCCGGCTGTTGGTGCCATCCTACATTGGTCGCTGACATTCTCTACTTATTTTGCACGGATGGGAGCTGTCTAATGATATTATACGGAGACTAAGGTACGAATCACCGGTTGGATCTGGAAGGATCGACATTATACGCGGTACTTACGACAATACGGATACACGAAGACATTTCCCCTTTAGCCGAGGGGTGCATGGGCATATAACTGCTTACAGCCACGGCCTCTACGCCCGATTCCCGCTGTCTGCTTTGTCCAGTTTCGTCAGACTGCGGAAAGTGCAACAAAGTTCATCTTTTAGTTGAAGTTGCCGGCCCTTTGCGATCGACTTGTCTCGATCATCTTGACTCGGATTGTTGCGAGTGGACCATGGACCAGACCAGCTAGACAAAAAGGATAAAACCCCGAGTGTCCGCTACGCATGCACACAGGTCACAGACCGAGAATTCTCCACTCAGCGCTAGCAATCAATCATCCATCCACCCAGCGACTGGAGCGACCGACCGAACCTGCCACCGAGACGGGACTGCCTGCTCGGCTCCCGTCGTCCTGAAAACGGACAGCAGCACGACTGCGAAGAACTCGTACAACTTGGCGGCGCCGGGCTCGAGAGCAACACTCTCCCATTGCTTGACCTCGAATTCTTGACAAATTGAGAGCAAGACGAACGACAATAGCTGGGCATTTTTTGGTAACAATTACCTACTGGCGTGGGCGACATCAGTCCCACGCAAAGCCAAGCCAAGCCCCCCGCCACCTTTGACTAGTGGACACCTACGTGCAGTACCCTACCTCAGGGCGCCGTACAGTACCTTGCCCTCGCTGCACACCACAGCTAGGACGGACCAACGTTTTCCATTGCTTCCGTCTGTGCTGCTGCCAGGCTTGCCCCGATCATCGCCCTGTTACCCGCTCGCACTGAAGGGACTGTACCTGTACAGGCAGCGGTACGCAGTGCCGTTTTTGTGCCCCCCCCCCCCCCCCGTCGCTCCCCAAAATCACGAACCCACCGACCGCTCGCTCACTCGACATCGACTCAAGTCCCGGCTGCTCGCTGAACTGTCATTCCGCGAATCTCCCAAACCATCCTCATCGCCCGACAAACCGTGTCCTCACTTCACAAACTTCCTGCTTCATACTACACCTCCACGGCCGACCTGTCCCTGGACGCATCGTCTGTCACCTTCGGTCGCATCCGGGATCGGGAACCCTGCCTGCGACCAAACCAGCTGCCACCCACCATTACAGTTCCACGGCCGCACACATCCATACCACTTACATCAGTGCCCTCCCTCTGCCGGCTGACTTGGCCATCCCGACCCAGCCTCGTGTCTCTCTTCCTCCCTCACAACAGCTCACCACGAACACATCATGTTGATTAACGGAGAGAAATACGCCTGCGATGCCTGCGTGCGAGGCCACCGCGTGAGCAACTGCCATCACTCCGGTAAGTTCATTACTACCAAACTTCGTGATCAGTCCTTGAGTCGTGGCGGCGCAAACTTCTGCCCCGCGGTGCTGCAGATCATTGAGAAAAAGCAATCGTGCTGCAGCCCGCCGCGATCCAACGAGTGTCACGTCTCGCATGGCAAATCACCTCTTTTATTCTGCCCCTTTGAGCTTTGTCTGACCTCGGTGCTCCTGACAGATCGGCCTCTGCAACACATCAACAAAAAGGGTCGCCCAGTGTCCCAATGCAACCACTGCCGATCCGCGCGCAAAGCGCGGTCTTCCCACGTCAAATGCGACTGCGGCGAGAAGACCAGCAAGTGCGCGCACATCCAGCCTGCGGTCGACGGTCATACATCCACATGCTGCTGCAACCACGGCGGCCGATGCAGTTGTGCGGGCAAGAAAGAGCCTACACTCGACACCGTCCCCGAGACAGAGTCGGACACGGAGGCTTGCAACCCTCTACAATCGCGTCCCAAGATTGCGGCCCGGCGTCGACGGGCTGCCACTGTTCACTCGTCAGCCGACATGATGAACTTTGACCAGAATGGCAACAGGGTCTCTACGAGCAAAACGAGCCGCCCGTCCCACAAGACCGGCCCCTTCACTCTCAACCGCGTCAACTCAGCCAACAGTGCGGGCAGCCTCGGTGCCGCCTCGGAGGGCATGGCAGAAGCCCACCGTGGCGCCGCACACCAGCGACGTGTTAAATCCGAGGCGACATCCCCCATGCTTTCGGCCTCTGGCTTCCAGATGAACGGTTCTGTTCCTCCGCTCGACCTATCTGGGATCGACTACCCGTCCTACGCGCACAGCGGCAATGGTACCTTTGAGATGTTTAGCTCGGGGTACTCGCCCGACAACGACGCATCGTGCTTCAGCGCTGGCCTGCCCAGCACGGCTGCCTCGGTGGACTGGAGCCACTACGATTTCCCCGACGGGTTCGGGCCATCCAGCTATAGCCAGGCAGGCACCAATGGTTTTGGCAACTTTCCTGACTTTGCCAGCAACGCTGACCAGATTCCCAATCTGATCAACACCACGTCCAACTCGGGCGATGTCTCTGAAGTTGAGGACTTTATGCCCGGCGCGGACAACGACTACAACGCGGCCCTCATGCGTCACGACATGATGGGCAATGCTGCCGACATCAGCACGATTGACTACACCAACTTCTACAGCAAGGATGCAGACTTGACGCAGCAGACTGCGCCTGGCACTGGCATGTCCATGGTGGAAGACGACCCGGCTTTCTACTACCCCAACTACCACGAGAGTGTTGTGGATGAGAATACCGACCCCATGGGTACACAGATCGCCGCCTACAACAACTGGGATGAATTCTGAGCCAGCGGACGCTATGCCGGAGCTATTATTATACCCGGCGAGCCCCTTGCTCCGACTCGCCCTTTTGGTTGCTTATAGAAATTTCAACCGGTCCAGACGCGAAGCAAAGGGAGGGCGCAATGGCGCAGCTTGCTGGACCTGCCTCATCGGATTACTTCAACATTGTTTTCACTTACATTATTCAACAATCTATAGACATTGCATACATAGGGAGACTGGCGGCGTTTTCGACAAGGAGTTCAGGACTACACGCGAGAAAATCAAAAAGGGGCGACTTTCGACCGGCATAACAGGGCGGATGTGTTTAGGGCTGGATATGGATGATCACTTTGATCATGGTTTCAACCGGCGTTCTTCGCTGCTTGAAGAGGTGTTTGTGTTTTTTTCTCTTGCTTTTTTGTTCTTTGCGGTACGGTGGTCACCCATTTTAACGATGATGACTACAGCGGTGGCAGCGCATCGCTGACGATAGACTACATGCTTGATTCCTCCACGCGAGGCTGCACAATAGACTTGATCAGACACTTTGAAAGGCCCTGCTGCTCGACGGACTTGGCATCCATCCGAAGCACCTGTATCCGACCGAGCCATCCGCGCCATGCCACTACGTACGTACTCCGTACTCACCGCATGCTGCCATGGGGCGGCTGCGACGACCATAATTTCTAGCCGCGAACGTGCTCCGCCGACAGCACAGCTGTCAAGCCTTGCCAGCCGCAGGAACCCGATGAACGGAGGGTGACTCGCAAGAGTTAACGTGAATCCCCAGCACAGTGGACCCGCAGCGACGAAGCCATTATTACTGCCATTGGCAGCGATTTGTGTGGATTAGGGCACTCCACAGAGTACTATTACCCCGAGAGTGCTCACGATCATGGCTCTCCATAGTAATTATTACATGTTCATTTCCGATTCTGGTGCGGCTGGGGCAAAGCATGCAGCACAGTGGAGAAGGCATTTCCAGCAGATTGATATCAGGGGTGATGCATTCGAGTACAGTACGTACGTACTAGGTCCTCACTCAGACAGGCGGTCTTTGAGGGTGCACAGATTGTGATGCTATGAGCTAGAGTATGGGGTCTAACCGAGAACAGCCGCCAATACTGGAAGGAGAAACAGCCAAAGAGAAGAAGAAAAAATCGGAGGACTTATCCCTGACCTCGCGACTTGTCAAACTCAGACGCCACGGGACTTGTCTCGAAGAAGAAGTGTGGTTGGGAAAATGGAAAAGTGGGGTCTGTGTAGTTGGAGCCCCAAACTTTGGTCTCCTGTCTTGACTCAGTCAACGAAGAGACAGAGGAAGGGGTGCCGTCGTGTCGTCGATGATCTGGCGAAGACTGCTGTTTGTAGGACGTGTATGAATAATCATCGAGGGTGATAGGACGTCGAGCCCTAAGCTACCCTATACCTTTGAGACATTATTATATCGACTTGCAGTCGCGCTTACAATAGACTGCTCTATGGGGGAGAAAGGTTGACAGATTCTGGAAACTCGTTCTTATATATTACGGACTGTCTTGTTGAGTACCTTCATGCATAGTATCCGCAAGTGCGCCCTGTGGATCACCTAGCTGCACAACGTTGATGTAGGCGCCTGTCTTGGACGCCTGCAGACATCTGGCGGATGCCATTTCTAGCTGCGATACACGCACAAAGGCTGCCCAGTGGACGTTCGCTGAACTTGATGGACGACCCCTTGGACGTGGAGAACATGGTCATAGGCCTCATGGTACACATGTACTAGATATATGTAGTCTCAAGCAGCAACCCATGTTGCTATGCTACGCGTGCTGCCGTACGCCTTCGCCCATGACAATTATTATAAATATTATACAATCCCAAGTAGTCATACAAACTCGAAGTGTCCCCTGATTCCAGCGCGTCCAGTCGACTAATCAAGTGTCATTGGCACAGAAGCTTCATCTCCATTGGCCATGTCATTTGCGCTCGCTTCATCTTGAGTAGAGGCCGTTGCCAGATCAGCTAGGTGCTGGAGTGTAACATCGCCCGACGAGGACGTGGGGCGGACAAGATCCGACAGCTTATCCCTGATGCCGTCCCAGACACCACCAGGCCTATCCGAAAGATCCCTAATGAGCGTCGTCGCCTTCTCGCGCGAGTCCTCGTGGCTCAGCAAGCGGGAGAGAGACAGTATCACCAGACCGCCAAAGTGATTGGCGAGAGGATTACGCATGTCGGCATTGGCAGAGAGAAGCTTGATCAACTCCTCCATTGGCCACATGATGCCAGGTGTCGTTGTTTTAGGGGATAGTAGCGTGACAGCGAGCCTGCAATGCCAGTATGCGAGATGCACCAAAGGATGCGTCGACGGCACAACGTGATCTGGGAGGTCTTGTCGGTACTGCTCCACGTATTTCAACAGGATACTAGCCACGGCCGCTTCAGCCACGGTGACGCCTGGTGGTAGCGACGAGCTCACTTCGGATATGGCTCCCAAGGTATTAGATAGCCCTTTGTGATGTTAGCGAAAGGTACATTAAATGGAGACGAAAGAATAGTAGCAACTTACGAACAAGGTGGAAGCAGGTCTCGTTGAGGACCGTGTCCAAACCCCGAGGAACGACAGCGCTGTGGTCGGGTATTAAGACAGGCTTGCCAGTAGCCACGGCATGCCATCGATCCATCAAGATGAGCGACCACCACACGCGGATACACAACGCATCCTGGGAATCCGGTGGAAGATCATCAGGCAAGTTCTTGGTTGTCCACAACTTCATGTCGTTGGCTAGCACAACAGCCCGGCCCATGAGGTAGGGCATCGAAGGCGACCCCCGCCAGTCGGCGTCAATTATCAACAACAAGAGCGTCTGGACATGCACAAGGTTGACAAGGGGTGTTCTCGGTGACTCCTCGCTTTCCCAGCCCGCGAGTAGAGTGCTGGCAAGCCGCACGTTTCCTGAGGAAGACTGAGCAACCGCTAACAGCGCGTGGGCAAAGGCAGTTCGGACGGCATGCGGACATTGTTGCAGGAGCTCCTGCATGCGCGGCAGGTTGCTCGGCAGGATCGGATAGAGCGTTTGAAGGGTCGAGAGATAGCTGCAAAGGGTTAAACTCGGACGAGACGTGAAGTTAGCAAGGTACTTACTCTTGAAAAACGCCCTCTTCGACGGCAGGCCCATCTCCCCAGTCAGCCAGTGAGAGATCCATAGCTGCCTCGGCTGCGTTGTGATCGTGGGAAGGAATGGGCAAGGGCTGAGGAGCCAAAGAAGCGCTGTTGTATGACTCTGTTGCATCCATGTCCGCCTGGTTCTGTGCAGACGGGAGCTGGCGCGGGCCCCATGGAGTGTTCCTAGATGCCAGAGGCGAGCCCATGTCGCCGCCAGATATACTCGAGTAAGGCCGCTTCCTGCCCGACTCCTCCGCCGAGTTGCTTTGTCGGAGAGGCCTATCGCCGAACAAGCCAGACAGATCCTCTGAAGTCAGGCCACCATCTGTCTCAAGTTTGCTCTCAATGCTGTTGATACGATCTGCCAATTCCTTGATGTACCTGCAACATTGTTAGTCTCAGGCTTGCTGCCGCAAAACGATGCACACACCCTTTGCTGGGGCCCCTTTTCTGAGGCACCCTGCTGAATAGACAGGGAATGTTGGAGCGAGCACAGCTAGAGCAAGGTTGGTCGCCAACACCGTCATTTTGAGCATCGCACTTGATCTTCTTTCTTCTGCATTCGTCACACGCTCTGGACACTTTTGACCTTTTGCGTGGGGGGACGTTATCACTCGTCAGCGGATTCCACGGCTGCAGCTGGGCATTGATTGAGACCGGAAGGCCGTGCGACAACATCGATTCCGATGTTGGCGTTCCCTGCATATAAGCAGAGTTGTGATGGTGATGTTGCTGTTGCTGTTGCTGCTGCTGTGGAATATCATGGTGTTGCTCTGGCGGCGGCGGCTGTTGTTGGTGATGGTGTTGCTGTGGCTGTGGCTGTTCCTCCGATGGCTGCTCATGATGCTGCTGCTCTGGGGCTGGCTGCTGATGTTCGGGCTGATGTTCGGGATGCGGCATGATATGGCGCAAGTTCGAATCTTCCGTATTCATGTTTGGGTCGGTGCTGGGTAGCAGTGGCGTCGAGGCGATTGTGTGACCAAGTTGCGCAGCGAGTTGGAGCTCCTCAATATTAGGGGGACGGCCGTTTTGCTGCTGTGACCCTTCCGCATCATGCTGATGCATCTCTGTCTGCATGTGCTCATGGTGCTGATGCTCCTGGTGTTGTCCGTCCAGGTTGTGGTCCTGGTCATGATTGTGGTGGTCTTGTGCCTGCGCTACATCGTCCTCGTCGTCGAAGGGCTGTTTACGATCCTCGGGCTCATCCATGTGCTCCTGGGAAGCTGTGTTATAGAAAGGCCCAGCGTCGCCTGTGTCCGCATTAGGTGAAGGGTACGTTATCGGGCCATTCGCATCGCCATCCTGGCCTTCGTTCGCGGCACTCATTGTGGGGATTTGGGCGCGCGCCGTCTTTTTAATTTGCGACTTCGAAGAGGATCGCGACGCTTGTCACCAATCGCCAGGGACTGAGGATATTTCTGTCGATGCTGCAATATCTTGGTAACGAGGTCGAGGAGAAGCCAGGCGTGTTTCTCCACGCTGGCCAATCGTCTAGAATTACAGTCGTTAGCATATTGGTGTCACCAAGAGAATTGTGTTCGTCGCGCGAAAAGCGCATGATGCTTCGCCAATTTGCATCGACAGCGACGGTGAGCCATGATGATTTATCATTGTCACAGAGCGTCGCTGTTGTGAAGTAGGAAGGGACTTACATGTATACACGATCTTCGAGTCGGTCGATGGTAAATGCGACGCGCCGCGTCCGCTCAACGGATCAGGAAGAACTCGGCGCCGTGGACGGTGGGTGATTCTGGCTCGTGGGAATCTCGCAGTGCCGTGCACAGTTCGGAGGTGGAAGAATCTTTCGGCATCTGCGTGAGCAGTAACCGCGACGGATGCTTATGTAATCACACAGCAGTATACTTTCTGGCTTGAATCTGGCGCAATGACCGGGGGGCATGGTGATCACGTTCTGTGATTGCTCATGTTGGACAAATCTGTCTTTCAACAATCACAAATACTCTCGGCAACTTATGTCGAATCGCGTGCGCATGCGATCAGTGTTTTCTGTCTGTGCTGAATCCATACTCTTCCGGCTGCTGTGGCAATCAAAAAGTCATTCCACAAACGAGAGATGGAGGGATGACTGATGGAGACTGGCTGGTTACAAGCCGTGCGCGGGTTTCTAGGTCCAGAGCCGCAGACAAATCCTTCAGTATTCATTTCATCGACATAATCTATTTCTTTCCAACTCCGCTCTTTGCCGGTACCGAAAGCGTGCTGCTATAAGCCCTGTGTGCATCTCGCGTTAGACTGACGAATAATATCAACCTCATGACATTCCCCAGAGGGAACGCGTTGTCCGCAACCCCTCAGCAGTCTGATCTGAGACTAATAGATTCAAAGTTTTTCACTTTTGTGCCGTTTGGTATCTGGCACTGAGCTACATAGACGACACTTTGAATTGGGAAGAGGGAGGCATGGCGACGACAAGCTGCCACGCGAAGGTCTCGAATTTGATGCTCTCACACACAAGCTCGCTCTGAGATGGACCTGGGCAAAGCGCAGAGTTGGAGCTATATGCCAAGGATCCCTAGCGAAATTGGAGCACTGCGAGGACTGCTGCAGACGTACAGTGAGATATCGGAAGATGATATCGACCAACACCTCTTCAATATTGTGGGTCACCTCGACACATAGTATTGACCTGTTGCCATCTACTGACTCGTTCACCAGCGCGCAAAGGCATGGAGTGTTTCGCAGACGCCTTCAATAGGGCGATGGAAGTTCCTCACATTGATGAACCGCGATGATGATCTGTATCAAGAGATTCTTTTTCGCCTGAAATTGCCACGAAGTCAAGCAGCGATTCTGGACCTCGGATGTGGTTTAGGCCAGGTCCTGCGGCAACTGCGATCGGATGGGGTGCCGGGTCACAAACTGTTTGGGACAGACATGAGCTCGGAGCTCATCGAAATCGGATACGAAATGTTTCGCGACAGATATACTCTCGGGGCTACCTTTGTACTGGGCGACATGATCGACCCAGATGACAACCGTTTGTCCAAACTCCAGGGGCAGATCACAGTGGTGATTGCTGATAGCTTCTTCCACTTATTCACCTGGACGCAGCAACTTTACATCGGCAAGCGCCTTGTGGGCTTCATCAAGCCAGGGACACATAATGCGGCGATAGTTGGCCGGCATGCTGGAGTGAACAATAAATCACCCGCAGCAGGTCGAGCGAGCAACTCGCCGCGAGCAGAACCTTTCCTGCACGATCAGAGGACGTTTCAACAGCTGTGGGACGAGGTAGGGAAGCTGACGTCCACCCGCTGGCATGTGGAGTCGGAGCAAGATGGCTCGCTATCGGACCAATTGCCAGGTGTAGAGCCTGGTGTCGTGCCTATGAGGTTCACGATCCGTCAAATACCTCACAAATAACGTGGGTGCACCATGCGGACCTCGTCGCATGACTCGCATTGATTGGCATTGATCGACCTGATCCAGGGACGGACTGGAGTTGACGCGACGTCGCCTTGCTCAAGAGTAGCGATAGTGGGGGAATGCTCCGGAAAACCAACTATTGTAGCTAGAGCGCTAACTCATGCGGCACATACTTCAGCTGTTTCCTCGGCAAAAGATAGGTGGTATGAAAAAAAAAAAAAGTTCAAATCAAATAAAAAATTGCAGAAGCCCTTCTAGGTCTTTCAAAGAACCAGTTTTATCTGCCTAGGCACGAATCCTGGCCACTCTGAATTTAGTCTGTGCTAGTGTATTATCGGACCATGGGGACAGCTCATGCGCGCGTACCTCAGATGTCCCACCGTGACTGCCCCTCGCGTCACGTCGGGGATGCAGCAGCTGTTGGTTGCGATTGTCAATAAACTTCCATACAAGCGCAACACACTATACTCGCCGGGGCGCGGCTCTACCAACTGCCTATCGTCTCTTTGAGACTCCCTGGGCCTATTATCGATTTCTGCAGCAAAACATGAGGCTCTGGACAAGCCTCACAACGTCACCATGGACGCAGACTGGGACGAGGTCAGTGGATTTACCACAAGCAGGCGGGCGACTGCTTGATGAGAGTTGTCTCGCGAGCTGCAGCAGATCGGAAACCGCCAACAGTATCTAGATGTCTTGGGGTCATGTAGCTAACCAAGCATCGGCGCGGTAGATTGCCCGGGTCCCGTTCCCTCCACCGAACCTCCATGCGATGCCGACTCCCGTGTCAACGATGACCTTCGACAACCTCCAAGAGCTTCTGTGGACAGGCAATGAATATGTACGTGGGGTAAGGGCAAATATGGGATGCAAAAAGCATACTGAACCTCAGGCATAGGGTCGCGTCACCTCGTTCTACGGGGCAGAGCTCCAGCGGTACACCTCGTTCAAGGCGCATGCAGCGACGGAAGGACCAGTGCGGCAGATCCTGGTCAACGATAAAGGTGTGATAGCGTTGGGAGCCAAGGACCTGCATATGGCGATGCGGAGGGGACTTCCGCAATGGCATATCAGGTGAGTGTGATTGCTCTAGCCCTCGTGGAGACGCTGACACGCGGCAGACACCCTGACATGAAGGACCTGAAATGCATGAGCTTCACATCAAAGGGAACCGCTGAAGTGTTACTGGCAGGTCTGCAGGAAGTAATGCTCGTTGTAGACCTCAATAAGGGTGAGGTCACAAAGCAGGTAGGTCGACAAGACTCGGGACCGGAAACTCCAGCTCACCAGTTTCAAGATACCAACGGAGCACCGCTACACCATAATGCGTCGCGGGAGGTACATCTGCGCGGCAACAAAGACGGGGTCAGTCCACCTACTTGACCCCATCAGCTTTGCAGTGGTTAGGACATGGAACGCCCACTCAGCCCTGATCAGCGACATGGACGCGCAGCACGACTTTATAGTTACGTGCGGTTACTCACTACGCCAGGGTCAGAACTATGTTCTAGACCCTTTTCTCAATGTCTTTGACATCAAGCAAATGTCTTCCATGCCACCAATTCCCTTTCCAGCCGGGGCTGCGTACGTACGCATGCATCCTCGCATGCTGACAACCAGCATAGTGGTCTCACAAGGTGGCCAGATACACATTGTTGATCTCATGAACCCCAATTCTAGCAATGTCCGTCAGGCCAATGTTCTGACATACCTCGCCATGTTCGACGTCGCACCATCCGGAGAAGCGATTGCATTGACAGATGCCGACTGTCAGATACATCTCTGGGGCTCACCTAGCAAGATGCACTTTGTTGACCTGCCAGCGCCTGTGGAGTTTGCTACCCCCGAAGAGCCGTCGCCGCAGATAGAATGGACTGCCGATACGTAAGTGGACTCACCGACGCCTCGTTCGTTCTTCGCATATCTGACCATCACAAGACCCTCGAATCTAATAGGCTTGCCGTACTATCGAGAGTTGCTGGCATCTGCCTGGCCGGAGAATGTCAGCGATGTAGGCGCACCTCCCGTAAAGTACGATCCACAGTTCCTCGCCTCGCTCAAACCAAGCGATTTTGGCCTCTACGGTCGCAACACCCGTGGGCTGCGGCGAAACCAAGTCGAGCTTACCCGAGATTCCGAGAAGCAGGCAAAGACGGGCCTCAAAGCACCCAAATTCCTCAGCGAGAAAGCGAGAGAGTCAGTTCAGTCCATTGGCGGCGGGGACGATAAGGCGGACGACCTTGCCAGTCCACTTGGGGACACGACAATAGACAGCAAGAAAGCAGAGGTGCCAGTGATGTATCGCAGTGTCGAGATCAAGTACAGCAAATTCGGTGTGGATGATTTCGATTTCGGGTAAGTTATTCCTTCACACGTCGCGGAGGTCAGTACTGACAGAGAGCAGTTTCTACAACAAGACGCGGCACTCCGGTCTTGAGACGCACATTTCGAATTCCTATGCTAACGCATTGCTACAAATCCTGCACTTTACACCTCTTGTACGCAATTTGGCTCTCCAACATGCTGCAACTGCTTGTGTCGGAGAATTGTGCCTACTCTGCGAACTTGGGTTCCTGTTCGACATGTTAGAGAAAGCCGAGGGCTCGATTTGTCAGGCCACAAACTTGCTCAAGACGCTGAGCAACTATCCCCAAGGTATGATGAGCCATCCTGTTCAGTGTATGTCGTCCTAGGCGCTAACGTCTCCAGCTGGTGCCCTGGGCTTGCTGGAAGAGGACCCGCACAACACGTCTGTCAATATCATGCTCCAGGGGTTGACTCGCTTCTTGCTTGATCGATTCGCGCAAGACTACAAACCATTGTCGCCGAACCCAGCGGCAATGGAGCAGGTAAGGGGACCTGGCGGCAAACTTGAAGTCTCGGGCGGATGCTGATATGTAGTAGATGCTAACGACACACGCCACGAGCTCGATCAAATGTATGAACTGTCGGAGCGAATACACTCGTCCGGCGGCGACGTTTGTTAACGACTTGATGTACCCTTCTTTAGTAAGTCTGGCTTTTGTATCACTCTTTGGGTGGGCTGACGAAGGAGCAGAAAGCGCCTGGCCGCAATGCAAAATCCCCACGGATCACCTTTTCGCAGGTGTTGAAACACAGCATAGAGCGCGAGACTACGTCCAAGGGCTGGTGTAGCCGGTGCCAGAGATACCAAACGATATCAACGAGGAAGACTGTGCACAACATACCAGCAGTCTTGATGTTGAATACCACCATCACGAGCCAAGAACACAAGATGCTCTGGGCGACTCCAGGCTGGCTCCCGGAGGAGATTGGCATCATAGTGGAGCAAGGCCAATTCTTCTGTTACGAGGGCGAAGACCTCAAACTGCACCTGCAGAGGGGGATACACAACATAACTGTCTACTCTCTTGTGGGCGCTGCCGTCAACATTGAGAACGGCCAGGCACAAAAGCCGCATCTTGTGTCTATAATCAATGGTATGGCAACCCCATGTATGCTCTAGCGAGCGGTGAAAGCTTACGTGTTACAGTTGCACACGCTGAACCCACTGACCCTGGGAAAAGCAAATGGCACTTATTCAACGATTTCCTCGTACGCTCGGTGACTGCCGAGGAGGCTCTGACATTCAACACCGCGTGGAAGCTGCCATCGGTGCTGGCATTCCAAGTCAAGGAAGCCAATAACCAGATGGACACCTCATGGAAAATAACGCTCGATACCTCGTTGCTGTACCAAGATTTCAAGTATGAGCAGTACCTTGCGCGCGTGAACCGTTCACTGACAGTTGCTAGCCCCAACGCGGATCCAGCTACCAAGACGTACCAGGTGCTGAACCCAAACACGGAGGCTCCAGGCCCCGGCATGATCATTGCTCTTGACACCGAATTCGTTGCTGTACGGCAGCCAGAGATCGAAATGAACTCGGATGGCGAGCGAGAGACAATCCGCCCCATAGTATACGCCCTGGCTCGTGTATCTGTCGTTCGTGGGCAGGGCCAAGACGAGGGGAAACCGTTTATCGACGATTACATTGCTATCAGAGAGCCGATCGTCGACTACCTCACTTCCTACTCTGGTATCACACAGCAGGATCTCGACCCGCGCGTGGCCAACCACTGCATTCTGTCCTTGAAAAAGGCTTACAAGAAGCTCTGGATCTTGCTCAACCTCGGCTGCAAGTTTCTCGGCCACGGCCTCAAGCAGGACTTTCGCGTCATTAACATCCATGTACCCAAGGTGCAGGTCATTGACACAATCGACTTGTTCTTCCTCAAGGCGCGCCTCCGCAGGCTCTCTCTAGCGTTCTTGGCGTGGTATCTGCTCAAGGAGGACATCCAGCTGGAGACGCACGACTCGATCGAGGATTCCAGGACGGCACTAAAATTATATCGGAAATTCCTCGAGTTTGAGGATGCAGGTATTCTAGATCAGATGCTGCTGGACATATACCGAGTCGGCCGGGATGTTAACTTCAAGCCGCCGCGGAAGGAGGGCCAAGGAATCCAAAGAACGGACACACCACCGCTCCCAGCAGAGGGCTCGACTGGCCCGCCGACGACTCCTAAGAGGGACTCGGGCTCTTTGACGGCCAGCGTCCCTGGTTCGGCATTTGGAGGGACTTTAAGCTGGACGCCTGGTAAGGGATCGCCAATGAGATAAGGTGGTCAGCGAACACGGGTGGATTTGATGAATAGACGAATGGTCAGTGTATTGCTTTAGCGACGGCATACATATTCAGAAAGGCATGGTTTGTATTGAGACAAAGCGCTCACACTCGTATGGTTTTGTCTGGCTGCCACTGAGAACTGCAGAAGCATCGTGATTAATACCAGAGCAACGCGCATCCTCCTCTGTGTCCGTGGCCTAGCTTTCTACCCAGCTGAATTCGTCTGCAGGCTACCGCTGGGGTTTCATGGGAACTTGGGAATCTGCAACTGTCCCACAACCGTGTCCAGACCAGGCGCAGCACTCTTCACGTCATGCATGCACATTGCCTGCTGGTTGCCAAAGAGGTTCTTTGTGACGGTGGACGTCTCGTCGAACGATAGCCGACGCCGTAAATGGTGCGGCACAATGGCGATGGACGACATGGCCGTAGTGGTGACTGTGTTTGGCAGGTCCACCGTGTTGGGGAGATGGTACGTGCCTAGGTTGAAGTATCTATCAAGAACGTTCTGGTCAGTGTCCAATCCTCTCTAACGGGGGAAGGGAAGGTCATACAGTACAATGTCCTCCTGTTCGAGACTTTCTCCGTTGAAGAACTCGTCAAAGTCGACGGCTGGGTTGTGCGGGTCGTGACTGAATGAATGCGTATGCGCTCTTGGGTTCCGTGTCGTGATTCTGGAGGGCGTACAGGCTGTGGGTGGCCCAGTCGATGGAGTTTCCCAGAGCGGAGGATGACTGCACGGTCAAGTAAGCAGTGCTGCCGCTATCTGAACTCGATGCCAGCAGAGTTTCCCGAAGGCCTATGGTTAGGAGGTGGGTATGGTAGCATGGTGCCTCTCCTTACTTGTTGAGCGCATTCTTGTTGACGACGGCATGCATGACAGCTCCGTTCTTGGACCAGGTGATCTTGGCGTCGTCTTCGTTTGTAATGTACGTGTGCTCCACCTGCATGGTGTTGATGCCACGCCCCTCGGACCAGGCGTAGCTGATTCTCGTCAGTACCTGACTCTGGGGCTGCTTGAAGTGTCAATTCTTACACTTGGGCCTTTGGGACGAATTCAGACTTCAGTAGGCTGTTGTTCCGCCCCTCAATGTCCAGGTCCAGCTTGAAGCTGATCACATGATTATGCATCGAGCCTGACAAGTTGTCGTAGATGTGGAATCCGTATCCATCGTCTCCTTACCAAAAACACTCCCTAGATGGAACCTGATGTCAAGTATTGAACTCAAAGAGACACAGGCTGTCGGGGTGCACACAGGTGGTTTCGGTGATGTAGAACCTCGTGTTGAGGTACGTGGCGTGGGACGGACAGTCGAACTGCATGCCAACATCATTGTGTTTGGAGATGTAGAAGGTGCAATCCACTGTACATGATCAGCCAGGAAAAGGAAATCGGATATTTCATCAAAACGTACTCCACTCAACATAGCTCTCCTCCACATCGACGCCAAAGCGAGGCCCGTCTGGCTGCACTGAGACGGGGGAATATAGATTGTCGCGAGGAAGGCTTTCTCCAGCATGGTCGGACGAGTTCCACGGTCCGTCGACGACCGGGCCTGGCGTTCTTTTTGAGACTCTGGACCCCTTTTTTGAACAAGGCGGTGGAAGGCCAGCAGTGGCCATCGTAGTACCAGCCGACGACTAACCACTTTTGAGGCATCACGACCGGTGAGATCCACCTTGAACTGCAGGCTCGTGGGCAACACGGTCTCCGAGAAGAACTCGCCAGAGTGTGCAGGGTAGAATTCGTTCCATTGGTAGATCCTGTCGCCAACGTGGATGAGGGGGTCGCTGCCGGCGAACAGTAGATTGTCATCGTCTGCTCCCGTAGCGGTCTGTGAAAGTCGTCAGGCAGGGGATTCTCCTGAATGTAAGACCAATCATTCTGAAGTCGTCGAGAAGCCTTTGTGTGGTGTTCTTGGAATCCTTTCGAACTTTGAGGTTGAATGAAGCAATCGCTTCCCTATCAGCATTGTACACGTTTTTCAGACCTCGACCGGATATAAACATGTAGTTGAGCTCTTCATAGTGAGCGGTAGAGTTGTTCAGAGGCAAGGGTCCGACCATGTACTCCCGAAGGTATGGCTGCTCCTGTGAATGGAACTGCAGTGTTGCTTGGGCGAATCTAGGAGGGAGAGATCCTTCTTGGTCGAGGTAGGCCGGTGCATCCGTCTTGTTGGGCTGCAATACGTCCGTGGTCACGATGACATTGTCCCATCTGCTCATGGCCAGCCATATTGTGGTCTAGCCTGGTCATTCATGAACCAGACAGGACCTACGAGGTTGAGTTGACTGACTATTGCAGTGAGGTTGAGCTCTTTCTGCTCGTGGAGGTACGCGGTAACATCGGCATAATCCTGCTTCATGAGGGTCTGGAAGGTGTTCCTCTTGGGCGCGCTGATTGCAACATTCTCCGGAGGCTTGCAAGTATGCTTCGAAGCCCCATCACCATCGTGTCGCTGAGCAGGACGGTCTGAGAGAGTGTACACGAGCGGCCAGTCCAGGGAGACCAGGTCGTGCGGCTACATAAGGCGATATTGCCAGAAGACATAGCTCCCAGCAGATGGTCCGCATGTTCGCTGCTGGTAAGACCGGAACGCTGGTGCTGACCAGTCGTGGAAGACAGCCATGTGCAGAGCATTGGCACAGCAATTCTTTTACGACAGCAGCTACTTAGAACGTTGATCAAGGCACGTCAATGATTACCCTATGTATCCCACAAATGTTGGCAAAGGCACTAGCTGCATATCGGCCCGGCTCGAGATGGTATGTAGACAAAAGTTGAATAGTACTATACGCAAAGTGTTTCGGCCTGAGCGGCTGAGTTGCATGAGGCATGAGGCTTGAGGCATGCCCGCACCCGCGCGGACCGATAACGAGACCAGTCTGCCTCTGCCTTGCCCCGGTGATCGGCGCGAAAGCCAGATGCTAGGGTTCGAGCAGCTTGTGCACCAGGAAACCTGGGCATGGCCGCGTGGCTGGGGCAATAGTTCCATGCTCGCCGGCAAAACGCTCCGCGTGGAATCCAGTAAATGCCTTGGAAGGACAAGCCTCAGGGGTAATTGTTTATCTTCTGCTTAGTGAGGTGATTGCTACTGCTGTCGTGTAGACTGCTGCTCTTTGGTCCATGTTCCTTCACGACGTCCGTGGCTGTCCCTGACGAGGACCAGCACACCGCTGGTCAGGGCCAACGCTCGGCAAAGCCCTGCATGGACATAGGCACATGGGTCTATGCCGAAATCTTGGTTGCACTCGTCTCCTCCAACGAGACCTAGCAATGTGGGTTGAACAACTCACAGCGGTAACGTGTACCAGGCGCATGCGGCAGCAGTCAGCCGTTTCTCGCACTGACAGGAAGTCGTTGGAGTAGAAGAGCCGGCTTCCCGATGCGTTATGAATCAAGGGACGGCTGCAAGGTGCAGCAGAATCCCCTGCATGCCGGCCTTGCGCAAAGGCTCTGGCCCAGAGGAGCCAGAAGAAGCATGCCTCCCGAGCTGCCAGGGCGGCATTGGTTGTAGAACATGTCTGGGATTTCATCATCGCAAGGACCGGACCACCGTCTCCGAGGCCGATGACGATGGCTGCGTAGCGCCAGTATTTGAAGGCCAGCAAAAAAAGCATCTCAACATAGGATGCGCGTTGATTGACCTGCCCTGCCCGACTTCCTATGACGGCGTCCCGCAGTCTAGGACGGATTCACAAGCTTCTTAAGCTCAGCAAAACGCACAGGCTTCGGCATGAAGACGTCGACGCCGGCGGATTCGGCATCGCGCTGGGCATCTGCGCTCGCTAGACCGGTCAGCGCGATGATGTTGGTCTGCGGCAGACTGTTGTCGCGCTCAAACTCGCGTATCCGCTTGGTCGCCTCCAAACCGTCCATGACGGGCATGCTAATGTCCATGAGGACAAAGTCGAACCGTCGCCGGCCGTGTCCCGTCGTCTCCGACGCGGGGATGCACGCCTCGGTGAACCTGTCGAGGGCTTCCTGCCCGTTCTCGGCCTCGGCGTAGGAGAAGCCGCACTTTTTCATAAACATGACTAGCAGCTGGAGGTTGATCTTGTTGTCGTCGACAATGAGGACATGGCGTGGCGGTGCTTTGTCGGCCGGTCCGGGTTCATTGGTCTTGGGGATCGGGTACGAGGATACTGTTCCCTCGCCAAGTGCTGGTGTTCCTGGGTTCAAGGGAGGAGGTGATGCCAGGCCAAAAACTCCTGATGGTTGAGGCTGATCTGCTTGCGGGCCTGATTTGTCGACGGCTAGAGCAGGCTGTGCTTCGGGAACGGATGCATCGTCTTTGGGCGTCTCGGGAGGCGGTTGCTCGATCACAGGCTGTGGGTGGACATCCTTTTCTCGATCGTTGTCCACACTTGACTTGGCATCTGCCATCAGGAGACATTGGGCAAAGACTTTAGCCAACTTGCGTGGACCACAACTTACTCATGTTAGCTATTTCACGTCATCAGCCGAGGGGACTGCTTTGCAACGTACGGTTGTGGGACCACCTCCACAATCTCAGACAAGCTCGTCAGCAGCTTTGTCTGGTTTTGTGAGATCTGGATAGCCTCTTTTGCATTCTGACAAACGAGAATAAAGGGCACTTTCTTGTCCGCCTTTGGCTCCAGCCCGGACTTTTGCAAACGTTGCTCAAGCAGTTCCACTGACGGCGGCTCCGAGTACAGATACAGGTCGGCATCTGACGCACCCGCCTCCCCATCTTTCACGACCCTCATGCCAAACCAGCTGGCGCAGGTCTTGAGAAGAACTTGGTCGGCTTGGTCTAGTTGCTGCTGCGTCCGTGGAGAGTCGGGTCGACCGGTCAGGAGGGTCAGTTGCCGTCCACGGACGCGTTCCAGAACGGACTGGATGACATCGTCCTTGGCAGCCGAGGGATCTTCGGCCACCGGCAACAGACGAAGACGAACGATGATCTCGGTGCCCTTGTGCTGTTCAGAGTGTACTTCGAGAGTTCCGCCCAGCGAGTCAACAATCTGCTTCACAATGCTCAGACCTAGTCCAGTACCCGGTTGGAACGAATCCTCCTGGCTGAACGGGAGGAAGAGTCGGTTTCGCTGAAACTCGTCGGACATGCCCTTACCAGTGTCCACTACTTTCAGCAAGACGTCCATCTTGGACCCGTCAGGACTTTGCTTCCCTCGAAGCGACACATGCACCGATCCTTGCGTGGTGTACTTGAGCGCATTGCCAAACAAGTTCATGATGATTCGGCGGATGGCGCCCGGCTGCGTCCTTACCATCCACGACGTTCGGGGACAAATATCCAGCAGCACGACCGCCGAACTCCCCGCAGCTTCTGTGCCTGGGCTACCGTCCCCGTTCCTCAGTTGACTCTGGTGGCCGACGAGCCCCGGCACGGGTCCTGCGTCCGGCGCCCTGTTGAACGTGTGACCCGCCGACGTGGCGTCTACGACCTCCTCCACCAGGACGGCGAGGTCCACGGCAGCCGTTATGTTCAGGCTGTCGAGTGAATCGGTGGACAACTTGAGCAGCTTGTTTTGCTTCGCATTCCGCCTCAGCTGCATGCGACCCAGCCGGTTGATCTTGCTGTAGTCGAGCACATGGTTCAGCGTGTCGAGCAGAGTCTTGCCACAGGTGGTGATAGAGCCGATGAGACCAGACTGGTAGGAGCTGAGCTGCGTATCGCGAAAGAATTCCGCGGCGCCGAGAATCCCATGCAAGGGGCTGCGTAGCTCGTGGCTCATGCTGGCGATAAAGGTCGTCTTGGCTGCCTCGTTCTTCAGCGTGTTGATGCGGGCCACTTGACTCATGATGCTGTTGGCGAACGCACGGAGATAGGACAGGTCGTCGTCGAGGTTCATGAGGCGACCACTGACCGAGGTCCACAGGAAGCAGCCACCTGCGAGTCGATCTTCCGTGTAGTCGTAGAGAGGCACGAAGATGACCGCCTTGGCCCCTGGTATCTTCTTGAGGAGCTCCTTGTGGTCCATCCGCACCTTGCGACGCATGTTGTGAATCTGGGGTTCTCTGTCGCTCGCGCTGTCGTCTTCCGACGACACGCCTGCGCCTTCGGCTGTGAAGGAGAAAGCCTTGCCCTTGGGGAAGAGGGTAAAATACTTTTCGAGTGTACCGACGGACAAGGCCGATCCTTGGTCGATGGCAGCGCGAGCACGCTCGTCCGCCAGGGAGTATGCGAGCAGCTTGCATGGCCGTGATGTGGGCAGCGCGTCCGAGTCGGAGCTTTCGAAGCCCACACCTTCCGAACCCGACGTGACCGGGAGCGAGAGGTCGTCATCGTCGCCGCCCGTCGATTGGAGGGCTCCCGATCGGAGGGCACGGCTCAACTGCTTGGCGTTGGTGGCGGTCGCGCCAAAGAGGACCACGCCGTCGGCCAGGGTCGATGTGCGAAGCAGCTCGGATGCGCGATGCAGCATGTGTGACATGTCATCTGACTTCTGCTGTGGCTTTTTCTGCGTGCTCGAGGATGGCAGCAAGGGAGCTGCGGCAGCAGGCGCTTGATATTTCTCCTGCGACGGCGGCGTGGTCCCGTTGACGAGGTCATCGCCACGCTGGTAGGAACTCACCCTCGACATGGGGCGTCTCCTCCCAGCCTGCGACATCTCAGGCGGCCGGGATGGCTGCCCATCTCTGCCATTTCCCGAGTCGCCGCCCTGTATGTACGAGGTCTCGATGAACGCCGCCAGTCCACGCACAATGCGCTCGCCCTTGAAGCGGTCGACGCGATCCCGTGCCCACTCCAGATGATCCATGACGGCCTGCGCGATACCCTGCATGAACTGAACCTCGTCCACCGTCAGCCCATCGCGCGGCTTGTCGTCGGACACGGCGTAGGCGCCAATCTTGTGTCCGTGGCGGGAGATGATGGGCACGCCCGCGAAGAAGCGGACGCCCGGCTCAGCCACGACGTATGGGCGAGTGTGAAAGCGATCGTCGAGGCGGCAGTCTGATATGACGAGGCCGGGCGCTGTGTATGAGCGACCGTTGGGGTCGCGGCCTGTGCATGTGCTGGTCAAGCAGTGCTCGCAAACGGCGTCGGGGCGCGGAATGACAGCGGTGCCGACTAGAGAATTGCACAGATTAGCCGTTCAGTCGGTCGACGCAGCCGTGGGCTCTCTCCTGTCTGCCTGGACACATGTACGTACGCCATAGTTCATTGTACTTGTCGGGACCGGCAGCGTCGTGGGTGCTGAGGCGGAGGTTGCGCGTGGCCTCGGCGAGGATGGTCTGCGAGGTCTGGTCGATGAGGCTCACCATGGCTCGCTTGACGTTGAGGCGCAGGACGGCCAGCTGGGCAAAGGCCGTGAGCGCCTTGTCCGAGCTCGCCCTGGGGGTGAAGTCGGCATGGTCCGTCGGTGCGCCGATGTTGCTGATGTTCTGGGCGACGGTTGGTGAGGAGCCCTGGGCGACCTGCCAGCTCTGCAGGTAGCGCTGGACCTCGCGCTCACGCTGGGACTCCAACGCGCTGGACATGGTGCGTGGGCGTGGACGTGGACGTGAACCTGAGCGGTGGTAGATGATGCGGACGTGGGAGGACAATCGGAACCAGCCGCGAGGACTGGACCGGAGGGCCTCTGTGTGTCATGGTGACTGGACTGGACTGCTGTAGCATCTGTGTACCTTAGGTATACCTGCTGGCTGATATGTGCTCCTGTCTTTTTATTTCACGCGGCATCTAGCAGTACTAGGTACCCAGAGCCTAGACCACACAGGCCCGCGCACTTGTTAGCGCCCTGTCACAATGCAAAAACAGCGCCGCCAGTGTGCCAATGGACCAGTGGCGCACTAGAAAGACATAAGCGAGGCTCGAAAACCAGGCACGCGGACTTTCCTGCGCGGCGCTAACTACCTTGGACAGAAGTCCCAGATGAACCCACCCGCTGCAGCGTTGCATCGAGATCGTGATGATCTAGACTCCAAATACGGATAGTGAGTGACCACTCCACGATGGATTCCTTGCCGACCTACTCTTCGTACGGTGCTATCGTGAACAAGGCCAAGCTCACATCTGGCATTCCAGCAACATTTCAATGTTCCATATATGAACAGAGTGCTGACTGGCTTTTCCGGCACGTGCCCTCCCGCGACAGCTTCTGCAAGCATTAGGCTATCCGGTACAGCAAGTGTACCGAGTACGCATGGAGGCAACACTCTCAATCAGACCAGTTTCAACACATCTTGCAATACCCAAGTGGACGTGAGAGAGGGGCGTCCAGAGGTGTGACAGCTACTGGAGCGTTTTTATACCATTTCTGTGGACTATTTGCACACAGACGACCAACTACCTGCTTGTTCACAGACGACATCTCCAAGAATCACATGCTGGTACGAAAGACAAGGCGCTTCTGCGGGAAGCCTTGACCCTTTTCGGGTTGTATCCGCTAGCGATCGATCCACGCCGCCGGTAGCGTCAAGATCTATGTACATTGGGAGAACCCCGTCCAAAGAACCAGCGAGGCGCAGAGATCGACATCCCAACACCGACAAGAAACACACGTGTACGGATACGCTCCCCAGACATGGGTGAGGCCGTGCCAGAATGAGCTCGTGATCTTTAGCCCCTAGGTAGTGAACGCCTTTCGGGCTCAACAAATAGCCATCCCTCCATATCACTCCCGTGGATGGAGCAGCCATGCGTAGAGTCCCCCCTGAGCCCCCCCAATCCATTGGCGGGCTTAGAAAAAGCGAAGAATCCGGGTTGCACATATCGGAAGTATTGTCTTGTGCTACCTCTCGATAAGAAACAACTGAATCTCGCGCGGGTTGTTAATTTGCCTTGCTGAAGAGGCGACAACTGCCGTCCAATGGGTCCCCATCATCTACCGAATCGCCTCACTTTTGCCCGCTGCCCAGCGCTCCATACCCGCGCCGGGGGCCCATGTCCAAGATTAATTAGTACCAAGTCCTAGTCAAGTCGCCGAGAACGAACCTTCTCCAGCACCCAGATTCAACTCTTGCCATTGGAACGCCTCGTCTTGGAAGGGGGCCGGGAACCATTAGCCTATTGAGGAAGATCCTCGACTCCTCATGAGACCAACAGGAGGCCGCGCACGGGGAGGGGGCTTCGAACCCCCTTTGGAGAATCGGCACAATCGTACGTCTATAAGTCTGCAGGCGTACTTCTTGATGTGAAAACTCGTGGGGTCGTTGTACGCGTCGCGTTGCCGTATCAATGTCTTCTTCTTCATCCACCTCCATGAACCGGTACTGGATACCCAGCTGGGGCATCCACAAGAAGGTCATAACCCAACAACTGCCATATCACCTCGGCCCTCAAGCGACGGTTCGCTTGTATACGCACGAGGTTTGCTCGTCGCATCCCCTTGGTGATAACCCAATTGCTGACCAACCCGCAGGGAGAAGACGGTTTTCTCATTGCGACCCTCGGAAATTGCCTTTCAGATGTATGTCGCACCCGTGGCATCACCCTGCCAGCCAGACTTCGGGAACTGACTGGAATTTTCAGGAGCAAATAGACGATCTCTGTCGCAAGTCGACCGACTACTGGGACCGGAAGGAAGCTGCGCGGAGCCAGCAGGACCCAGAAGGAGGCCTGAAGAGACCGGCTCATCAGCCAGTGCCTATCATATCGGGCACATCTGGCACACCAAGGAAGAAACGGCCATTGCAGGTGTAGCGACAGCGTCGGCTGGCCGGCTGTCTGCTTGAGTGTAGCATAGCAGAGCGACATCAATGCAGTCCCCCGTCGACTGTGCACTCGTACTTGGCCACGTCCATCGCCGGTCCAGCAGACCACAGCATCAGTGCCTGCACGTGCACCTTGACGCCCCCCTTGCCTGTCGCGCGCTGCAGACTCGTCACGTAGCCCACTACGTTGACCCACTCGCCCTGCTGCAAGGTCTCATGAGTGAGTGTCTCCAGGACCAGGTTCACGTCGGCGACCGCTGTGACGTTGGTGTTGGCGGGGTAGTCGTGGGCGAGGCTCACACTGCCCATCGCAGTGGAGTACGCGCCTACACTTTGTGAGAGTGTCAGTGATCATGTTCGAATGAGAGATGGGTGAGGGTCAGGTAGTACCAGCCTAGGAAGCGGACCTTGTCACCGACTGAGCGGTACGGCAGCGACGAGAGCAGGCACAGCGTCGATGGGAGTGGTCCGCGCGACATTTTGAACAGAGACCATTTGGCCCGTGGGGCTTCCCAAACTGCGATGGCTGAGCGGGGTTTGAACAGTAGCTGGCTCAAATGGACATGCGGCAGGTCTGCTCAAGGTCTGAGCGGAAACGCGAACCTTGGACACAGAGGAGGGCTTCACGCACAGTGCAGAGTAGCTATACGCACAGTCAAGAGGCGACGGCTAAGATGCCCTCGGTAAGTCTGTTCTCACACAAATTCACGTAAACTTCCTCTCCCGGTACATGCCAAACCCCAGACTGAATTGCACCAGCATAGCCACCATGTCGGCCGAGAACACCCCTCAATTCGTCTACAAAATCGTGCCCGAGGCCGTCGAGGAGCCCTTCCCCGCTGAGCTGCCCCTCTCCGAGCTCGACAGAAAGGATGGCTTTATCCATCTTAGCACAGCAGAGCTTGTAGGTCTCGTCTCGACACCACAGTCCATGTGCGCGTTCTGATGGCTTCAGGTGCTCGGTACGTGTGATCGCTACTTTAGTCACATGACCAAAATCTACCTCTTGAAGTTGGAGTTTGCCAAGACCGTGTCGAGGACAAAGTGGGAGAATGGGTTTCCGCATCTATATGGGAACTTTGGCAGGGAGGAGATTGTGGACAGCAAGTCTTTCGAGCGATCCGCGTCAGAGACGTGGAGTGAGAGCTTGAAGCGCTCAGAGTGGTTGGTTTGATCTTTTCCCATCTCTATCTAGACGAGTGCAATTACACCTTGATCCCAAGGTCCTTGGCCACCATGCCCTTGCAGATGGGGTGGTAAAACTCCCTGTTCTTCTCGAATGTCTCCAGAGCCAGCTGGCGGTCTACCTTGTTCAGGCCACGGAAGAGCGGGCGGACGTACTTCATGCGACCGACCTGGCCGAGAAGCTCGGCAGCACCGGCGTAGCTGGTGTCGTCCTCGGCCTTGATGGCAATCTGGTAGAAGGCGGACTTGAGTTCCACATTCTGCGAGGCGCTGAGCTCGTAGACCTTGCCTAGTTGCCGCGCGCGGCTCGCGCTCAGGGGCTTGCCTTGTGTCAAGGCATCAAGGAACACAATCTTCTGGTTGGCATTAAAGTCCTTGACATCGTCCGGGCTGGGGTCAAACAAGTCCGTCTCCCACTTCTTCGCCAAGCTGTAGCATTGGTCCGCCAGGCTGGTGTCAAAATGAGGCTTGGGGGGCAGGCCTTGGGAGAGCAGACGGTCCTCCCAGTTGATCTCGGCAATCTTCTTCTTGATACCCTCGTCGCCAAAGTTATTGAAAAAGTCCATGTAGGTATCGCGGAATTCCCAGGAGTCGAGTGACTTGCCGGACCATTTGGTGAAGTAGTGCGGGATGAACTTGTCAAAGGCCTCGCGGCCGACGACGGTCTCGAGGTAGTAGACCATGTGGAACCCCTTCTCGTAGGCCACCTGGCTGTAGATATCCTCGGGATCGACATTGTCGTGCTTGATGATCAGCTGGGTGTACTCGGGGATGTCCTTGAACTGCTCGATGGCATCCTCTGCGGCAAAGTTAGTCACTACACCAATGCAAGACCAATGTTCACCAACCGAGGGCTTTCCAGCCAATAATGGCGGAGAAATCAAATTCGGCATCGCCGTGAATCGCGGCCTGGATGCGGCGCTCGAGGTACATTGTCCAGCCTTCGTTCAGCCAGCTATCTTAGGGTTAGCGGGTACCTCGATCGAAGTCCATGCGAAACCTACAAGTGTTCCCAGCTAGAGTTGGACACCAAGTTCCCGCTCCAGCTGTGTGCCAGCTCGTGGGCAATGACATCGACGTTCTGACGATCTCCACTGATGATGGTAGGGGTAGCAAAGGTGTAGATTGGGTTCTCCATGCCTGCATCATTGGTTAACCAAGCTCAAACCCATACGATGCTGACGTTTTCACCTCCGTAGGGGAAGCTGGGAGGCAGGACCAGGACATTGTACTCGCCCCATTTGTAGGGAAAGACCAGCTTGTCCGCAATCTCCATAAACTTCTCCATGTCCCGCTCCAGCTCCCACTTGCAAGCCTCGAGCTCATTAGGTCCTGTGGCGACCACAGATCGAGGCCCAATCTTGGCTGTTGCAATGTCGCCAGAGGCCACGGCAAACAGATACGACGGGATGGGCACCTTTTGCTCAAACGTGTATACCTTGCTCCTGCCGGGCGCGGCCTCGTGATCACCAACGGGTACACCACTGGCCACAACCGGAAGCTCAGAGGTGATGTTGAATGTAAAGGTCGACTTGATGTCGGGCGTGTCCTGGCATGGGAAGATGGAACGGGCATTGATGGCCTGGCACTGCGAGAACATGTAGGGGTGCTTCTTGTTGGAGGTTTGCGCCGGCGTCAGCCACTGCAGCGCAGTGCACTTGCTCGTCGTCTCGAGGTCAATGACCATGTCAATGGTGTCGCCCTTGGCCACGCCCTCGGGCACGGACACGTGCAGCGGCGCACCGAGCGGCTCCGTGAAGGGCTTGAGGTCCCATTGCAAGGGCTTGTCGCCGACCTTGACAGCATCCACGTGCACGAACCTGGAGTCGAGGACGACTTCTTTGCTCTCGCGCTCCGTTTGCGACTGCAGCGAGAGAATGACCGAGCCTACGAGCTTCTTGTTCTGAAAGTCCAGGGTAAAGTTGGTCGTGGTGTGCGTGGTGCGCCAGGCGCCATAGTTGGAGAGCGTGCTAGGGTCTCGGGTTCCGGCAGTCATGTTGACGGTTGCAAATGTCCGGCGGAGGGGGTTGTGGTGAGTGAAGGGGTTTGCGTTCTGTCGTGAAGTGATGCTCACCTGCTTGAAGAAGGTGAGCCACGACATGCCTGAGCCTTAGGTGCTTTTGCGTTAGTTACCCACTCAGATGGCCGTCTGAGCCGTGACCAACCGTTCACAGGCGTCCCTTTGTCTATCGGTTCCAGTTGCCTCCATTGCGCTTTGCAAAAGGCCCAGTCCCCTTCCTTATTCGGGGTCGGGTCACGTGTCGGGTGTGTATAAGGACGACTGCTGACAAAGATACTAATTCTTCTATCTTGCATACCCTATACCCGTGTCACAGGCTTCGGGGCCAGGGGCTGATGTGAACCCGATGAACTGAGATGCGGTGGAAGCTCGTCTCCAGGTAAACTGTCTCGCCCTGGACGCTACCTCGAGCAGCCATAGAGTCGGTTGCGGACCAGAGAGCAGAGCGTAACAGAGGAGCTTTCATGATGACAACCTTGCAGCCCATCATCCGCTCGACCGTTGTGATGGAAGGTGGCATTGGGAGCGGATCTAAAAAGACTGATAATAAAGCTAAGAAGGGCTGTGTTTTGTTCGTTTGAACCGGGAACTCGCGCGGATTTGTATCTGTATCCCGACTACAAAGTCCTGCCTTTTTATCATGCGCACATATAGAGTGTGATTCTGCCAAGCACGCCTAGGCTTGAAACTCAATATTTAAGTGAATCTTCCAGCGCTTGCTCAAGCTTTCCATCCTTCTTGAGCTACGTGTCGGTTGTCTGGCAACGATATGATGCGGAGTCTCCCCATCACGCCGGCCTCGAGGCGACCACCGACATGCAGAGGTGGATCTGGGACACGGGGTTTACCGCCGTCGCTGGCGAAGCCATCTCGTTCGAAGTGTTCCCTCCCGTTGGGGACATTGCCCGTCACAACTACTTTCTTGCCGGATGGGGCATGCCCATCGGTGAGTTCAATGATCCAGTCTGTCCTCGACTACTTTCCGCGTAAACCGTCGATCAGTACAGGTACACCAGAAAGCCGGGACTGACTGCCTATTGTGGCAGGCGAGATGTTCGACCTAGAAAGGCTGGCGCACGTCTGCCAGCATCTGAACCGGTCGACTTTCTTTTTCGCATCCATGCCGATCAACATTCCCGGTGGCGTGTCGTCGCCGCCGCCCACCGCCCAAGCCATCTTCAGAGAAAGGCATCAGCTGGTTCGGTACGACTGCAGAAGCAGAAGATGGAATGCCCTTTTCAAGTGCATTTACCTGTGAAGGTAGGCGGGAATAGCTCAAGAAGGTTATGAATCAGACGTCGCATTGATGACATCCAGCTCAATGGTCACGACGTGCTACTTTAGTACACTTCGAATCCACGGTTTCGGATTCTTCTCATGCTTCCCTGCCCATCTGGCGTTTGGCTGCAGATCCTCTGACAGATAATTCTCCTTAGGAGTCTCACGGGCTTGTTCTCCGGCCCCAATCTGATCATTCGCACCATGATTGGGGAGCATTGGACACCAGAGAAACAGGCGACGTTCTTCAGCTGGTTTGCTGTCTCTGGAAGCATGGGTCTGTTCCTGGGCCCAATTATCGGCGGCGCTCTCGTCAATCCAGCCAGCCAATATCTCTCCATCTTTGGGGGAACCCAGTTCCTCGGAGAGTATCCGTACGTGCTGCCGGGTCTTGTCCTGGCGGCCATCAGCGCAACGGCTGCCTTGAGCTCCTTCCTGATGGTCGAGGAGTCAATACGCGTCAATAAGAAGACAGACCAGACCGGTGTGAGCGTCCATTCAGTACCGAAGGCGTGTTCGCAGCAGCTTCTTCAAATTCCAGTGGGCGCTGTCGACGTGGTACTCGGACCTGCCGCATTCATGTCATTCACAGCTGTCCAGCTCGCCGTAAACAGAGCCAGCCCAAGCCCCGGTGTCCTTGGAAAGCTGCACTGGGTCGCCGAGCTTGGCTTCAGCGTCATCAGGAGTATCATGCCGGGCGTAGCAACGGCTGTTTTCGCGGCTGGCGTGCGCGGAAACATCCAGTCCTCTCTGTATGTAGGTATTTGGCTCGGGTTGTGCTGATCGCGTTTGCCTTGGGTCTGCCCCTGGTGTTGAGGAGATTCCTCAATGATATGGACTAGCCGGGACCGGTGGAAGAACAGAGTTGGCTCGATGAGACGTGCGGGACTAATGTCCACGCCGTGACTTTGGTTCCGTTCCGCTTGCACAATGAACACGGTCAACACGGCTTGAATGCTCGGTGAGCAGACGTGGTGGTCCTCGACTGGAAACGAGGCAGCGGGTCAGTCACGGACTCACGGGGAGGAGATGCTGAGGAGATAATTAGCCATGGAGCTGTAGGATTTTACGTACTAACATAAGCAAACTTCATCGCGCCTACCCTACGCTTCCTCCTTGACTGTCTCGCAGCCACGTGTACATAAGACACGCCCACTCTACATGAACTGAAGCCGTGAGACGGGACGAAAATTTTCCATGGGATTGATAAGAATGACCAATTGTAGCTTGTTCACGTCCGTCCCTTGTTGGACTATCACACCCCCTGAGAATATTCTGGACTCTGGCTGTGTGAGTCGTGCGTACATGTAGGTGACTCGAGTCACCCAGCAGATAGCCTCAAAGCTCGATGCCTATCTCATGTGATATCGCTTGATGCATGCATACCATGTACTTATTAGGGACCCCACGCTGTCCACAGACTTGATGCACGGCTCGAAGCCACCGCACCAGATGCATGGAGCGTTCATAAACTCCGCTTTTGGAACCCTTGTTCACGGCCAACTTCGGCGACGTGCATACTTCATTGAATGCCGCGTTTCACTTCTTTTTTCCGGGTACAGCTTTGCGTCTCTCGTGCATACAGGTCATGGCACTTTTCTGCTTCGCTCGGTCGTCATTTTGTGGCTGGCATCACTGGTTGAAACGGCCATCCATTGTGACCGGGGAGCGCCACTCGAACTTCCCCGTGTTCTTGGCAAGTCGCCTATTAATACTGGGAGGTAGTGCTGTATATACTAGGGCCGCGGAAAAGCGAAGCACTAGTGCATTCGTGTTCATGTATGTACCGCCAGATCGGGGTCTGTGTCCGTGGGCTGGCTTCTCGGCCGCTGTGGCGTGGAAAGGAAATTCTACGGAGTACTGACTAACACATGTACTGACAAACTTCCTACAGGTGAAGGAGCGAAGTCATTCCTAAAATCTAAAGATCATTATTCTTAATATACTGCATTTCCGTGGTCGAATTGCACTCTCCCGACTGGGAAGCCAGTGCCGCTGGCAAAGCGGTACGCTATACGTTCCCTGGTCAATAAGAGAGAGGTGACCCGGTGGCCGTTCACACCGGTGCTGAACCGCGGCCAAGTAATGAGGAGCTAATAAGTGCTGGACGCATTGTTAATTTAGGGTGGCTCGTTGCAAGCGGACGAACTTCCGCGCGAGTGTGTGATATGGACCACCTAATCTAGAATCCATGGTCACATCGGTTCCTTTTACGGCGGACTCGTATTGGACATGTCATCAAGCAACGCGGCCTTGGCTTTGATCTTTGATGGACATGTGAAAGCCCCATCTGCGACTCCAGGGCCCAGGCCGACGGCCAGCATCACACGGTTCAACTTGTCGCACTGCAGAAATGACGTGGGCAAATGAGAAAAATTTGATTTCAACATGCAAGGCGATGCCAAAGCGGGTGTCCTTTCGTTACGGAGTATGTTGTCTCTGACATGTACCGAGTGGTCAGGAGAAGCTCCACCAGTCTGATACCTGAAAGACGCATGATGTTGAATCGGGACAGGTGGATCAAGAGACGCTCAATGTGCGACAGAAAAGAGAAGAAAAGTGTTACTTAAGGTGGTAATTCAGCTTATCGCCGACTCATACATGTACAGAGAGTCTGATTCACACACGTCGATTGTGAAGTCCGACGAACATGAGACTGGAAGCAGGCGCTGTGAGTTATGGCAGTGTAGTTTCCAAGAGACTCTGTGAAGCCCAACAGGATTACGCTTATAAAAATTCGTGGATGGACTTCCGGTCAGACCACCAGAGTCTCGAGACAAACTAGGCCTTGTCTCATTATACTCAATTGTTTCCACCGACTAGTATCCCGCCTTTGCTGAGATATGATGCTCCAGAAAATGGCAACCGCAGTTCAACAAGTATCACATCTGCTCATATCTGACGCCTTGGGGTCATCGGTACTTCACGTACTGCGTGCCATTGTGTGGTCGAGGGCCCATTGTCATCGGCACTTGTTCTTGGAGTCGCATACACAGAGCACACATGTACCGTGTCTTGGCTGGCTGACTGGCAGCAGAGAAAGATCAGACGACTGGAGATGCATAGCCGCCCACGCATGAGGATAAGAGGGGAATGTGATTTCGTCCTGGATGATCACGCCGCTCCAGAAGCAATGTCTTTTTGAACGCTGCAGTAGCCCCAATGTGACTCTGGCGTGGGGTCATGATTCATGAATATGGAAGTAGAGATAATAGTGTTACATGCATGGGCCATGCTCTGCGACGGAAGCAACTGGAAGTCACCATTGCCAGTGAATGAAGACGGATGTCTCCCACTGGACAACGGGTTGTGGACTCGTGAGGCAAGCACGCCCGGCTTTATCGCGAGCCTGATGACGTCCAGTCCTTGCTTGGCGAGGTGAAGCTGGATGCTACAGTGGAGCGTGTATGATAATAGAGAAATAAATACACGACTCGTTATCTTGCGCATTTGATGGATGCGGCTCTCGGGGTGAGATAACGCCCAAAACGTGGCAGGATGGACAAGGGCGAATCTGAGATATGAGCGTGCAAACGTCGAGAAAGCACCGGCCTGATTATAAAATAAGGTACCTTAAACACGTGCTGTAGCGAGCCCCTGCCAAGTGTCTCACAACTTCAAGTCAATGAAGTACCGTAGCGTGTTCCGGAGTACGGAGTAGGAAACCCTGGCCTGGCACGACATGTGCTCTGTGTGACGATGGGTCAGAGAGTGAGACATGGACTCAGAACCGTCAGATCGATGCCTGCCTGGATCTCGGCGGTTCTGGGGCTGTGGCCGATTGCCGACCGAGCGAACTGTACATACCTTCTAAGGTAGGAACTGAAGGTAGCACGTATATAGAGAACTTGGTTCGCGCAAACATCATTCTGCCCTCCCAATCAATCAAGGTACAGTACCTGATTGCTGAGTTGAGCACCTGTTCGTCCATCACCTGCACCTTATTATTCAAGTTAGCATTCTGGTGGACTGGAGCCCCTTGGCCTGCCCCAATTCCTCGCGTCAGCCACCAGTTAACCCGAGACGCAGCTCCAGTTCGAGGGACCCGTTTGGGAAGTGCCTGCCTTAATATGTACCTTTCATGATCTAATTAGGCATCCACTATCCGCACGTGCCTTCCCGTCAAGCGTCAGCGTATGCGTACCTTACCCCCCTCTCGCCTTCGTTCTTGGCTGGATGTTGCCTGGAAATGTACCTGTACGTAAGGCCTCCGTAATTACCAAATACCGTAGCAGCAAAAGCATCTCACCTTCTCGCTCCGACACCTGCCACTGCCACCATAAAATGAATCGCGTCCAGTGCAGTACCTCAATCACACTGCCGCGCATGGCCGCATGTAGACAGCTCCTCCACCGTGTCCTTTCTTCTTTCGGGAATGTCCAATCGCCCGGACTATCACCAAGGGAGACTCATATGTACGTGATGGACCATTCCGTTCCTGGCAATGAAATGGCTCGCCAACTTTTCTGGATCTTGGAAGCTCATGCCCCTGCTCCCAGGCCGCCAAGCCTTAGTGGCAGGCCGATATAGCGCACGGGTCCCTTCCGGTGTCTCGACCTCGTCCTTCACCGGAGACATGGGCCTCTTCCACCGATCCCTCCTGCTTCCCCTCGTCATCGCAGCCAAGCCGCCCAATGCTACGGTGGGGTACCCTCAACTGTACCTGCAGACTCCAGAATCACAAAACAAGGGTCGTGGCGGTTTCATCGCCTGCAGGCCTGATCCCTGTTACCGCAGTGACAGGGGCAAGCAATCGCTGCAGCTCGTCCGACAGGTGATTGATATTCCGATGGGTATGGTTCCTCCGCCACGGGCACCTTTTTCTTTCCCTCTTTTTGGATCAAATTGCCTATGGTTTGTCCGGAGAGCGGAGAACACACTAACAGTTGTCTGGGGTGTCCCATCGCCAGCTGTGCCTGCGAGTTCTCCCCCGATGTGGCTGACAAGAGCCTGCAGGTGTCTAGACTCTAGACTAGTCTCCGGTACTTTGGTATCAGATGTGCCTCCAAGTTCCGCCTTGGAGCAGTGAGGATGGTCGCAACCGCAAACGAGCTCGAGTTGTTAAGCCATGTAGCATCGGGTAGGGCAGGGCCGGCCCCCCTAGAGGCCCCTTCTGACCCGGCCGCCCTAGAACCTCAAAGTTCTCGAGAACTGACAGAACGAGACTGGGACAAGCATCCGGCGGTCACCCTGGGCAATGCATCGTGCCCACCAATCCCGCGCGTCTTGGCAGTTCCCTATATCTGGTGATGTGCAGCCCCCTAACATGGCAAAGACTCTCTTTGACGTCTGCACCAAGCGACCTGTTGGGACTGCTTTTATTAGTGTTCACATCGCCCGCGTCATCTGTCAGCGTGTCTCGTCTTGTTTCACAACCCCTGACGTCCGTTCTTACTTATGGCCGTTCCGTCTGCTCGATATATTAACTGACCTCCACCACCACGTTCGGTGGCGTCCGCTCCTCTGTCATGGCACATATCGTTAATTGCATAGCTGCCAGTGGGAGCACCGCACTTGAGAGATCGACACCCTCCGAACCTTATTATCCGGGAACAGTAAGTAATATCGCTGCGCTGTCAGCCAAGTGCTTGCTCACGCAGCATAGCCTTTGCAATCCGCAGCGCCTTTTGGGAAGCCTAAGATCTCGAACATGGAGCAAATCCAACCGCAACCACCTCCGCCAGCACCGACACAAGCGCGATACCAGCTGTTTCCGCGGGAAAGGCAGCTGCCAGTGCTCAACAGCGCCAAAGCCGCCGAGGCAGAGAGGTCCAATTCGCCGTCCTTGTTTTCCTACATGGACGACAGCTTCGACGAGGTCCCAACGCCATCAGCGTTGAGAACAAAAATTACACAGCATAGCATGACACGACGGCGCAAGGTCAGCGTCCCTGAGATCGGTCCCATGACGACGGTCCAGGAGGTGCCAATGGATTCCCGTACGTCCGCCTGAGCGACATCTTGGCTGCGTTCTGCTGACCATCTCTAGCAACGATCCCCGGACGTCCGCCACTACACGAACGCTCAATCAGTGCCCCCGCGCAGGATTGGAAGCCTTCGCCTCCGGAGTCGCTGCCTTCCCCCGTGCCACTAGCGGAGGAAACTGCTCAGGCCGAGCCGCAGGAGAAGGAGAAAGTCTCCCTGACACAAACACTCGAGGAAAAGCTCAAGACTTGCACCTCAATGCTCAGCCGAGCGGCTTCGACCCGAAAATTGGCGCCCCTTGTGATACCTCACCCTGGCTCTCACTCCGCCGCTCTTCACCAGCAGACACTTGCTCACAATCGTTCCGGGAGTGTACCGAACGAGGCGTACAAGCCGCGCAAGACAGCTGTTTCGCCGTATCTGCGTACTCCATTCACACCCTCTATTTCAATGACAGATCTTACCTCGCCATACTCCACCAGCACTCACGCCGCGTCCACGATGACACTGCCGACGCCCGTATCCGCGCCCGTCTCAGAGACCTATCGAGCGTCGCCTAGGCCATGGGAAGGCCGCTCACAAACACCTACCCTGACAGGGCGGGCGAAGACCCCACAGCCCGTGGCAACGCAGCAAGCCGTGGTCCCGCATGGCCATCGAAGAGGAGCGTCAGAATCGGCAACAAGTATAATGGACCGCGGTCGGCCCCGCAAGCGCTTAGATCAAACCAACCGACCCGCCCTCGGTCAGAGTGAGGAGAGTGCTGGCCAAAGCATTGAGCGCAAGGCGTTTGAAGAACTACCCACAGGTGTCTTGCCCAAGGATGCGAGTGTCGGTTTCAAGGCGGACGACATGATGGCCATACACAAACATGCACGCCGCCAGGCAGAGCGTTTCGAGGTGCTTGGCATGAGCGACGTCGAGGCCCTCTCAAAGGAGCTTCGACGGCTGGACGAGCGCACCGAGTATCTGCGTCGGACCTACACTTCACTTCGCGCTGGTCGCCGCAACCTCCAGGGCCGCCTCTGCCAGTTCCTCCGCTCACCCCGCGCCGAGCGCTTGAGCTTCGAGTCAATGCTAAGGCAGGAGGAGGCGCTGGCGGAACTGGACACGTCCATTGATGAATGGGTTCAGAAGCTGGAAATGGCTGAGAATCGTCGGACACGAATCCGCCAAAAGCTTCTTGAGCATGTGGCGGCTGCAGGTATCTTGGGGGTGCCAGGAGATGCTGCTACCCCATCACCGCGCGAGCAACCTCCCCCAGCCGCCGTCATGCAGTCGCCGGCTGGTTTCTGCGACATCTCGACACCACCGCGATCGCCAACGAAACAGGCGCCGGTCCGCAGGGGTAGCATTTCCCCTTCGCCCCAGAGGGTCGTGGTGCAAGTCCCGAGCATGATCCTGGAAGATCCACCCTTGGAGGATGCCGACACTGAGCAGAAAGATCAGCTCGACGCAGAAGCCCAGTCGCTCCGGAGAACGGACGTCGAGAGCATTCGAATCTATGCAGGGGACGATGTCGCCTGGCTGTTGGCTGACGTCGAGAGCGAAATAACACGCCTGAGTCAGTCCCTCGGTGATCCTGCCCCCAAGCAGCATGGAAACTGGGTCGCGGCGCAGGCTCAAGTGTCGGAGCTGAAATCAAAGCAGCTGCATCTGCAGCGAAGCCACGAGCAGCTCAGCGGCATCTCGTTTAGCTCGACCCCAGCGACTATGCCTCATAAGGGACCCAGGAGCGCGACACCCGAGTCTCCGCCTGCTCCACCGCCACCGATCAAAGACTACCCGCGGAGCAATTCCCCTTCTTCAACAAGCTCGATGAGACCATGACGAATTCTCAGCCTTGGTCCGTCTCAACCGTGGTCACGCTCAACGCCAACAGACGCCCAAATTCCAAACGCGTACATACGTCCATACTCCCTCCCACACTCATGCGCCGGCATGTCCAGCTCATTACATTACTCCATGAAACATGGTCCCCTCCCTAATCGCACTTTCCTTCCATCTCGTTCCCCCCATAACGACTTCGACCCACGATGATGACGCTGCGGTGTCAGCCTGCTTCTCAGCATATTTCATAGCAAACCATCATCTTCGCGACGATACCCGATTTGCATCCCCACCACTCTGACGGTGCCATACCGGCCCAGATAGCCATAGTAGAGCAAGAGCATAATAATCAAATGGTAATCACTATCCATCCACCTTGTCCCGCTGGTGAACAGTGAAGTCAATGCTAGTCTATCCGTAGGTTCCGTGCAGTAGTAAAAAGATTCGTCTTGTTTCACCACGGACAACCCAAGCCAAGGCAGACCTCAGCTCCAGCCTCTTTTCTTGGCAGTGTCCAGGGAGTGCCCCGCCAAGTGTCGACGCGAACCCACGCCTTCTCGAACGACACAGTGGGTCATAGACAGAAACAATCGACCTTGTTTCGCATGGTTCAAACCGTACGGATACGTACATAGGCAAGGTATTGTTCCGCACTTGGCATGACCATGCATCTTGCCACACAACCCCTTGTCCCTTTTGGGCCCTTAGGCCCACGAGACGACATGGGTTCGCGCGCCAGATGTCGGATAATGTTGTTTCAGAATCAGTCGGGGCGAGAGAGCTAGGGCACGCCGCCTGTCAAGTCCCAAACTCGCAGCCACCCAACGCCCGTCTGTTCCTTTTTTATAATTAATATGAACGATTCTTTTTATTCTTATTTTTTTGTCTTGACCCCTGGCTCGATCTTGATCTACACGTGTATTACCCGTCGGCCGTGAGATCATGGCAGCCAGCACCCAAGGCCGAGACGGGACTGCCCATTCATCCAGCCACGCCTTTGCGCCAAGGCTGTAGATGCATGTGCGTGTACATTAACGTAGTACGGAGTACATATGCACCTGATCGGACGAAGAGGATTGAACGTCCTGGACTGCAGACTCGTCGATGCCAGCGGACGACGCAAACTGCTACTTGCCAGATCGAGCCGGAATTGTTCACACCCGCATCCGCGCCTGCGTCTCATGCGGGAGACATCCCTTGTCTGTGTGACTGGTCGTCGAAGACCGATCACACATGCAGTCATGGGCTGGTTGTCTCCTTTTCGCAACTGTCCGTTCAAAAGATAAAACCCGGCACGCCATGTGGCATCGTCGATCTCGTAGAAAATTGTACGGCAACGGCCGAACCAGATCGAGTATTATCAGTATGATGATTATGAATGCTGCTAACCACCATGGTTGCTGTATCGAAAATGCGCGGGGCCCCCCATCAAAACAAAGCGGACCAGAAAAAGAAAAGGTACACACGCTCCGCATTCCGCATATATGCCGTTCACGCCACGCTTCATGATTGCATCCCGTTCCGTGTTTGACCCCTGGCCGTGTTCCCGATCCGAACCCCATAGGTACCAAAAGAAGAAGATACAGACGGAAGCAAGCAAGCATGCGCGCTCATCACCCCGTGACAACGCCCACGAGCTGTAAAAGTATGCCAAACACGAGACCACGAGCCACTTCCTCGATCTGCAGGCAGTCAAAGACACGACCCAGAGCCTCGCTGGTGGCTGCTTGGCCCATGACCCCCATCAAGGCCGCCGGCACGCCGCTGCGGATGAGCAGCTGCCGCGCGCGCACCCGCAGCTTCTCGCTCTCCTCGGACGTCAAGGGAGCAGGCCAGTGGGCGCGCTCCTCCTCTGTGGGCATGGTGTTCTCGCGCAGCTTGCGCAGCTGCTCCGCGATCCCCGCGTCGGAAGACACCGTGTCTAGGACGGTGGTCTGGATGAGATTCTGGACCGTCAGGAGCGAGGGGTTGCCCGGGCGAAGCAGAAAGGACTTGGCTGCCGCGAGGAGGGTGCGCCGAATGTTCCACGCCGACGACAGGGTGTACATCTCGTTGATGACGGCGAACAGGAGCTCGACCGCCACGCGCGTCTCGCCCTCGGACAGTTGGGAGAACTGCCGCGCCAGCTTGTTCGCTGCCACCTTCTTGCCGCTGGGCGGCACCCCCGGCGATGTGGCCGTGTTGGGCGACTGCAATGACGATCGAGACTCGGGGTATAGCTGCGTGCTGCCGGTGCGTGTGTGCGCGTGCTCGCTGGCATACGGGGAACCGGTGTAGTCGTCCGCAATCTCGTCTGGGTGTGGGGGAAGCCTCAGGTCGCCGAGACTCATGGTCGACGGAGATCGCAGCGGCGCCAAGCTCGAGGCTCTACTATGCTCTCTGCTGGCGCGGGCGCTCCCGGGACCGGAGAGCGAGTCCATGCGGGACTGTCTGAAGTAGTCGCCCTCGTCACCGAGCTGCGACTGGTAGCTGGGACGACGCTCCATGGGCGCGACCTTGCCAGGTTGGGTCGAGACGATGGAGGAGCGCTGGCTCTCCATGCTGGCCCGGTCGGACCGAGCGGGTGACTTGGTCTCCATCCTGGGCGGCGTGGAGATGGACAGTCGGTTCGAGCTGGCGCTGGACGTCAGGTCGACACTCTGGCTAGTCGTCTTTCTGCTCAAACCGGGAAAGTTGCCAAAAACACCTTGGACGCCGCCCACGAGCGTCTTGCCGCCTTCCATGGCGCCTTTGGGTGCCGTCGTGAGCACGTCGAGCATGTTCTTCCCCACAATGTCCCACCCGAAGGATTTGGACTCGCCATGCGTGTGGCCCTGGGACTTTTCAAGGAAGCGTTTCATACCCTCGCTCTCGGCCAGTGAGGAGTACCAGCAGGCGTCGCGCAGATATCGTTCGAGCTCGCCACGCAGTGACTCGCGGGTGTGGATCTTCCATGCTGGGAGTTCCCTGTGCAGTTCGGCGAAGGCTGTTGCCCCGGAGATCATGGCGATTCTCCGCATGATCTCGTGGAGCGTCTCGAAATCAGAGTATCGCCTGACAATCATCCAGCCAGGGTAGTGGGCGGAGCTTGGCTCGACCTGGATGAGGTAGTCCCAGTGAGGTTTGTTGCGCATCTTGCCTTGCTCGCCGTTGGTGTCATCGTGTACTGTGAACGCAGCGTTGTGCAGCGTCAGAGGCTCCTTCTTGGCCGGCACCTTTTGTGGCTCGTCCATCTCTTCCTTGATCTGACTATGTGGTTGGATCTGATCGAAGCTGGTGAATCGCCCTGTGTCTTGCTTGGGCGATGCCTTGTCACTGTTGCTGCCAGCAGGTGATCGTGGCGTGATGGGTGTTGGGATTGCTTCACTCTTCGTCGAGAGGCCATCCGTCGAGTCGTCGAGAGGCGTCTCTCTGCTTCCAGACTGCACAGTCGTTGGGGACAATCCGCCAAGTCCAGCCGATCGCGTGATATGCTCGTTGTCTATGCTCTTCGTCCCAATGTCAGCTGATGTACGGATCGTGTCTGCACGTCCACGTCGCTCGGTCTCCTCCTTGATGATCAGTTTATTGAGCTTCTTCATCTCCTCCACGGCGACTTCCATCTCCTCATCGGCTTTGCTGAGCTTCTTCTTATGCATCTGAGCGGCGCCCTTGGGACGTGCACCGCCATCCGTGCTGCTTCGCGCAGGCTTGGCGATGGCCATGTTGCCCGTGTTTCCATCCATGTCCGCAAAGAGGTTCGGGGTCGGTTCTCGGCCTGTCTGCATGCCGACGTCAATGGCCTGGTTCAGGTCTGGTTCTCCAGCTTCGAGCAGGTGAACAATCCAGCCATTCAACCAGTCAGCCTTGCTGCAAGTTTGCAGTGCTGACTCGAGAACAGAGTTGGCCAAAATCTCGCGCAGAAAGACACGAGCCGGGTCGCAGTCCCGCGACTTGCGGTCCAGAAAAGCCAAGAGATCCCCAGCCACGGCCTTGAACTTGGTAGCCTGGTGGTGCTGATTCAGGAGGTTGTTCAAATTGCAATCCGGATTCGAAGCTCGGTAATTGTACAAGGCCTCCACCGCAGACATGTTCGAGTCGTCAAGGTCCGCAAAGGCCGAGGCCAGCTCTGACATGAAGACGATGAGCATCGAGGATGCGTTGGTCAGTAGATCGAGGAAGGCGTCGGCCGGTCGTTTTCGGTACAGGTGATTCGAAATCGACAGCAGGTAGGATGTCAAAGTCTTGCGGCACGCAAGCGGGAACGCATGATCGGACGGGACAATGGGATTGTACCACCACTTGACATAATCTCGAATGACGGCGTCTATGAGTCCCCCTATGGCCTCGCGGGTCTCGGGGCGAAACTCGTCGAGCGCTTTGAGGGTGTACTGCTCGTCGTCTTCGAATAGGGACGCATCTTCCGACTTTGCGTGGTTCGTCGATAATTGTAGCCTCTCTAGCACATCGAGTCCCTTTTCGCCTCGCACAGCTTTCGCGACTTCGGGATGGCGCGCCTCGAGCGTGACGAACCCCAGCACTCCAGCAAAGGCGCCTATCAATAGCAGTCCCACGCGGCCCATGGCAACGTATAGCACAGCTGAGACGCCTAGAGAGACGGCGCCCAGTATCCCTGGAGTTGCGTTTGCCGCGAACTGGAGTGCTTTCGTAAGGAGAGGAGGGGGCCCATTGGCAGAGGAGGTCGTGGGAGATCTCGAGTCTTGTGGTTTGAGAGGTGCTATGGTTTGTTTCTTGTCATCGGTCGTTGCGGTCATCATGTCGTTGGTCGTTTCGTCATTAGGCGCAGCAGCAGAAGCTCTGCTCTCCGCGTGCGCGTGCACATCGTCTGGGTTGATGGCGCTCATTGAGGCCGTTCGTGCCAAAAGGCCTTTGCTGAAATAATAAATTCGTTATATGTACGTTCAGTGAGCCGGCCGGGTAGTGGGACCATGTCAATAGCGTCGTCGCGACTCGTCAGCCAAGGCTCGCAGCCGAGCGGCAGGTACGGGGGCTGGTCCTTGGAAGAAGCTCACGTCGGCAGGGGACGAGGAAGATGCAATGATTATTATGAGGATGAGAAGAGAGGAATGCTGGCTGGCATTGTGCAAAGGACCAGTTCACTTGGATGGAGAAACAGATTCGTTCCAGAGCTTGGTTCAGGGGCGGCTTCCGATTGATACGTGCGCACATCGTAATGATTGCGGGACCCTCTTGGTGCTAATTTTGGCCCCCGGATGCCGCAGGTGCAGTGCATTAGGTTGTCGGCATTGCAATGATCGACATTGCAAAGGGAGCATCGTGGCAATGTATGTCGTTTGCAGACAGGAGGAAGACCAGAAGGTCGAGTGGACGTATGTAACTTTGTACAATTTTCGTCATTCGTCACTTCGTATCGGTTTGCCTCGACGACGATGTACGTAAGAAGGCCTGCATCACGTGAACTGGCGTTCGATGCATGTGCTGAAATGAGCTCCACCCGTAAGACAACGCGTCACACAGGAACTCAAGACGCGAAGCAGCATAACTGGCCCTCCAGAGTCCAGACCAACCAGCTGTGCATACACTCGTGTCGTTCACAGCAAATCTCATCTCACCATGGCTCCCTCACGGAAACGAGGCGCTGACTCGATTGAGGACTCGGAAGTCTCGGTGAACTCGCCTCCTGCTGGCAAGAAGTCCAAAAGTGCAGCGGCAGCAGCGCAGCCAGCAGGCAAAGACGACGATGGCCATCCTTATTGGGATGTGAGTTGCGCCTGTCCACCTGACTCCCCGTGGTTGTTCTCATGCTGACAACATCTAGCTTTCGGGCAAACGCCGCGTGGGCGTCTCTGAATTCAAGAACACTAATTTTGTTAATATTCGCGAGTACTACGAGAAAGATGGCAAGCATCTGCCCGGCAAAAAGGTGAGAATGCTGTCCCATCGCTGCAAATGCAATGGCTCACAGTTTCAGGGCATCTCTCTGTCCGTCGAGCAGTACACAGCGCTTCTGAAAGCGATACCTGGTATCAATGCGGCTCTGCGCGAGCGCGGGCACACGATCAAGGAGGACGCTGAGATGGACGATGCGCCGGTCGTAGCGGCTCCCGCCAAAACAAAGTCCGCTAAAGACAAGGCGAACATTGATGCCACGAGTGATGAGGATAGTAGCTGAGACGCTCACATGAGCGCATGTCGAAGGTTTCGCTGTGCAAACGGGTGACTGGGTGGCTCAGCTCAACTCAGCTCTAGTCGACGCGGGGTCTGGCGCTTATACGTGGATTGTTCATTTCGAAATCGCAGGGCGCTTCGGTACCAGATGTCAGATTATAGTTTTGGGGTTGCACGAGTATGCGTTGCTTCGGATACGTTAGGCGCTGGATTGCGCGGCGATCTTAGGGATGAAGGGATATGGGGTCAGGAGAGAGCCCGCGGTCGCATTGTGTAGTGCGCTTCTCAGCGGAAGGCACATTGTCAAATGATGGCAGACGCGTGCCCTGGTTCGAAAATTTGCTTTTAGCTGGCTTTACCAATGTATATACGTACGTAAGTGTCTCTTGCAACGATCAACTGGAATCTTCATGAAAGTGTACCATGTGTCCTCGATGCGCGTGGCCCCACAACAGATTGCGCTGACAGAATAGTGGCAGTGCCTCCAGGCCAGGCTGCCAGCTGCCCTAGAAGTTGGACCCTCAGCGCGCCACACGGGACAGTCACCCCTTAGATGGCGCAGCTGGTAGGGGAGGATGGCCATTCGTCGGTTTCACAGCAAGATTTCCAGGATCCAGTCGCTTTTCAGTGTCTTCGCTTTGCTTCCTCATAACTCGGTATTCTGCATTTGATATTATTGCCATTCGTCACTCTTCTATTCCCACACTCATTGCTACGCGTTACAGTCGCTCGTCTTTTAATCCTTCTCCGCTACATCTTGCTTGCTTTGCGACAGGGCGTGCGGGTACTGCGGCAGTCTACCTCCTTTAATGAACGGGCCTCTTTGGGAACATATATCATCAAATTGAGGACCACCGCGCGACTCTAGTATTTTGGGCGCATATACCAGTCAGGCACAGCTCTCACAAGTCTCATCTCTTCTCAACGTCAATCCACTACCCGTCTTCACAATGGCCTGGGGCTTTCGTCGGAAAGAGACGGTGGATGACTATATTGGCATCCTCATCCCGCTGGACAAAGCACATCTCTACAGTCACTCTGCAAAACATGGCAAGTTAAACTACGAGCATGTCAACGACACAGACATGGAGGAGCTTCTGGACGATGTGGAGATGCAGGAACGGCAAGGCGAGGATGAGCATGAGCATGAGACTGAGAACGAGACGAGGGGGATGTTGCAGACGAGAGATTTCGAATACAGTATCAAAGGCTTGAGGGCAGAGACGCGTCGAGGGCAGGGCTCGGGACGCAACGGGTCGTGGACGCCTTACGAGAGTACGTTGTCGTTGGGATGGCCAAGTGAGCGAACCCCCTGGGACTAACGTGAGCAGTCAAGTCAAAATTGATCAACAAGGCGATACAGGACATTGGGATGGGGCGATACAACTGGCAGCTATTCTTTGTCTGTGGTTTCGGCTGGTTCGCCGACAAGTGAGTTGACGTACAATCCATATTACTGACAAGACACATCGGCTGACTGTTTTAGCCTGTGGTTGCAGGGCGCATCTCTAACACTGCCCTCGCTGTCGGCTAGATTCGACATTGGCGAGAAGGAGGTGCGATATACCACGAGCGCCCTGTTCTTGGGCCTATCGTTGGGCAGTTCCGTTTGGGGAATCGGCTCGGACTACACGGGGCGGCGCATCCCCTTCAACACCACGCTCCTTATCGCTGCTATCTTCGGCATGGCCTCGGCATTCAACCAGAGCTGGGGCGGTGTCTGCTTCACCTACGCCGCGCTCGGGTCCGGGGTGGGCGGCAGTCTGCCGGTAGACGGCGCATTGTTTCTCGAGTTCCTGCCCGACGCGAATAGCTCGCTTCTGACCATGCTGTCGGTGTGGTGGCCCGTCGGGCAGCTCGTCTCGTCGCTCATTGCCTGGTACACCATGGCCAACTGGCCAGTCGACGAGGGCTGGCGCCTCTTCATGGCTACGATTGGCATCATGACCTTTGCCATGTTCGCCGTCCGCTTCTTCATCTTCCGTCTGCTCGAGTCACCCAAGTTCCTGCTGAACCAAGGTCGCCAGGACGAGGCTGTGGCGGTCGTCCATGCCATCGCCTACCGCAATGGCACCAAGACGTGGCTGACATCCGAGATCCTCGACGAGGTTGCCGGTACAGACGACACAAGTGCGGACCGACACCGACCGCAGCCGACAGGAGGGCTCAAGCAGAAGCTGTCCAAGTTCTCGGGAGACAAAATGAACCAGCTTTTCAAGGAACCAAAGCTGCGCCTGGCGACAATCCTCATATGGACTGCCTGGGCTGCCATTGGCATGGGCTACCCACTCTTCGCTGCCTTTCTGCCCCAGTACTTCTCCAAGTATAGCAACGCGGACGTCCAGTCCGAGACTTCTAGTATCTCGGGGGAGACCTATCGCAACTACGCCATCACGTCGATCTGCGGAGTTCCTGGCAGCATCCTCGCCACGTGGCTCGTCGAACAGAACTCGCGCTTCCTCGGGCGCAAAGGCACGCTCGCCTGCTCGACCCTCCTCTCGGCTGTCTTCCAGCTCGCGTTTGTCATCTGGGGCACGTCGTCGACGCGCCAACTCATCTTCTCGTGCGTGGGTGCCTTTACGCAGAACATCATGTATGGTGTGCTGTACGCGTACACGCCCGAGATCTTCCCCGCCCCCGTCCGCGGCGCCGGCACGGGCGTGGCGAGCTTCCTGAATAGGATCACCGGCCTGTTTGCCCCTGTCCTCGCGGCGAACCTGCCTGGTGATGCGGCCGAGGGGCCCATCTACGCGTCTGCTCTCCTCATCGCGATAGCTTTCGTGAGCATGTGCTTTATTCCGATTGAGACGCGCGGGGCCCAGAGGCTCTAATATGGATCGCGCTGTTTATTATTTTCTCGTAAAGAGATGTACTATAGATGGGACTGCACATTTGCATAGAGGGTGGCATCGCAATTTTCTGGGTACATCACAGGAGTCCAGGTATGATTTTCTGACATAAAGCAGGCAAACTCTCTTGCACGGCACAGGTACTGTCTATTCTTTCTTATAATATCATCTCAGCGGTTGCCCTTTGCACCCGCTGGCGCATCTATTCTCCTGCGCCGGAAAGACGTGCCCACCGCGTCCCTCACCATGGGATCGGCCCGGATCGTGTTCTGGACCAGCCACTCTCGCATCTTGCCCTTCAGATTTGACGTCGCCTCATCGTTGCCCTGGAAAGGCGCCGTCTCCATCTCCATCAGCCTCAAGGTGTCCTTATCAATGCTCTTAGCCAAGGCGTCTAGTCTGTCCAGGCCCTGATTCAGTGCTTTCTCATCATCCAAGGCGGACGTGTCCGGCCGGCCGTCGTTAATGTGCAGCGACAGTAGAGGACCGATTTGCGAAAGCGCAACGTATACCGTGATCGTGAGCTTGCGCGCGAGGATGATGGCCTGGAAAGGCAGCAGAGGAGGATGCGATGACACGGTTGTCAGGATGCTGTTGATCGCGTCGAGCCCGGGCGGGAAATGCGGACGTGTCACGGCGGCGATCTCAAACGTGCAGAGTGCAATGAGGATCAACCACCGATAGAACTTTCCAAAGTCCATGTAGCCAAAGAGCCCGACAACGTAGATGGTCGCGGCCGCGACACCGTAGTGAGGCAAGATGCCTTGCAGGACGCCTCGCGTGATGTAATCCCGTATGGACTTGCACTTGGACCAGTTCATAATTTCCATGCCGAAGCGCTCGTAGGCGAAGCGCTTGGCGGCATCCTGCAGGGTCTCGCTCGCGAGCTTGAGGTGGATGAAGTAGTCGGCCCCGTCGACGGCGCCGGACTTGTCCGGGTGGTGCTGCGCGGCGACGCGGCGGAAGCGGGACTTGATCTCGCGCTCGGGCACGTCGGGGCCTACACCCAGGTCCGCATAGAAGTGGGAGGTGCGGCGGATGTCGTAGTCGGCTTCGTAGATGGTGTAGAGGAGGTATGCGGTGACGACGAGGATGTGGATGACGCGACGGTGCGAGGCGTAGCGCGCGCTGCCCGGGGCAGGTTTCGGGTCGCCGGCGCGGATGGTGAGGCCGTAGTAGATGGTCTGGACCCAACCTGTTACAATCTGACGCGCATGTTAGCCTGGAGGGATGGTGCACAGTTGTGGACGGGGACGGACGTTGGGGAGAAAGCTCCAGCCTATGAAGGACAGGAACTGAGACATGGTGGGCGAGCACTCGCAAATGCCATGCGCAAGACGAGCCGCTCTTTGAAGATGGAGAAAACGAGTGAAAGTGGCCTCTCTGAAGGCGCGTTCGAGGGTGAAGTTGACAGTTTGACGTCGTTGTCATGTGCGTGCCAAGGGGAAACGGTTGCCACTTTGGCAGCGTTGGGACCCACATCAAAGTCAGCATTGTCTGAACCTCGAACTATCGCCAGAAGCATTTATCACTACATGTCGTGGTGTCGACACCAAAACATTTTCTGTGTGGTACTCATGATGCCTTGTTGAGCATGGAGGTCAGGGCCTGGAAATGGCTAGCATGTAAGTATCGAGCAATGTACTCCTTTTCATTCGCATTTCACCTCATTCACCACGTTGGAGAGGCTTGTCCTTGCTTGTGAGTGGAATGGAGATCTCACCCTACCTATACTGTGCAATCGAGCAATGCATCTCTGGCTCCGTTGGATGCACGAGGAAACGGAAGTCGGTATTGACTGTTGGTTGACTTGAATAAATTCACTCCACTTCGCTTGAACAAATGAGTCAAGATCAGAGCAAGCTTCGTGCCGCAACCCGTTTGGTCACTGGTCGCACGGACTCAAGACTCGCGTTGGAGGCCCTCCGCACTCGGCCGTCACAAAGAGGCCTCACGAGAGCCACCCAGCCAGCGAGCCGATAGGCTCCTTGCATGTTGGAGGCCTGCCGGCAGATCCATCATGAAAGCCAATTTTGTACAACCTTGAAGGCATCCAAAGCTTCATTTTGCCTCAATATCTCGTCTCAGGGGACACGATCATTTCCAATGAGAGTACGAAGGCGTGAGAAGACAAAGAAAAAGCGTCAGTACTAGCAATACCCCGCAAAGAGATGGCGGGACTAGTAGGTGTAATCTAGGGTCCAGCTCAGCAAAGATGGGATTACGCGGATATATCCGACGAGAGAAAGCCACGAGAACGTAGAACGGTAGAGGCTGCTCGCTCACTTTGGCGAGTTCAAATTGCCCAAGAGCACAAGACTGGCTCGATATTGTAAGCATGTACGTACATGCATTACACATCAACCCACGCCTCCGAGCAGAGGCTAAGACTGTTGGAAGTGTGTACCATGGTCAACGGTCAATTGGTTGCCTCCCAAATCATACCTTAAAGTACCTTGTCTTGCTTCTAATAGGCGCTGGAGTCAAATGTCCGGGCGGGTCATCCGTGGCAATGCCTAGCCGTCATATCCACTGGAAAAACGTGGGATACGCAAAGCCGACTTCCTTCCTATAGACAGTACGGAGTATTATTTAGTAGCTCCTCGCCAAGCGCATTCCCGTCATTGTCCATGCATCATCTCCGTTCTTGGTGCCCCGATCGTTCGCTTCTTCTTCCTCTTCGATACCGACAACTCGTCTCTGCACTGCACAGCCGCCGCCTGTCTCTCTGCGTGTGCAGTGGTCGGCAACCCTCGTTCATTCATGTCCATGGCTTCGTAATCGCACAACACCAGCAACACACCTCTGGGCCGGAGGCATGCCGTGCAGGCATTGGGTGTTAGCGCCGCTCGTAGCGCTTGGTGGTAAGGGATATTCGCATCACTGTCCTTCACCACAGTGCTCTCGCTAACCGCACAAGCCCTCTTTTCTACCGTCTTCGCTCAAGAGCCTGATACCAGGCCGCATTCGAATCACTCGACGTTTGTCAACTCCGATGGCGCGATAGCTTTCGCATTTGCTATACCCGACGACAACCCCAACCAGTTCTGGTTCACGTTGCGCGTCCATCGAAGCCATGCCTGGGGTGCCGTCGGGCTCGGGTCGGAGGACATGCCGGGCGCCTTGTACCTCATGGTCTACGACAACCGGGACCAGTCGAACACGACCTTCTCCCCACGCGTTGCCTATGGCTACTACGAGCCCGAGTACTACCGCGATTTCGAATACGAGCTGCTAGAGGGCACAGGCATATACGACGACCACATGGTGGTGATGGGCAAGTGCTTGCGGAACTGCTTCACATGGCCCGCCAAAGGAACGGAAGGCGGGCGCATCAACGTCAACTCAGGTCGCGAAAAGGGCATATATGGTCTGGGTCCATTGGAGGGTTTCACGAGCAACCGGCTGGACGACAGCCTCAAGTTCCACGTGCAGTATGGGTCATTCTATATGGATATGTCGAGAGCACATGGCGCAACGAGGGCGCCGGTGCTGACGGACGATTCAAGGAGTGAAGGTGCAATCCTGCACCAAAAATACGTCCGCAAAGCGGATATCATGTCCACCATGCACGCTGTGGCTATGATCTTGGCTATAGTGCTTCTGATGCCCTTGGGTATGGTCATGCTACGGCTGGGGAGCATGGTCAAGATGCACGCCATTAACCAGACCATCGCCTTGGTATTCGTGCTCATTGGTTTTGGCGTCGGCATTGCCACAAGTTATAGATACCAACGGGTATGTTTGAGCTCTATTGTCCCTTTTGGGTGCACGGACTCGAGTGCTAACACCGCCGATAGTCTCAGGAATTCACAAGCTACCACCAGATCATTGGGTTCTTCGTCGTTTTCATGCTGATAGGTCAGTTCATCATGGGTGTTTTAAACCATCGTCATTATCGGCGGACGCACTTGCTGTCCATCTATGGCAAAATCCATCCTTGGCTCGGACGGGTCGTCATCTTGCTTGGCATCATGAACGGCTTCTTGTAAGTCTTGCTGCCCCTTGCCAGCCGAGCGCTTCCTGGGATTGACATGTACAGTGGCTTCACATTTGCGCTCAACCGTCGATACGGTATCATACTCGGCGCTTTGATCATCGCCATGTGTCTTGCGACACTCATCACGATGATTGGTCGCCATTGCCTCGAAGCCCGTCGGCATCGAAATAATGCGCGCCTGCGCCATCACCCTCCTGTCGGATCACCTGGCGAGCAACGTGGTGCTTGGCCACAGGCCCCGTACGGCCCCCCAGGATACAGCAATGGCTACGGCTTTCCCAACAATGGCCCCCAGCCTGCTCCGCCTAGGGGCGTCGTGTTCCCACAGCGCTTTGATACACCAAGTCAGAGTATTGGCCTACGAGATGTAGCGTCGAATGTGAGGCGAATTCAGCCCCCTCAGAGTCCGTCACAGGAGCCAGGCCAGGATCGGCCGCAGATGGCACGACGAGGCAGCTCGCAGCAGGCGCCGGAAGCTCCTCGCGAGCTCTTATGATGCATATGATTGGCGTTAAGCGATGGTCAAATAAGGTCTATCTCACTTTACATTCATCTACGCCCGTCTTGATGGACGAGAATGACTTGGAATGTATTGTTCTCCTCAGACATTCAGCTACGCTTGTCTAATCCTCTGCATCACCCTCAAGCCATATTTCATGGCCATCGCCCTCTCGAACAAACCAGCTCGCTACGACTCCAAGCACGGCTATGACGCTGAGACACCACCACACCAGGCCTACGTAGCCAGCATTGAGGCCCAGTCCGTACAAAAAGCCTCCGACCATGGGGCCAATAGTCCTTGCGCCGCTACTCACGCTTTGCCCCATGCCATGTACGGTGCCCAAGACGCTTGGGTGTGGCGAACAGTTGTTGATGAGAATTGCCTGGGCTGGGAGGGCAAATGTTCGTCCCAGCACTTGTATCATCAGGATGCCTACAAACGCCATCCACATGGCGAGGCCTGTCTTGGCATGGGGTGGTGGCGACGTGCTTGGGACAATGCTCAGGTACGGCACCAGGAAGTACGCCATCGGGAAGGTATACAGGAAGTACCGCCAGCTTCTGATGGTACCCAGGCGTGCGTTGATCCGAGGATACAGGACCAGCTGCATGAAGATACCAATGGTCCCCAAGATAGCCATGGCGAGACCTACACTCTGCGGTTGCATTCCGAGGCCACCGGTGAACCGAAACGGCAGCTGGAGCGTAATGTCTGATTCGCTTGGGTCGTAAACCGGCGTGCTGAGGAAAATAAACCAGAGCGAGTTGAAAGTGCCGACGTGGAACGCCATCAGGAACTGAGCGACGAATGTCAGTACCACATTGGGTGTCAACACGCGCTTAAAGGGCAATCGTCGGGTGAAACGTTTCTGTGGCAGAGGTTTGGCGCCAACTTGTAGCAGATCAAGGCTGGTATCATTGTCATCGGGAAAGGATGAGGTCGGGATAGACGAGTATCCGTGTCGTCGTCTCCGAAACAAGGCCACCATGCGCTCGCGCAGACGGATGCCCAAGTCGACATGACCAGTGTCGCGGATGGAGTCCAGTGTCTCCTCCAGCCCCAAACATACCGCTGCTGCCGCGCACATGAGGAATACGGAGCTGACAATGTTGGGCGTGGCGTATGGGTACTTCTCGAAGAACGGTATCCCCTTGAACAACGATGGGTAGGATCCGGCAGGGTCAGACAGCACACCACCGAGGATGGGCCCGACAATGACGCCGATATTAAAGGTCATGGGGAGAAGCAGAAAGGCCCTGGATTGGTACTTCTTTTCCCTGATGATCTCGCTGATCCTGGTTCCTGTCAATCGGTGCCGTCACGGACAACAGCACGTGTATAGCGGCGGACTTACATTGTCCTCATGACACCAATGTTGCCGTTCGTGGCACCTCCCATCGTCCTGAAGACAAGAGCCTGCCAGAAACTCGTGGCGAACCCGAACCCCAAGCATGACAGACCTGTTCCCGTCAAACCAACCAGGAGGACAACTTTTCGGCCAGCGTGGCGCGAGTCGGCCACACGGCCCCAAAACATGCCCGTCAGGAATTGGGCGAACATGAACGAGGCGTGCATAATCCCCGCCTGCGACGAGATCTTAGACGAGGGAAGACTGTGGTCAAAGGATCTGAGCTGGTAGAACAGGTATGCCTGCAGGGAGGTCTGGACGAGAGGCTCGCTCAGGCGAGCCAGGGTAATGATGATCAGTTGGTCCTTTCGGGGTAGCTCACGCCATGCTACAGGTTGTTTGGCATCTTCCGACTGACACTGTGGTTCGTTAGGTGAATCAGCCGGTGAGGAGCAAGATCCTGAAAGCGGCTGTTGCTGGTCGTCGATCCTCCACGAGGGTCCCCAAAACTCATCAACCCGAGAGTCTTGACCCTCGGCGCGCTGCATCCCCATGTTGGTGGGACTGGCTTTCGAGCGTAGCCTCGCGTCTTTCCGAGTGGCGAGGAGTTCCACCTACAGAGTGTACTGGAGAGTCACTTGCATGTGGTTTTCCGGTTGTAGTGTGATGATGGCGCGGGTCTCGACCAATACTACATTAGGTTGCAGTCGCGGCATTGACCTGTCCTTGGGGGGGAGCATACATGTAGGCAAGGGTAGATGGCAGTGAATAAGGAGCAAGAGAAATCAGGTCCAAGTTTCTAGAAAAGAATTGCTCAGAGGCCTCTTCAGGTGCCATTGTCCACCCACGCAAGTCCACTGTGCTGGCGACTCGTCATGACTGACCCCAGATTCGCCCGCAATGCGGGTTTAGCGGCACAGTGCGGGGCTGCTGGGCCGGTCTGGCGCACCGAAACCCGGAGCTGTCCAAAGTCGTCACAAATCCCATTAGGGCCTTGTCCGATTCGCAACGTCTGAAGAACATATCATGAATGCGAATACTAGAGCTCCTCGCTATACAGCGGAGACCCATAGCATACTAGTTGCACAAAGTGACCCGGGCTTGGAGACCGCAGGAAGCGCTCATCGGAGGTATCCCGCCACATTGAACACCTTATCCGTGGGAAGCGTGCCGTACCCCTTTATGAAATCTCGGTGTGCTTGTCTGTTTAATCGCGTGCTCAAGGGAAGGAGTGAAACAACGGCTGAAGTGGGCAGACAAGTGACCAAAGTAGCTTATCAGTGACTGCTCGTCACAGATTCGCCAACCATTTGGTAGATACATGTATGTACCTTCTGCACCATGTTCAATATGCCTTTCGCCCACATCGATAGGATCGAAGGCAAATCTCCATAGCACCCAAACTTTTCATCAACAGCGTGAGGAACCACGCGGACCAGAGGCCGTTCCCGCGGGTCTCGCCAATACCGTGCGAAATACGCTAACACTGTGTGTTGATTTCGACGAGGACCTCAATCGTCCTACCCAGCACGCCGAATCATACATACCTTTGGCGACTGCAGCGCTGATAGCGACCAAGGAATCATGAGTGTCAGTATCAAGGTGGGCAAGCGCTCCATCAACATCACAGCTCAGCCCTTGAGCCAGGAGGCTTTTGCTCCCTTTGGCGACGTCATCTCCAACCCGCGACCAGATATTCATCCTTCGGCCTTTGCACAGCACAAACTTCCCTCCAACGCGAGCTCCGCCAACCAGGGCTCGGCAATCCGCTATGGAGATGTGAGTCGTCTAGGGAATCACTACGCGCAGGCTCCTAGTAGGACTGGAGAGCCGAAGATGTCAATGTTCGTCTGCGCCGCCCGACCGCTGGAGACTCTGTCCGACGGGTTCGGGAGATTCACTGTCAAATTACTGGAACGGCACCCCTTCACCACACAAACTTTCACGCCGTTACCGTCGAGCGCGTCACAATACCTCGTCATCGTGGCGCCCAGCCTTACTCCCAGTGCGCAGGACGAGGGCCTTCCCGTACCAGAGGGACTTGGCCTACCCGGGAGAGGGCTGCCAGACCCGAGCAAACTGCGGGCTTTTGTGGCCGACAAGAACCAGGCCGTCACATATGGCGCTGGAACCTGGCATGCCCCCATGGTCGTACTAGGGAAGGAAGGAACAGCTATTGATTTCGTGGTTTTCCAGCATGCCAGTGGCCAGGGGACTGAAGATTGTCAGTTGGCTGAATTTAGTGTAGAGGGCTCAGCGAACCCGGACATGAATGTGTTAGTGCCCCAAGTAAAAGAGAAGGCGAGGCTCTAAAAACACTTTTCAGTTCGTAAATACGGGTCTCTCTTAGTGTCTCCACCAGAGCATCTGGCAATACTTTAATGAATCGCGTTGGGGCTGAAACAACACCGTATTCAGATAGCAGTTCTCACCTCAGTCACCTCAGTCACCTCAGCTGCTCCGCACCGGTCGAGTTACTTGCCGCTATACATGTAGGAGAAGGAGATAGAGAACAACGCAACCACCGCCTTATCAAGGTCGAGATTCTTCGACATATCGCCTTCGTTGCTGGTCACTCTTGAAGGGCAACGCTCGACGTACACAATGGCCGCCGAAATCACCACTGACGTGCTGAACAAGCTGGAGGATACATCTGGCATCATTTGCAAGCCAGGAGAGAATCCCTACGCAGCGTTCATCAATGCCTGCAACAATGACCGTGTCAGAGCATACACAGGCACCCTTTCTCGCCCGAGACATCGAACTGACAGACCGTGTAGCGAGAGATCGAGGCATTGTACACAGCTCACCGCACCAAACGCAACGTCCAGCAGAAGGACAAGTTCCTCTCACCGGACTTTAAGGAGCTCTTTATCGATCAGACCTTGCTACGTCTAGAGAAGCCAGAGATTCAGCCCGGCTTCAAGGATGAGAGGCATTGCATGGCCCTGTGGTCACGGCCTCCTAGCCACATCATTCGTCTGGCCACGCACATTCAGCGCCTCCTCCTGGAGACATGCCCAGGTATGTTTAACGCCCGCTAAGCCCCAAAGCGCACGTGTCTGATAGCAGTCAATGAGTAGAAATGTGGCTCATGTCTCCATGGAACATGCACATGACCACATTGGAGGTGGCCTTTTCGAAGACGCCTACAGAGATTGCAGATCTCGTGGCTTCTATGCGCTCCTCGCTGCCATCCATCGTCAACCACACTCATAACCACCGTGCTCGCCTGGTCAAGCCGATGATCTCATATGATCTGTCCGCCTTTGCCTTGTCTTTTGTCCCTGCGACGGGCGAGCCTCCCCTGTCACCAGCGCCCGCGGCGCCAGACACGGCAGAGAACATCGTGCAGGGCGACGAGTACACATACCACCATGTCCGCATGGATATCTTTGACAAGGTCCAGAAGGCAGGCGTCGAGGTCGGCTCAAGGTATCAGGTCCCAAGCGCGCACATTACGCTGGGGCGTTACATCACGCAGGCCGAGCACGATACTCCTGAGAAGAGGCAGGCCTGGGTGGACCGCATCGACGAGATCAACGCGTGGCTGGAGAAGGAGGTCTGGGATGAAAAAGACAGCGACTTCATTGGCGAGTGGATGGTGGGACAGGAACGCAGCATCGACGCCAGGATCGGAACGATCTGGTACGGTGGAGGCAGAACGCTGGTGGTGGGCGAGGGCTTTTAGACGGTGACGTATCCACGACAAACCCCACGAGCAAATTAGACGTTAGACCAGGATGTAGTAGAGTGTATTCGAGCTTTGATTCATATCAGCTGATCATAAACGCGTGTCCTTCGTGCATGGAGGGCTGTATCGCCGCCGAGACGCCAGACAGAAGCGTGCGCCGCCGCCATGGTGGTAAGAGGGATATCGTGCTTTATTCATCCCTATGAACCGATCCTCAACCGAGGATTGTGCCCCCCCTTCGCCAATAGATCCATGATGCCCATATGCCTTGCAAGGAGAAAGCACGCAAAAGCGCAGAGAGACCCCCAAACTTTCTTTGATTTCCGCCGATACGATTCGTTTAGAACACCAGAGCCGCACCCTTTGTCTTCTTGTCACCACTGCTGCAGTCAGTACGCGGTCCAGACACGCGAGTGTGGGGAGGAGGGATGGGACGCACCCGAGCTCAAAGTGCTTGCAGCGCTTCAGCGCAAGCTGGCACTTGGTCTTGCACTTGACGCACTCAAGACGCAGCACAACCTTCTTGGTGGTCTTGGCCTTCTTGTGGAAGACAGGCTTGGTCTGACCACCGTAACCGCTCTGCTTGCGGTCGTAACGGCGCTTACCCTGGGCGAAGAGGGAAGCCTTGCCGGCCTTGTACTGGGTGACCTTGTGCTGGGTGTGCTTGCGGCACTCCTTGCCCTTGCAGTAGGTGTTACGGGTCTTGGGAATGTTGACCTGGTAATCATCCGTGTCAGTTCTGCATGTTCCTTTTCCTCGCTCGCGCCAGTGATGGTGGGGTTGCTCAGGCTTCTTCGAGGTGGTCGCAAATTTCGAAATCGATGGTCTTGTCGCGGCAGCGTAGTACACGTAGAACGGTCCAACGGTCAGTCGCACAAATGGAAAGAGTTGTATCTTTGAGAAGAGGAAGCATCTCCAGCCTAAGTGGTTTGTCGGCCTGCTCGCGCCCCGGAACCAAGCCAAAGTCGTCGAGCTCGTACGTCGCCGTCATCATCGAATATTCATCGCTTGCTGCGTCGCCACCGGACAAGGACCATCGATTGTCGAAGAGGGAGACTCGCTCGTTGAAGCATATGAAGAATCATCAGAGGCGTGGAGGCATGTTCACTCACCATTTTGGCGACTGTGTGTGGTGGCCGTTTCCTTGGGTGTGTGGTGATGCGAGGTTCCGGAGATGGAGTGAAATTTGGGTGTTTTGTGATTTCTCTCTGCTTTGTGGGCACTAGGGTCGGCCACCAACCCAATTCGATGCTGTGGCTGGCGGGGCTTCTCACCAGCCACACTTCACGCCCTGCACCGCCACTTCTCTATGGAGCGCTCGGACCACTCAGGGGAGAGAGACCCCACCATCAACGACACGCATTGGCAGCAGCTCTAGCATCGTAAGGTGTTCTTTGGAGACACGAGTAAACATCGAAGCTCATAACTACAGTCGCAACCATGGATCCTTACTCGGCCGAAGGCGAATTGATCAACATCCACAACCACTTCCACCAAGGGCAATTTCAAGAAGTTGTCAACTTTGATACCTCGTCATTTTCATCCGAGAACGCCCTACCCGCCAAGGTCCTCCAGCTCAGGGCCCGCATCGCTCTCGGTCAAGCTGAGGATGTCCTCGCTGAAGTGAAGGGCAATCCGGGGCCCGAGCTGGAGGTTGTTGGGGCGTTGGCCGAGCTCACACTGGGCAGAGCCGTTTCGGCGGTCAAGACGGCAGAGAAGCTGGCTTCTTCCGCCCCCGAGAATGTGACGGTGCAGGTCGTTGGTGGAATAATCCTCCAGGCTGCTGGAAAGCCCGATGAGGCGCTGGCGCTATTATCTCAGCACCAAGGAAGCCGTAAGCTGGTTCCTAGCACGAATGTCAGCGAGAAGAGAGAAGCTAACGGGAAGCAGTCGACGCCGTCGCATTGATCGTCCAGATTCAGATCGCCCAGAACCGCACAGATCTCGCACTGAAGGAAGTCACCGGAGCGCGGAGGTGGGCACAGGATAGCCTGCTCGTCAACCTGGCAGAGTCGTGGGTCGGTCTCAGGGTGGTGAGTAATACGGCCCAGAAGGGAGACGGTGGCGCTGACATGGTGTAGGGCGGCGAGAAGTACCAGCAGGCATTCTACGTCTTCGAGGAACTGGCACAGGCACCCGCGACATCATCGGCGTGGAGCTTGGTCTCACAAGCAGTCTGTGAGCTGCACCTCGGCCGGACAGAGGAGGCCCAGGCAGCGCTTGAGCAGGCGCTACAGAAGGACCCCGAGAACTCGGCGGCCTTTTCAAACCTTCTCGTCTTGGCCGTCGTGTCCGGACAAGACCCGAAGGAGTGGACTGAGTATGTGCAATCATCTGCGACATCTAGAACGCATCTGACAATGTCTAGAAAATTGCAAAAGACGGAGCCTCAGCACCAGCTGCTGGCCGACCTTGAGGAGAAGAGCGAATTGTTTGACAAAGCGGCGACCAAGTACAAGGGCAAGGTTTCGGCGTAGACAAATCTGCGGAGCACACTTGATTATCATGACTGGCGTATGATGTATGAGAAGGGCAACCATGGCGTTATCCACACTTTTGAACTCGCCGTTTTTTAATGCCATACAAGTGAAGTGTTTTCCACCTCGATGGTATAGATTCTCAGCATGAGTCGGTCTTAGACCTGATCAACGCTACTTTTTGATATTTGATTGCCTTTCTGGAATTCATGACCACAAGCAGCTTGTACCAATCATTGAGTACCCCTAGCTTTGAGCTCTGATTAGATATAGAGCTGGCTCCTGCTACTGCTTTACTAGTATATTGTAATATCGCTACCGTCGCTCACGGTGAACAGGACAATTAGGACCATTGCGTGCCGAAGCAGCACATGTGGTAATGTTCTTCGCAGGATACCCGTTGCTAGCAATATTGCCATCTCCACTCGCCAGAAGCATCAACACAAGCAGCAGACGACTGGAGCTGTGGGTTCAGGCGCATTAGTATCCCCTGGAGCAAGCGATTTCCGGCACAGGAAGGAGTACACAAGAGTTAGGTGACACTGTGCAAAGAGACGACAAGGTCTAGACGGAGTGTTTCTTGAGCAATCGCAGCAATGCAGAGTTACGGAATGTATGCGTCGTGTGTGTTTCGCAACGTGGATATTTCAAGATGCGAGGGGCGCTTTCTGAGGACTCCTCAAGAACCATCTTATTGAAATGTCGCGAGAGCTCAGGGGCATTATCGTTCGGAACGTTGTATGCTCTCGACGCCGCCCTAGCAACGTCCTCTTTCTCAAAAGAAGTTGTACTCTTCATCTTCAGCTGTCATCACTGGCGGTACATTGACGCCATGCCGCATTGATCTCAACTTGTTCTGGGGTCGAGGTGGCGCTTCAGGCAACTCGAGCCTCAACGCCCAAGTTTTCTGCTTCGCGCCAGGCCGGTGTGTCTCTCTCCGTGGAGAAACGCGTGTATTCGTTCTAGGAAAGTACTCGTCGCCACTCTCGAAACTTCTACCCACTGGCGTCGTCAAAGTGGGCGAAGAGGTCAGTCTGGCGGGATCTTCTTCCTGGAGGAAGGCATTAATCTCAAAGAGCTTGTCTTCCGTCGACGGCAGACGCTTCGTCTTCGGAGGCTTGCACTTGTCGCTTGTGGCCGTTACTGACGACAGACACCGTAGAGGTGACGGCGCAGCGGAGCTTTCTGTTGGCGGAGGCGTGTAGAATCCGGTCTGCTTATCCAAGACTGCACCGCTATTGTATGAATCATGGTCGGGGAGAGTGCGCTCGAAGGGGGGAGGTTTGTCGCGTGCGCCTTCGAGTTCCTCGTCAGGGATGTGTAGGTAACGTCGTATGCTGTTCCAGAAGGCGTTGGCTTGCGCAAGATCGCATTCGTAGTTCGGCTGCACATGCGGTTGTCTTATGGTTCTTCCCCCCCGGCGAAAGTCGTTCGCATTCATAGCATTACTTGAGAGTTTGTCTCCTACACATGTGTACTCTACCATTGTTTCCTTCTCCCCTGGAGAAATAGGAATCACATCCAAACACCTGCCTAGTGGTGTAACGGTGTAGTAGTGTCGATATTTAAGCAAAGTCAGTGAATAGTCTTCAACATCTGGCGCTACAGCTAGCGAAGGCTTTGTGGCCTTGGCAGTGGTGGCTGCGTTGCTGCTGTCGACGCTTTCATCCGAGCCTTTCACTGTCGTCGTCGTCTGTGACGAGCGCTCCATACTCGATGCCCCATTGGGACTGTCATCGCTGGTGGACGAAGAAGGCGAATCCTGAGCTCCATCTCCCGCCTCGATCCAGGCAACGATGGATTTCACAGACTTTTTCTCCCCCTTGTCCTTCCGAGGAGGTGAGGATCGTGGTGGACCAATGTTGTAACAGAAGCTAGCCGGCAGTCCTCGATGCTCGCGTTTGCGACTCATGATACTACCTTCAACAGGCCAAGTGTCCGCTGTTTTCATGACTTCAGGAGTATTGCATGCCGCCATTGTTGCGTCGAAGACGACACAATGATCCCAATGAACGACAAGAAGAGGCAGTGCTGAAGATGTTGATGAATAACTCGCAGTAGTGTAACGAGGCAAGCCTCAGTCGAGTGAGGTCGCTTTGCTATCTGAGGTCTGTAGACTTCATTCATCTCGAGCCCAGGTGAGAAGATGCTGAGGTCAAGGCAGCTGTCTTTACTAGACGTGCATTAGCCACCATTCCGCCCATCCACCCATCCAATATGATTGAACAACAAAGTCTAAAGAAGTACATTCGCCAATGCGCCGCAGTCGTCTTGGTGTATAATGCATGTTCAAAGCGCGGAACGTATGTGCGCCACCAAACGCTCGAGCCATCTTCGAGACAAAAAGGCCAGTCGCACAGAGCAATTGCAAGAAGTCATTTTGTTTGACCATATCCTGAATTCGAGCCGATTCGATTCGAGTACGCGTTCAATGAACTCTATATTAGCATGCTATTCCCAGAGAGCATCATGTGTCTGCACATGCATCCATGTCACCAACTACATCGTTGCATCGCGCATTTCACCAGCCGTCTCCCCATGCATCGTCTTCTTCTGATTCTTTCGGTTTCAAGTCCAATTTCTTGGTTACTGTTGGTTTCGTGGCTGGTTTCGTCGAAGTTGTCGTCTTCTTGATGGAACTCGATGATTTTGACAAGCCCTTGGGCAACGGTTTCACCCCAGGTTTCTTGCCAGACCGCTCCGCCAACCAAGCGGCAAAGTCCGGTTCTCCGTCTTCAAATGGTTTCGTCGAGGCTACTGTCTGTGTCATTGGCTTCGTGGAGGTGTTCGAGGCGGACACTGTGCCGTCGTCGTCCATGTCTCCCATATCACCCCACGCTGCGCCCGCATCATCGCCATCGTCCTCCGGCAGAAATGCCTGGGCCACTGCATTGGGATTCGGCGAGCCCCCTCGCGATGACTCTGGAGGTGGCGATGCAACGGCTTGCCTGTGTAGGTTGGACGCTGAAGCGGTGGCAGGCTTTCTGGTCTCGGGGTTTGGTGATGCTACAGGAGCAGGCGTGCTCGTACCAGAGCCATTGGTCTGCATGTCACCAGCCGCAGATGACAATTTGTTTGTGAAAGACGAGATAGCCCAGCCAGTCCATCCAGATGACTCGCCGGTCTTGGGGGTCGCCATCCGTGGCGCCGCTGCTCCCGCGCCAGCTGCCTGTGGCGGCGGCAGCGCTGTATCAGGTAGATCGGAGGCTGCTTTTCTTATCTTCTGTAGGTAGACATCAACAGTCCGGTTGGCCGAGTCTCGCACCAGCTTCTCCTTGTCGAGAAGACAGGGGCAGACCACGGGAAGTATCCTCGACGCGCAGTCTTCGTCGGAGAAGTGCTCCGCCGTAGCTCCAAGCGACATAAGAGCTGCGTTACGAGCATGCACAAACGGGTCCCTCAACGACCGAGTGAACGCAGCTGTGAGGACCTTTGATCTGGATGATGCGCCTAAGTTCTTTGCAATTTTTCCCAAGCATATGGTCGTGTTTGTGCGAATGCCGGGTTGCTCGTCGTTTGCAGTCTTCGCGAGCTGCTTGAGAAGATCTCCGTTGATTGTTCGATCCGAAAGCTTGGTGATGATGACCAACACAGATTTCAGAGTCTGCTCTCGCACGACTGGTGCCAAGTCCGTGAACCCAGTGACCATTTGCGGGAATATCTTGTCGTTAACAATCTTCTGCGGCAGACGGTCGATCATCAGAGGTAGGTTGTCTAGTAAGCATACGCGGATGGCGCGATCAGGGTTACCAAAGAGCCGCACAATGACAGGGATCATCTTGGATTCAAAGTCGTCATTCGACAATTGGGCGGATATCTTCATGACGACGCCGAGTGCTTTGGGACCGCCACCTCCAAACTCGACCGATTTGAGCATTTCGGGCAGCACCTTCATCTTGAAGAATTCCTCAGGGAAGTCGTCCGTGAGTGCGTCCAGGTCACTGAGAACTATTAGTCAAGATCATGGGCCCGATAAAGGCTTCGACTCACTCAAGAAACTGCTCCCTCTCTTCCGGTGACTTGACGCCCAAGTTGTCAATGCCCTCGGTCATCTTGATCAATGGAGTATCGAAAAAGGAGTTGGTTCGGCTGCCCTGATCAAGGAAGGCGCTGACGCTCAGACGGGCCTTTGGATTCGCATTGCATAGCCGCTTGTAGCTCGCGTGCATTGTGGGCGGTACGTTCTTGGTAGTCCCAGCTTGGCTCTGGCTGGTGTAATCGCCATTGAACACCTCGTATATCAGCACACCGAAATCAAATGCATCGACAGCTGTCTGCGGATTTTTCTTGATAACTTCCCAGCCATTCTGGGCCACTTCAGGTGGGCAGTATCGACCCGAATCTGGCACCAGACCACCATATGTCTGTAAACGTCAGCATCGGTTTGGAGCGTCGAGCGGCGGTACTAACATAAATAATAGACTCGTCATCTTTGACGCTGCTCAGGACATCAAAGCCACCGAGCTTCCACTCGCCACTTTCTGACGTATATACTGAGCCGACTTTCAGACTGCCGTGTATCGACGCGGCATCACTGTTGATAAACTTGACTGTCCGCTGTCAAACGGTCAGCATCTCTGCCATAGAGCATTGTTTCGTCGTTCTCCCGTACAGCAACACCATTCAGTCCCCATTTTATAGTCTCTGGAGTCAAGCTTTTCCTCTTGACGTGCCATCGCAAGGGCGTCACACGCTCGGTCGCAATGTAAATGTATGTTTCGGTCTGTCGTCGATTAGTGACGGGTCGTTCGCTGTTCGACTGTAATTTCGGCGCACTTCGACTGTGTCAAGAACTTTGATCACCCCGGGGTGCCTCATGGTCTTCATCTTCTTGAGCGCATTCTTGGCTAACGGTAATCGAGCCCTGTTGTTTGGAATATCGAACGCAAAGATACTGCAGTTCGAACCGTTTTCCTGTTCGCGAGTCCAAGGTCAGAACACAGAATCTTTCACTTGAGAAGAATAGCAACTAACCTTCCTCGTGCCATTGTGCAGCGTCCAGATAGATTCGTCGACATCGACACGATCGCCAAAGCTATATGGGAAAGGGGGCCCGCTGGCAATGGCCGACGCCACTGCAGACTTGAGGAAGTCCATCTTCAGTCGCGCGCCTGAGTCGTAGTGTCTGGAGTACCTTCGAGGGCAAAACAAATCCCAATGCGTCTCCCAAGTTCAAAAAGAATCGCGTTCTTCAATGTCGAGATCGTCCCCCAGTTTATGAGGGCCGCTGGTAGATCCCCCGCCACAACATGTGTCAACTCCCAGAAGCTCTTATCGATAAGCCCGCCTAGTCTAATTCCCAGCATCTCCTGCAACTCGCACGTCGACTTTTACACCTTGACAGGTACAGATACACTTTTGGTCTTTTTACTCTGTGTCTTCATCAAACATGTGACCTACCAGGCGACGCGCGCTTGTACATGCTGCTAGCGTCATGCCACAGCCGTCGTAATTGGTTATCGCGGATGGATCGTAACTGAACCCTAGAGTCGAGATGCATCATCTTGACGCGCCTACGACGGTTCATCGACGACACGACATCTCAGATTCCTCAGACCAGCGCGTACAAAGCAGGTGGACGGGAACGATATTAATTTAATGCAATCCTGCACTCAAACAGTAAGTCGCATTTATTTTCTGCCTCAAAAACCACCTACGCGCCCAATGATGAGCATGGTAAAAGGTCTGACGCACCGGAACCTTCTGGGTACCTCGTTCTTCTCTCTTCATCCGCGCAATGCGAGACAATCCTCTTCATGATTGTCCTCGCTCTCCGGCATCTAGCGAGCCCAGACCTCCATGCACCCCCATGAGTTCTGGGCGAATGATCACCGATCATATCAGCACGATCGCATAATGGAGTTTGCTTCTACGGTTGCCTCCACGGATCCAGACCAAAGGCCGCGATCTACAGCCTGCACATTTTGTGTAGGCTTTGGTGGATCTAGAGCGAGAGAGAGCATGGTAACCGCTGTTTGTTCCGCGAGTGAAGTCGATTCTCAAGAAACTGAAAAGATCTGAACACTGGGCACACATGACACATTTCACTTGTCTGGCTTGCTTTAATGGCACAGGGCTGACTTTAACTCTGACAGAATGGATACACCGAAAGCTCACTTTGCCCAGGTGATCGAGTGAATCTGTGAGTATCGATGAACAGTTGCGGCAGATGGCATTGACTTGCTCTGCTTTTTCAACGAGCAAGTATGCAATTCGTAATGTGACGTGAGCTCTTGGTAGTGGGGATTATCTCATTGAAATCTAAACTCTAGCTACATGTAACAGATAATGCTTTTTGCCACCAAACGACCTATCCAAAAACGCCTCTTCGCGCATTCCCCATGCAACATGACCTAAATACCCTTGGACAACAAGTTCAACGCACTGCCAGCGAGGATGAAGCCAGCCTGGTCCTCCGTGATGGCATGCTTGGTGGGGATGAGCTTCTCCTCGCCATCCCCCCTCGTGACCTTGATCTGCACGCTGCCTTTTCCGCCGTTCTGGAGCATTTCGTAGAGGCCGACGGTGGACACCTCGTCGCCAGCCGAGATGAGGTCGTAGTCGGCCTCGTTCTCAAAGGTCAGTGGCACAACGCCCTGCTTCTTGAGGTTCGTCTCGTGGATACGGGCGAAGCTCTTGACGAGCACGATGCGGGCACCGAGGTAGCGCGGCTGCAGAGCAGCGTGCTCACGGGCAGAGCCCTCACCGTAGTTGTGCTCTGCGACCACGAGCCACTCCCTGCCGGCATCCTTCCATCGCTGTCCGAGTTCGGGGATGGTGTGCTTGCTGCCATCGAGGTCGTAGGCAACATTGACCTCACCCGTCTCGGCGTTGATGGCGGTGTTGAGGGTATTTGTGCTGATGTTGGGCAGGTGACCCTTGTACTTGAGCCACGGGCCGGCTGCCGAAATTGTGTCGGTGGTGCACTTGCCCGTGATCTTGACGAGTACGCGAAGGCCGGAGAGATCAGACTGAGGGAACGGAGCAAAGGGTTCGAGGAAGGCGAGGCGGTCGGACGTGGGTGAGATGGCAATCTCGGCAGAGGGATCAGCAGGCTGCGACAAGACACCTAGGGATGGGTTGCCCGACTCGAAAGGCGTCTGGGGACCCTCGAGGCCGTGAGGCGCGCTGAATTTGAAGTCCTTGCCGTCGGACGTCTTGAGAGTATCAGTCATCGGGTTGAAGGTTGTCGAACCAGCAAAGGCCATGGCCGTGACGATCTCGGGCGAGGCGAGAAAGTTCATGGTCTCAGGGTTGCCGTCGTTACGTCCGCGGAAGTTGCGGTTGTAAGAAGTGAGGATGGCGTTGGATGTGCCTTTCTCGACACCGTCATGGCGCTGCCATTGTCCAATGCAAGGACCGCATGCATTGGATAGGAGGATGCCACCAGCACCCTCAATAGTCTGCAGAGTACCGTCACGCTCGAGAGTTGCGCGGATCTGTTCGCTACCAGGGGTCACGTAGAAGTCAGAGGCAGGCTTGAGGCCAGCGTCTGCAGCTTGCTTCAAGAGACTCTCGACGCGGGTCATGTCTTCGTAGGAGCTGTTGGTGCAGCTGCCAATGAGACCAGCAGACAGTGATTCGGGCCACTTCTGCTCCTTGACGGTGGCTTTGAACTTGGACAGAGGGGTGGCCAGATCCGGGGTGAAGGGACCGTTGATGTGGGGCTCCAGCTGGGAGAGGTCGATCTTGATGACTCGGTCGTACTCGGCACCCTCGTCGGCCTCGAAGCGGAAGTGGGAGTCCTTGTCGGCGCCGGCGCCAGGGAAGTTCTGGAGGGTCTCGACGTTTTGCGCAGCCTGTCCACGGCTCGTGGCGCGCAGGTAGCGTGCGGACGCCTCGGTGTAGGGGAAGATGGACGTTGTGGCACCGACCTCGGCGCCCATGTTGCACGCAGTAGCCATGCCTGTGAGGCTGAGCGTGTCGACACCAGGGCCAAAATACTCGATGATGGAGCCAGTGCCACCACGGACGGTCAGCTCGCCAGCGAGACGTAAGATCACATCCTTGGGGGCGACCCAGGGGTCGAGCTTGCCAGTCAGCTCAACGCCGAGGACCTTGGGGGCCTTCAGCTCCCAAGGGGCGCCAACGAGGGCCTCAACCGCATCAGCACCGCCAACACCAATTGTAATTGTTGTCAACCCTCCAGCGTTCGGGCTGTGACTATCTGTACCAAGCATCATCAGACCAGGCAAGGCGTAATTCTCCAAGACGGTCTGGTGAATGATGCCGGCGCCGGGAGGCCAGAAATCCATGCCATATTTGCGCGCTGCCGACTCGAGGAAGTCAAAGACCTCCTTGTTCGTCTCGATGCCAGCCTCGAGATCGTCCTCAGCGCCCTTGGATCCGACAATCAGGTGGTCGCAGTGGATGCTGGCAGGGATAGCCGGTCGTTCGAGGTTGCAGGACATGAACTGTAAAAGAGCCATCTGCGCCGAGGCGTCTTGCATGTTGACACGGTCGGGGTTGAGGCGCAGATTAGCCTTGCCACGAATGTCGCGCCCATTGTTCGTATTGTTCAGAAGTGACTCCTCTACATTGTGCAGGTGGCTGTAGAGGATCTTCTCGGCCAGCGTCAAGCGCTGCTTGCCCAAGACTCGTCGGACTTCCGTATACTTGTTGAAAAGCTTCTCGTATGTCGGCGGTAGGGAGTGGGCGGAGGACAGGTGTCGTCGGCTCGAGTTGGAGGTTGCGCGAGCAGATTGACGCGCTGCTCCGAGGCCGGCACGGTTGCGCAAGGCTTGCTAGAAGGGTCAGCCCAGACTGTGAAGGGACTAGTGAGTACACATACCGCCATGGCACCGCCAGCGCGGCCGGTAAGGTGAATTGACGCCATCTTGCCGTCTCAACGATCGCAAACACTCGTGGAGTTTCTGGGGAAGATTGGACTTGGTGGGATTTTTTGACTTTTGGTGGTCGGGATCAGCCTCGTAATCCTGGGGTTGGGATTGGTGGGGTGGTCTTAATGTATGGGTCACTCTTCCGATGCTCGGCTGTGTCACTATGACCGAGGTCACTGGAAAAGGGGCGCGGAATAACGAGCTCAGAGTACGCGAATGCTCTCAAAAATTGATCGAGTCATGATATGTATCTGAAATACCTACAATTGGCTATTGAAATTAGTCTGTGGTTGCCGACTGTACAGTGGAGGCAACCTGTCCGGACTCTGTCCAGAGCCCCTGGCGACTCGCATGTTTTGATTGGGAGCCCCTGAATTGCCGCACCGTCACTTCTGGACATGAATTGGCCCAGCTTACTCCTAGCACAAAATAAATGCTGAACAGACCCCGTCAGAGCACATCCCTCTACCCGACACTTTGCTGCACATTAAATGTCTCTTCTGTCCACCCATAGCGTCTCTGCAAATCCTTCGCGACACGCAGAGTCTTGCGTCCCTCCATATGTGCCTTGTGTGGCCTGTGGGCGATGAATGCTCGAACAAGCCCCATGCTCTCGGGCGGGATGAAAGCCAAGATGGAGCCGCCGTTCGGTATGACGGAGAACCCCAGTTCCGTCATCGCGGCTTCGAATGCTGACCAGCTCACCGAAGGTCTGTGCACAGACTTGCAGAAGATGTCTGTGAACGTCTTGGCGGTTGTTGCGCTGACTCTGATCTTGACACAGGGCGTCGACTCTGGCTTGATGTCGTTGGCCGTATCGAGTTCACGCTTCGCGGGCTTGATCTCAGCGCTGTTGGGGGCGGGCAAAGTCGACTGCACTGGTCGAGTCTTCTTCTTCTCTCGTCGCGGTGAAGTGTCAAAGGCTCGAGTCGGCTCATCGATACCAGGCCATGGGATGAACGGTCCCTTCTTCGATTCCGGCTCGGTAGCAGGGACAGGCTGTGCGGCTGTCTTGCTGGGCAAAGATGTGGGCTGTTCACTTTGGGGAGGTTTGTTCATGTGTTTGGCTGAGCATTCGACCTCTGTTTCGTGGTGCTTTTCGCGGTGCAGCTCTTGCAGACAATACTCATCTTCTTGTGACGCTTTCTGGCTGAGTTTTCCCCTCTCGCCCTGGACTCGGATGTCAATTTTATTGGGAGCAGCCGGCTTGCTACCCGCCAAAGCATCCCAATGCGCTGTAGTCAGCGAGGACAAGCAATCCTCGACCAGATCAAAGTACACATCGTCCAAAGAGGACCCGTACTTGTCCGTGTACAGGCCCTCAATCGTATTGATAGCTTGCTTCGCGACCTCTGGCTTGTTGAGTCGGTATGAGGGCCTCGCAAACGCCATTTTGCTGACCTTGGCCTCGAGAGCCACAAACTCGGTTTCCAACTCATAGAACCGCGACAGGAACAAAAGTCCTTTCTTGCGGGACGGCGAGGGCATGGGGATGTAGGAACGCAATAATATGTCAAGCCTGGAGCTGACGTAGAGATGCTGAACCAGCGCGCACAGCGGTGACGGCAGGTCGCTCAGCCTTGAACTTCCTGTTGGCGTGCCCTCTGCAGGTGGTGCGAAGAATTTCCGCGTCCAGTATGCCACATGGTAGGCGTCTGCCCCTGTTTCGCAGGCATTCAGAAGCCATAGTCTCGAGTCGTTGGGACTCAGCTCCGCCCTGGGGTCCCCAACCATGCGGTGTCTGTAGTTTCCGAAACTGTCGGGTACGTCCGAGACGCGCTCGAACCAGGCCCTACCGAGGCCTGTCTGGAAGAAGCGGGTGACCAGCGCCTTGTCTGCTCGGAAAGCAAGGTCGCACATATTTGCCAGCTCCTGAAGCAGCTGGGTCCGATAGGTCCTCGGCATGTCTCTGCGCAGATCGCTGAGGAGTTCCAGAATGTATGTCCAAGCGGCGTCGACCTTGGCAGCACGCTGCAGCGCTTCCAAGACGCCAACAGTGTAGTCGTTGTGTAGGTTGACCCCATGAGAAGAAGCTTCATTTCCGGACACAGCGCCGGCTTTGCTTTTCGTGTAGAAGCCTGCAATTGTGAACAAAGCCTTTGGGTCGCATCGAATGAAATAGCAATGTTGCCTGTTATAGCTCGCCTGTTCAGCCGCCATGTCAACGAGACATTTCAATTGAGTCGAGTCCCGCTTCACGCTTTTTAAGGATGCTCTGAAATCCTCAAAAGACTCGTTCAGATCCACGAGGACATTGAGCCCTTTCGCTTCCGAGGGGTCTCCTATGACTCGACGAAGCGCAAGGGGCAGATCCGGTGGCTCAGACCGCTGGAGCTCGCGGTCAGGGAGAACTCGCCTCCATATGAGATACAGCCATGTAAACAAGACCGCTTGCCTCATATAGACCACGGTTTCGGCCACGAATCCGGATTTAGACTTGGCATTTGCAAACATGCCGTGGCACGCCGTGCGAATATTTCCAGAGAGTAGACCAGGCGCAGCTCCGGGAGGATCGCCAATGACCCCTGACAAGACTTGAATACCAGATTCTATGCCGTCCATTTCAGGGATCTCCTGGACCAGCTCGAGATCACTCTTGGCGCCAGTGGCAGCGCGTTGTAGGCGCTGCTGCTCCAGCGTCGTCGAAGTTCGATGTCTGAATACGTTGATGAGGGTTTCCGGAGTGCCTCGCACAATTGCTTCCGGACCAAGATCTGGCCATAGGGGTGCATGTCTCCAAAGCAGTTTGTATGGTCCAGGCAGCTCGTTTTCGCAGTCCTCGAAACTGGTCTTGTAGATTTGCAGTCGTTCATCTGCATTGAAGGTTCTCCAGGCCTGATCAAACTCGCCACCATGTTGCTTGTAGCTCAGCGTCAGCCAGTTCGCCATGGGCTGCATGTCCCCCACAAGCTGGGCGGCGAGGCAGTCCATGCTGGCGATTTGATATTGTGATAGTCAGCGGTAACTGGCGCCAAAGTAGAGGACGACGACGACAACAGAAAAATGTTGATAATGAAAAGTGTAGTCCGAAAAGTGTGCGAAGATTGGAGTTTTTATCAGTCGACATGTTTACAGGACAGAAAACGCCCACTTGGACGCCTATGAACAAAGCAGTCTCATGTGACACAAGTCCATCATTCAGACGGGAGCTCACCTAAAGATTGAAGGCGCCACCTCATACTTTAGGTGAAGGACAGGTGACTCAAAGGTCAGGCTTTGACTGGTCATTGAGGCCTGGCTGAAATCCCAGAGTTGAGTTGAAACTGCTGTCATTGCGATCGCTCAATGTTTGACATGATAGTGATGACCCCAGCACCTGAAAATGAATAGACCTTTATTTCGCGGCATCGTTACTCTACAATGCTATCCACAAATGATTTCATGAGCCCCTGATACCTAGCCTAGAAAGCCCTTGTTACGCCGTCCGCATCGTCGAGCCACAGTGTCGCCAAATCCTTGGCCAAGCCCAACCTCAAACCACGAAGCATATGTTCCGCCTTGGTCGTCGAGCTAAAGCTCTTTCTCCAGTCCCAGCCCCTTTGAATCTTGCCGCCCGACGAGGAGACAGACTTGTGCATATGATTTGCGAGCACGGAGCTGCCAGTCATGACATAGCTGCCGCCGCTGAGCGAGCTCGTGGACCTGAGGAGATCAGCGGGCGTGGACCCCTTGAGACCTTGTGCTGATGAAAGCACCAGGTTGAAGAATTCGTCGCAAGTATCATAGATCCTCGACCCGACAGTCTGAATATCCTCGATAGCCTTGAGCAGGATGTCCATCTGCTCCAGAGTGATGATTGCTGGCCGCTGGTTGACAAACACGGTTGCCTCGCCTAGCAGCGCCAGCAGAAAGTCCTCGCTGACGACCGCGTCCCTCGACTCATCGTACAGACCGCCTCGAATGTTGTCATCCGCGCTAGAAACGACAGCCACCAAGGCCGATGCAGCTTGCCGCTTGATCGTGGCAAGTTTGTTCGCTGGCAAACTGCCGGACTTTTGCTGGTCCCGCAACTCGTAGAATTTGCGCAGCGTGGCGTACCCGCTGAGCATGCGTCCGAGGAGCTGAGCGGCCTCCAAGTCCTGTTTGGCACGCTGCTCCAGGGTTTCGGTGCGATTTTCTAGTAGATTTCGGAGTTCCTTGTCGAGATCCTTGGTCGCGGGGTATGCAGTCGATTGAACCAGTGAATAAGACATGAGAAGGTTAAGTACTTCCCGTACTTTGTCGGTTCGGTGGGACAGCGCGTAGTACCACAGAGCTTCACCGTAACGATGTGACTGGGTAGACAACGTGTCCGCAAAAGTCTAGAGATGTCAGCAGTGTCTCGTCTCATCAGCCGAGGGGCTGTTTACCTCTGCCGTCTCCTCGGCATAGTTGATCATGCCAAGGTCATTCAAGATCCCCCACATCTTGTCCACCGTGCGCCCAGAGTGCTCGTCCAGTGTCTCCAGAATGTCTTTCAGTAGCTCCCCGACGATTTGCTCCGACTTCTCAGGCAAGTCCATCCGGCCAAGGACTTGAATAGCCATCTCCCATCCTTCTTGGCGCGGCGAGAGCTGCTCGATTCCTGCCAGGTCTCGTGCGTACTTCTCCAGCGTATCGTCCTTCATTCCCAGCATCTCCTCAGGACCTGGCTGTGAGATGTTGAGCAGCGCCAAGTCCTCCATATCCAGCGCATCAAAGGCCAACGGCCTCGTAGACTCGACGGGTGGTAGCCAGCCGCCCAGGGCGGCTACTTCGGCAACAGCGCACGCCAGGGGCAGCGACCATGTGCGCAGAATTCCAATGGCCGCGTTGACATTGTTCTCAAAGACTGATGCGACTGCCACCTCCACTGGGCTCATCGCGTTGGGAATCAGATCCGACTGCAGCACGGTATGGAACGAATCTGCCAGGCGCTGAAAGTACTCGTCGCTGTTGCCCAGCTTGGATGTGGTCTGCAAGCTCTGGGACTGTGTGAGGCGCAAACTCCTAGGGCGCTGATTTCCTTGATCCCACCAGCAGACCATGCCGACCGTAGCCTCGCACCAATCCTCGGCTGTCCCCAGGATTGCCTCAGCATCGCCAAGTAGAATGCTGTGGATGATCTGTAAATTCTCGTAAATGTCCCAGGGCAGCTTGCTCGTCGCCTTTCGTGCCATTGTGGATAAACTTTCTCGGTTGTAGCCTTCATGGTCTGCGAAAGTCTGGTCTTGTCCCTCAGCAAAGAGAGTCATCTTGTCGAGTGCGCCACGGGCCTGGATCCTGAAAAGAGTCCATCGGCTGTTGAAAATGTCCCAGTCGTTGCTTTCCGAGGGGCACTGCTCCAGGAGCTCGCAGGTCTTCTGTGTGAAAGCCTTTACGTGCTCTAGCGCTTGCCCCGTGTAGACGCGTTCCCTCCTGATGTTGCGAACCTGCTCCCAACCCGCGTTTCTCAACAATCCAAGGGCAGCTTGTACATCGCCGCGCAAGAGGCTGTTCTGTACTGTTTGCCAGTATACGCTATGGCTCGCTGGGCTGGGCTTGTGACGCATCACTACGTCCACTTGTTGTTGATGCGGGTCGTAGCTGCAGTCGTGTAGCCAGTGGAGTAGCACGCCAGAAAGTGGTTGGATCTTCTCTTCGTCCGAATCATCCATGAACCTCGTGTGGTGCAGTCGAAGCAGCAGTTGTGATACGTACTGTGCTTTCTCAAAAGGCTGAGCGCCAGATCCTGGCCCCACACCAGCCAGCTCCTCTTGAGGCTTCTCAAGCGTGTTGACATGGTCGCTCCAAAGCTTGACTAGGCGATAGCTGATGTTGGCAAGCGAGTTGTCCAGCTTCTCAGCGTCGTCATCAGCACCAATACCCTCGTTGTAGAGTCGACAGACAAGATCCTCGGTCTTCAGGATCAGCTCGTTGGGTTCGCTGAGCGGCGCAACCTCGGCGTGCGCGTAAAAGTCCTTGGCTATGGAGCCATACTCAAATGCACGGCCTGCGCCACTTCCACGGCGCATGGACGAACGGCGGAGGAGATCCTGTGCTTCTTTGCGCATCGTCTTGGTCGCTGCGGGCGTGTTGAGCATCATCAGATCCTCGTCGGCTTCGCCTATGGCAGCCTGTCCATATTGCCTGTCGTCATGTCGCAAGTTCATGAAAATGTCTTCCTCGCTGCCTTCCGCATCCTCCTCCATGTCGAATTCGGCAGTACGGGTGCCCTCGTCGTGGTCTGAGCCGCCTTCGTCCTCCTCTTCTTCTTCATGATCAAAACCCAAGTCCTGCTCAATAAGCTGGTCGAGTTCATCATCGACTGAATGTCCGAACGCGCCGCCCTTGCTCTGCCCAAGTGTTGACCTGAACAAGCCACGCGGCTCATCATCGTAGTCGACATCCTCCTCACCCTCTGCATCCTCCTCCACAGCTTCCTCGTTGTCGTCTTGTGGTTCGACGTCTCCCAAGCTGAATTGCCTACTCAGCCCGGATGGCTGCCTCTGCGGATTTCGTATCGATCGACCCAGCGGCGCGTTGGATCTATTATTCTGTGTACCCCAGAGTTTCCTTCCTGGAGCCGGGCCAGTCTGAGACATTGCGCTGTCGCCAAAATTGACCGGCTTCGAGCTCGTCACCCCGCGCATAATGGAACTACCAAGGTACGAATCTGAGGGCGCGCCCGCGGGCGTGAATGAGCCCGCCGAGGATGGAGGTGGTGGGCCAGCAGGAGTTGTGGATGGGTGACCAAAGACGGAGCCACCGCGGATCTTTGGGGTCTTTGCAGGCGTTGAAGGGCTGCTCGGTGGGCTCGAGTCGGGGACAATGAATCGGGACGCCATGATGGGATGTGACTAGTATGTGGTGGCGGTGGTGGTGGTGGTGCTGTTGTGTAGACGAGTCGCTGGCCGCCGGCTGCACTGCAGCCGCCTCTACGTCTGTCGCAATGAATGAATGGGATGCGCAAGTTCGCCAAGGTCAATCTCGTTCTTGAAATGCGTACGTTGCGATTGATTGATTGTGATGGATGCGGTGGTCGTGACGGCGTGCTAGCATTGATCGTCACCTCAAACAAAGATCGAGCTGAACGCGCTCTGGAAATTCTGAAGCTGGGCAGCCAGCCAGAGTCGCGACGCAGCAGCTAGCCTCACCCGAGGATCAGCCGGCTGCGATGAGAACATCCCGTCGCGTTTCTTTCTTCGCCTCGACAATCGGAGAATTGTAAACATTGTGTGAATTGCGTACATCAAGTTTGTACTGCTCAAAGATTCCTAGCCAGGCATTTCAATTTACTGACAACGCGATACATCTGACTATCCAAACAACGGGGGTGGCTACGCCCGTCAGCGCGCTCCAAGTTGCAATCAAATGGTCTTTAACGGCTATTGCAGGAGATAAGAAGTCTGCTCATCTGCAAGGCATAGTGCCTGTTTGTGGACTATGCTTGGAGGCTGTTGTGAAAGCTCAGTGGCGACGAGGAAGCGTTGTACAGTGTACGTACTTCCGCTCTCACATGAACGTTGCGCCTCGCCGGCATATTCCTCTCGTGGCACCGGCAACATCACTTCGCCCATAATTCGGCATCCGCAATGCTCTTTGAGTCACACGCCGTGAATAGAACCAGACCGTATCGTAACAACTTCAGCCAATTGACCAATGACTTACGGCCATCCGCGGACAATATTACCTTGGACGGACAACGGGCGCCGACACCGACGGTCACAACTGAGATTTGGAGACGATGCATGCTGTGATTGGCCCTCGCGGCTCTCATGACTTTTTCCGGAAAGAGTTCAAGTCACGAATTGTAGCTAGCCTGCGGCTGTGGGGACGGCGCAACGGTATTCCTTCCCTTGCCTGTTGATTGCACCTGACCATGGCGCCCCTGAGTCTTGGACATCGTCACGTCAGGCTTGCTGCCCCTCCCGCAGCGGGGTAGCTCCCGAAACTCCTCTCGGAGTCGTTCGGGGATCGGGGTCAGGTCAGTCTGGCGGAAACAGTGTCGTCACGCCAAAGTCATTACGATTGTTTCTCTCTGCAGCTATCAGCCGCTGATTCCAACTTCATGCTCTAACTTCTGCTTAAACTTCCTCACTCACACATTTACGCGAGCATCATGTCTGAAACTGCTGGAAAGGTCAGTCGCAAGCAATTTAATCGTGCACGTCACTGCTGCGCTGCGTTGCCGTCGATGCTGCCCCTCACGCGGTTGGAAACCCGATCATGAGCTGACTCCGAGAACCAGACAATCACTTGCAAGGCCGCCGTTGCCTGGGAGGCTGGCAAGGACCTCAGCATAGAGGACATTGAGGTCGCGCCCCCCAAGGCGCACGAGGTGCGAATCCAGGTTCACTACACTGGCGTCTGCCACACGGGTACGGTCCGCGTCCAAACATCGATCGAGGCTCTTGAATACTGAGACATGTCAGATGCCTACACACTTTCCGGCAAGGATCCCGAAGGTGCTTTCCCCATCGTGCTCGGTCACGAGGGTGCCGGTATCGTCGAGTCGGTCGGCGAGGGAGTCACAAACGTCAAGCCTGGCGACCATGTTGTTGCGCTCTAGTATGAACCCCATTGTAGCCAAGTGGATGAGAAGTCGGTTGGCTGACAGATGTGGAATAGCACCCCTGAGTGCATGGAGTGCAAGTTCTGCAAGTCTGGCAAGACCAATCTTTGCGGCAAGATTCGCGCCACCCAGGGCAAGGGAGTGATGCCTGATGGAACGTCGCGCTTCAAGTGCAAGGGCAAGGACCTGCTGCACTTTATGGGCACATCCACCTTCTCCCAGTACACCGTCGTCGCCGACATCTCCGTCGTCGCCGTCCAAGAGGATGCTCCCATGGACCGCACATGCCTGCTGGGCTGCGGCATCACCACCGGGTACGGTGCGGCCCGCGTGACGGCCAACGTCGAGGAGGGCTCCAACATTGCCATCTTCGGTGCCGGCTGCGTCGGTCTATCGGTCATCCAGGGTGCGCTGATCAACAAGGCCGGGCGCATCATTGTGGTGGACGTGAACCCGTCCAAGGAGGAGTGGTCCAAGAAGTTTGGCGCCACTGACTTTGTCAACCCCAACGACCTCAAGGGGCAGTCCATTCAAGAGAAGCTCATTGAGATGACTGACGGTGGCTGCGACTACACGTTCGACTGCACGGGCAACGTTAACGTCATGCGCGCAGCTCTTGAGGCGTGTCACAAAGGCTGGGGCCAGAGCATCATCATCGGCGTCGCGGCTGCCGGCCAGGAGATCTCGACCAGGCCGTTCCAGCTCGTCACGGGCCGTGTCTGGAAGGGCTGCGCCTTTGGCGGCATCAAGGGTCGCTCGCAGATGCGCGATCTGGTCTCAGACTACCAAAAGGGCGCGCTCAAGGTGGACGAGTTCATCACCCATCGCAAGACGCTCGGAGGCATGAACAATGCGTTCGAGACGATGAAGGACGGCGACTGCATCCGTGCCGTGGTGGATATGCGCACCCTGTAGAATGTGTACAGCCGTGGATGATTGATTTGAGGAGTTTGGGGGACAGTAAAAAGTTCCTTGCGCAGATTGAGGCTTAGGGATGCATCGAACTATATGCATAACATGAAGTACCTTGATGGCCTGCCACCCTTGCAATCCACCACTTGCGAATGCAGTGATGTAAGCGTGATGTATTTTCGACATGGCTGATCCAGGCTTCGAACGTACATGTGGATTTTATTCTTTTTTTTTTTTTAGTACTGCTGATTTACTGGTTTTTCTGTCGCCGGTGGACTCGGGGCGTGCTTAATACCGTATGGAGCTAAATGGGATTAAACGATCTTGTAGTAGAACTCTACATAACACCAGCCCCTTACCGAAAAATAAGACAGGACTCTACAAGTTATTGTATAAAAGTGCGCCTGGGCTCAGTCTACGCCATAACAAGATCTTCAATTCATCACTCTACCCAGAGCAATATCCAGTTCGACACAATGGTATAGGGTATGCCTGTTGCAGCCACAATGTCGAGACCGAGGCCACCAGCCAATGGGGAAGACGCCGACACCGGTTCACCACAAGATTTGAGCTCATACAGGGACCCTGTATGCCTCCAGGCTTGGCATGCTCGGGCCTTGATTGTCAATTTGTCAGGCCCCTTCATTATATGCAAAGGGCATCCTACACTTGCCTAAGGCGCTTTATTGACAAAGTACGCCCGGACGATGCGCACCTCCAGAGCGTCTAGAGACGCTAGCAAGCTCTTTGGCAGAGGATCCCCTTCACCGCCGCGACGTACGACGCGCTCTTCCCTAGCCCGATTCGCGTACGGAACGCCCTCGACCACGACGGACGACAATGCGACACCCGACGTTGAAGATGCGATTCCCACGCCCGCGCGTAAACGTCGTCGTCTGACAGCGACAAGCACAGTCAAGACATCACCAAGCTCCACTAGTGTCAAGGTGAATGTTGAAGACGTGAAGGAGGAACAAGAGACCAAATCGCCAGTCAAGCGCGCCAGGAAGCCTGCGAGGAAGACCACAGCCCCCAATGGCGAGACGACGGTGTCCTCGCCGTCCGACTGGGAGGAGATGTTCGAGGTAGTGCGTACGATGCGCGCGCCGGGCGGTGCAGCTGCCAATGCCGCCGTGGACACAATGGGCTGCGAACGTCTGGCGGACACCAATGCCTCGCCGCGCGACCAGAGGTTTCACACACTCATTGCGCTCATGCTGTCGAGCCAGACAAAGGACACGGTCAATGCTGTGGCGATGGCGCGACTCAAGACGGAGTTGCCGCCCTGGAAGGAGGGAGAGCCCTTTGGACTCAACTTGGAGAATGTACTGGCCGTGGAACCGGACGTGCTGAACAAGATGATATGGGCGGTGGGATTTCACAACAACAAGACAAAGTAAGACCCTGAGTGCTGGTGTCATCTACAACAATCTAACACGGCGACAGGTACATCAAGCAGACGGCCGAAATTCTACGCGACAGATTTGCTGGCGATATCCCCGACACGATCGAAGGCTTGGTCTCCCTGCCCGGCGTGGGACCGAAAATGGGCTATCTCTGTCTCTCCGCGGCGTGGGATCGCACCGAGGGCATTGGCGTCGATGTCCACGTCCACCGCATCACGAACCTGTGGGGATGGAACAAGACGAACAGCCCAGAGGCGACGCGCGCCAGCCTGGAGTCGTGGCTGCCTCAGAACAAGTGGCGCGACATCAATCACATGCTCGTGGGCCTAGGCCAAACAATCTGTCTCCCGCAAGGTCGTAAATGCGGTGAATGCGATCTCGGGCTTCGAGGTCTGTGCAAGGCTGCCGAGCGCAAGAAGGTGGCTGAGGGCCGGAGGGTTAAGGAAGAGCGATTGGAGCAGGAGGGAGACACCATCAAGGTGGGAACCCAACTGAAGGAGGAAATCGCCGTCAAAGAAGAGGTCGTTTGTGAGGATGTCAAGATCAAGCTGGATGGGGAGGCGCCGGATGCAACTTGACGATCCTGCGGGAGAGGATTGTCGCTATCGCGACTCAGCAACGTCCGCTCACGAGACCAACAACGACGGAGGCAGCGCGTCAATCAAGGGTCCGGAGAGAGCTCCACTATCATGCGCATGCAGTGCGTCGCTCCACAACACACCGCCGGGGGAGTCTGTCCATGGAGAGTAAAGTGAGAACAGTGCGCATTCACGAGACAAGCATGGTCGACCAAAGGGGCCACGTCGTGCATGCGGTATAGTCTGCTGGCATGTGTAATGCAGCCGTACCTAACGAACTGTCGAGACAGATGGCTGCACGCACCGCCAGTCGCAGATCCCGACGGTGCTCAGTGACGGTGACGGTGGTCGGTAGCTCCAGTCGGTCATCCGACGACGGCATCCATAGATTGGGGGGATGGCATGCTGGCAGCAAGCGCCATTGGCAGCCCATTGCCAACGTGGCTAGCAGAGCCAAGGCATCACTCTTTTGGACTGCAGTCGAGATTCAGCGCTCACCACGGCGACTGGAGGGTGGGCCCGCGACTCACGTCATGCGTAAAGTCCCAGTCGCTGCCACTTGTGGCGAGGCGCCTCGAACCCATGCATCCGCCCGTCGTCACCGCTTCTCCCGCCCACGCACAATCCCCAACACGGGACCGGCGCAACTCAACAAGCATTGTGTAACGATGAGTATTGTCATATAATTGTAATGTAGGAATAGATATGCTACCGACCGTGCGCCCCCAAAACGCCCGGCATCCGTGGATAAACCTATGATACAAAGTCCTGCTCACGCCGCCGATTACGCCGCTCCGGCTCCAAATGCCTTGTAATGATGATGATGATGAATGTCCATGGCCTGCCGAAATGGAAGACCGTCTGATTAACTCGCTTGTCGTACCGAAATTGAATGGGACCGTGGAACAGTCTAGAATAATCGACCTGGGCCGGACCACCTGCGACATGTAGCACAGCCCTGCTTGCATAGTGTGGTAGTGATGCAAGGTTGTTCTTCACACGCCACGGATGACCTGGGTGCGCTCGGACTCGAGTTGAGCGGCGTTTCGCTCGTGGGATTGCTTCTTGCACTGCGGGTTGTTAGTGTCATGATGCTTGTCGTGATGCGAGAGCAAAGGAAAGGGTACATACGTCCTCGAGGCCGCTGCACTTGTGGTCTTCCAAGAGGCGGTGCTTGCCACAGAAATGCCCGTTGCAGAAGCCGCAGTCGCCGACGATCCGCTGAGCAGGCTCACGGCACTCCTTTGCGTTGCACCTGAGACGCTTGCCGGCCATGGTGATGAAGCGGTCGAAGAAGGTGGCGGTAAATAGGTTTCGGTAGTAGGCAAGTGGGCGGGCTGATAAGCGAAGTGTGATGTGGTGGTGAGACCCGTCGAGGCGTCAGGAGGCGAGAGCAAGCAGTTCAAGTCGGAGTGTCGAGGAGGAAGAAAGGAGGATGAAGTTTAGGAGAGACTACTGAGGACGGTTGAGGAAGTCTGGATCAAGGCTGCAAGCAACATGCGTCAGCTACCGTAGCCTAGTGACCGGGGGGCGTGGGCGCCTTTATGAATGTGTGAAGCGAGCCGCCGGATGGGGATGACTGATGCATCGACGCTTGCTGATTCAGGCACCATACATCCACCCCCCGACCAGCTTGCGGCCGGCTCCAAGCCTCCAACGGTCATTTGTCGACAGCAGGCCGGCCGTCTCCAGATGGCCAACAACTGAACAAGCATGAACGTGATGATGGCGGCTGGGGCCTTTTGTGGGCCTAGCCGGCAACTTGCCTCCAGGAAGCGTGTGGAACCATGAAGAGACTGTGACGGACACTGATGATTCCAGCATGTGCATATGCATTTTTTGTCGATCTTGATTGGGAATCAGGTTTGCCGCGCACAGTTTCACATCCCAACCTCAATCTGCTTGCTGCTTGCTGCCCAGCGTCCGAGACGACATGGAGGCAGCCCTCCAGGCTCCATCCGAGGCGCTCCGAAAGCGGTGGCGCGGGTGGATCTGGGTCATGGACTCGCCGCGAATATGTACACGTAGATGAGGTTGGACCCTGAACTGCTGGCCCTTATCGTTCAACACGATGTGTTATCGTACGATCCGTCGACTGTCCACCTTATCATCTGGATTGATACCTTATCATTCGGTGTCATCTGCTGTCTGCAGCTGCACGGATAGCTGAGCGCCAGACGCAGGCGCACTGTTGGCGCAGCGCAGCGCTTGACTTGGCGACGAACTGCGAAGCGTTGAAGTGTTGAAGCGTTGAAGCGTTGAGGCACTCAGCCTAATCTCCAATGGGCACATCGCGACCCAGCTGCTCAGACACCTACTGCTACGTAGGTCTTTTCTTTTCCAGTAGGGTCGACCACACAGTTACTCGACAATACGTAGTACTTACGTATATGTGATTCCTCCTTCATGTCGCTTGTTTGTTTCGAGGCTGTAGTAGTGTTGCATGGCTGCATCTGGAAGAAGGCCTGGAGTCGATGACGTTGGGCCCAGTCGCCTCATCAACTGCGTCATGTTTTCACCTTGCTGACAATCTAACACGGACGCTCACTTCCCACAATGGCGCTGACCAACGTTCCTCCGGCATACGCAGCCATTGGAGTCATCCTGTTGTTCCTCATTACTACCCTGACATCCTCTCGTGGCCCTAGGATCACGCGCAATGGCAAAGCATTACCGTATTTACCCTTGCGAATTCCACTGGTTAACACGACGACAACTAAGACACCTGCAGAAAACCACCTAATACGCTACCCTTTGTCGGCAATGGCATCCTCTTCCTGAGGCCTCGCCAGATCTTGTTCTCCTGGTTTACAAAGTGTGTCCATCAACATGGGCACACCACCCTCCAAATCACCGTGCCATCCCTGCCGCCCGGCGTGATCATCTCCTCGCCAGCCTGTCTAGACTACGTTTTCAAGCACGAGGGGCTCTTTGAGAAAGGCAGCTTCTTCAAAGATAGGAGCTGGGACCTGTTTGGCAATGGCATCATCAACACCGACGGCGAGGCGTGGCGAGTCCAGCGGAAAGCAGGGCTGGGGTTCTTGAGCAAGAGCAACCTCAGGATCCTCACCGATGTCGCACTGCCCAGATTTCTGGAGGAGGCTTGCGAGATGCTGGATGCAGCGAAGGAGGTGGACCTCCAGGAGGTGATTCACGAGGTCACCACCCAGATCATGGGCCGGATGGCGTACGGACGGGAGATGCACGCGGGCGACGACTTTACGCAGGCGTTTGAGTACGCCTCGGGCAAGACGGCGGAGCGGTTCCAGAACCCGCTCTGGTGGTGCACCGAGATGGTCACGGGCCAGAAGCTGCGGCGGTCCATTCGGTTGATCAAGCAGTACGGGGAGGGCCTGGTGCGGAGCGCCATGACGGCGCGCGACAAGGGCGTGGCGGAGGAACAAGATGGCGTGGACGGCCTCTCGGGCAGCCTGATCAACTCCCTGCTCGATGCGATCCAGGATGAGACGCTCGTGGCAGACTCGGCTCTGAATTATCTGAGTGCGGGGCGGGACACGGTGGCGCAAGCCTTGTCGTGGACCTTTTACCTGCTCATGCGGCACCCATCCGTCACCGAGAAGCTTCGCCAAAGCCTAGAGGAGGAGACTGCGGAATCGCCGTACACCCTGGCCGTCTTCTACGAGGTGCTGCGGCTGTACCCGCCCATACCCTTTGAGATCAAGCAGGCGCAGCAGGAGACCACCCTGCCAGATGGAACCTATCTGCCCGCGACATCAGTGGTAGTGTGGTGCCCGTGGGCGATGAATCGGTCAAAGATCACCTGGGGTCCGGACGCGGCCGCGTTCCGACCGGAGAGATGGCTCAATGAGCATGGGCATCTGATCAACCGGAACGCAGCCGAGTTCCCCGTCTTCAACGGCGGTGCGCGTCTCTGTCTGGGAAAAAAGATGGCCGAAGTCATCGCCGTGCAGGTCATCACCTGCCTCGTGCCGCGATACGACTTTGCCCCCGCATATACGGGGGAAAGAGTGAGCCGCAGTAGTCTGACGCTGCCGATGGAAGGGGGCCTTCCTGTATTCCCGAAAAAGCGAAGAATAAGCAAAGAAGAAGGGCTCAAGGGGGTATATTGAATAAACTAGTAGATTAAAATACCTAATCGAAAGTGATCTTGGACCCAGAAAACGCCAGTTGCTTCTTCGCCTCCTTCGCCTTCTTGGCAGCCTCCCAACTGGGATGCAAGACTCCCGTATCATCTCGCGTCTTTGGTTTCGGTGGCGGCTTCACTGGACGATCGGTAGCCGTGCTCCTATCTCGCGGCGGCCCCTTGGGACCCTTCTTCCACGGCGTCCGCCGACGGCCGTCACCGTCGACGGCACCTCGTTGCAGATCCCAGCCCGCGTCGCGACCGCCCTTTTGTGCCTTCTGCTTGGCGAGGTGCTTCGCCTGGCCGCCGTACTTCTTCTCCGCAATGGCCTGGCGCTGCTTCTGCCCGAGCCGTTTCTTGGGCGGGGCAATGTCAATGTCCGACGCCGACTCGGAGCCGGACACGTAGCCGCCCATCAGGGAGGGCAGAAAGGCGGAGGATGTGGTAGGCTTTGGTGCCGGCGCAGCTTCCTTCTTGGCCTTTTTGGGTTTGGGTGGTGGAGGGGACGGAGATCTGGAGGCTTCTGGTGCCGTCACGTCGTCGACGTCGGATTCGGAGCCAGACGAGATGTCGTCGAGGTTGACTTTCTCGGTGCCCTTGAACCGGGCGATCGTTTCATCGTCCAATTCTGATTCGGAGTCTGATGAGCCACCCAGCAGGTGGTCGTACTTTGAAAGCTCATCCTCCTCCTCACCGAGGTCGAGGTCATCCTCGTCGCTGCTCGCGTCTCCCTCGGCGTCCTTCTTCTTCGACTTCGCATCGATCGACGGACCAGGCTCATCGACATCGCTCTGGAACCCCTCAAAGTCTGTCACCTCTTCGTCTCTTTCCTCATCTGGCATGTCAACCTCCTCCTTCTCTACCTTGACCGTCTGCTTCTGGCCCTTTTTCGGCGGCGGCGGGACCTCTAGCATAGCGCACACGATCCGTATCGCCTCATCCACGCTCGCCTTGACATCCTTCCTGTTGAAGAGGCCACTCGTTACGTTGTGCAGCGCCGTCTTCTCCTCCCCCTCGAGCTCCACCTTGGGCACGCCCCGTCGCAGCTCCTCCGGCAGATCCCCCCGCGCGCTGATGGCCTTGACCTTGAGGAGGGACGAGGCCAGGTGGGCCTTGGCGGTGGTGTGGAGGTCAATGGTCTTGAGGACGGCGATTTCGCGTTCGAGACGGGCCTTTTTCTCGGGCGTGACGTCGGCGTCCCGAAGGCGCTTGGAGAGGCGTTGGCGTTCGAAGCCCTTGGCGGTCTTGAGGGCACGGGCGATGAGGGTATCGTGTTTTTCGAGGACATCCGAGAGGGTAAGCTCCGAGGCGCGCTTGCGTTTGGGCATGATGGGTGTTTGGGAGGGACGGTTGGTTGGTCTGGAAGTTGCTGATGGTGATGCTGCGCGCTGGAAGAAATTTGGAGTCTGTAATTCTTGGGTGCGAATTGAGAGACCGCACTGTGACAACCGGGGCCTATGCACGGTGCACAAGACAGCCCTCGTGAGGTGTTAGTGGGGTGTATCCATCAGAGCGCGGGGCACGACCAAGAACATCATCATCAACTTCACTTCACATGTCTATCTTCTTTCCATGTACATATTTTGTAGGACATAGCATTAGCCGACTGAATTCTTTCATACACTCACAATGAGCTCCTCCAATGTCAGCAACGTCTCGGCATCTGCGCTTTTCAACGTCAATGGCCTTGTCGCCCTCGTCACAGGTGGAGGCTCAGGTTAGTGAACGTAGACTCATGTGTCTTTTACTCGTCCACCGGGAGAGCCCAGCACTGACAAATCCCAGGGATCGGGTACATGATTGCCAAAGGTCTCGCACATAACGGCGCCTCCAAGGTGTACATTGTCGGCCGTCGCCTGCCCCTGCTGGAGAAGGCCGCTGCGGACCTTGGCCCCAACGTGTCCCCGTTACAATGCGACGTGACCTCCAAGGAAGACCTCCAGCGCGCGGCCAAGTCCATCACAGATGATACCGGCTATCTCAACCTCCTCGTGTGTAACTCTGGCATCGGTGGTCCGCAGGTGTCGCCTCTCACGCCCGAGACCAAGCTCGAGGACTGGGCGGACCAGAACTTTGCGCTCGATTTCGACGACTATGTCAACACATTCAAGGTTAACGCGGCGGCTGTCTGGTACACCACCATGGCGTTTCTCAAGCTTTTGAATCTGGGCAACCAAAAGGGCAACGTGACGCAGAGCTCGCAGGTCATCGTGACGAGCTCCATTGCCGCGTACAACAAGAAGGCCCCGGGGGGTTGGGCGTACGGCCAAAGCAAGGCGGCAGCGACACTTGCCGTCAAACAGCTCTCCGTGGCTCTGCCACAATGGAACATTCGGTGAGCGCCTCCCGTGAATGTCGCATTCTACACGCTGATTACTGATACGGCGCCAGGGCCAACTGTATAGCGCCAGGACGTACGTCGTAACTTTCCCGGACCTAACAGTGAGCGCGATAGCTGACGCGAACAGTCTTCCCGAGCGAAATGTCGGAGCCTATCGTGAAGCGCTACGCCGGTTCTTCAGGGACACCCGGCGCTGTGCCGACGTCCATGATCCCCATTGGTCGCATGGGCAGCGAGGAGGATATGGCGGGCACGCTGCTATACTACGCCTCGCGCGCGGGCGCCTACACCAACGGCGATGTCATAGTGGTCGACGGTGGGCGTCTCAACACATTTCCCTGTGTAAATTAAGCGCGGCTGACCATGTCGCGTGCACGTCTGGTGGGACAAGATACAGGCACACAAGCACTGCTGCAGACGAGTACCTCTCTCGCTAGGACGAGGCAGTTCCATACGAAATGGCGATGACTTTGGGACTCTGTCGTACATCAAGCAAAAGGTCTGCTGTTGGGTTGTTGGGCCTCTGTCTTTGATTTGCAGTTGGCGGCAGTAAGCCTCAGATGGCCATAGTGTTCAAGCGCCATGCAGCCGCTGGCTGGTGAAGAGACGCCAACCCGGAGATTCTCGGCTGTCGACGGTAAATGTCGAGGGAAGTTGCCAGTAGTCCTGGGTCCAACCTGAGCCACCAGACTCCAGATGTTATGCTTGTCATCAGCGTCAGTCTATCTCGAGTTCCCCGAATCTACTCAACTACAAAAAATGAACACAACTAAAAATGTATCTCAATTACATTACTGCGATCACGGCTGATTGTCCTGGACAGATGCAGAGCCCGTCGTTCCGGCCGGACCCGTCTCCACCATAGCCGGCGTCCCGGAGCAGCTGCACTTGGACCGACCGGCCTACGTTTAATTAGTGAATGGTGAAGTGGGTGCCAGGGTGTCCTGGGGCTTGGCTCGCTCGGCGTCCTGGAATTCTTGCCGCTCGGGGTCATGATCGAATCTCCGAAACTTGCTGAAACAAATTAAAACAGCTCATCAATATTGAGCAGGTGCATGTCGGATACGTGGCCGAGGACTTGCTGATGGACGAATGGTGGCCTTGGTGGAGGCAGGCGGACGGACGGACAGACTGCCGCACCAGACATTCGTACGAAGGGAAAGGCACTAACCACAGCGGACTCGACACTGTAGCACGGGACAATTACCTGCCGTGCACACTGCCCTGCACTGACCGCATGCACCCCCATCGATCGAGCTTCTCTGTGCTGTTGAGTCCAGTCTGTCCCGTCTGTGCCGTCTGTCCAGTCTTGATGATGAAATGTAAGGTACTCCAATTGTTCCGTCGACTCGGCGCTTCCCACACGGGCGTTGAAGGAGTACAAAGTGACCTTGCCATTTCGTCTTCCCCAACACTAGCGCACGTCCATCATTGACCCCGGGATCCGCCGTCTTTCATGTGGCGGTGATCCCCAATGCGAGGACGATGGCCAGAAGTCAAAATGGCCCTCGTCGTCGCTCGACCGCAACCCCGCACGCTCGACAGGTCACAGTCACAGAGCATCCGGGACATACGCAAGGCACGGCATCGCTGAGCAACCCTCCTCTGTTCCGGGTGGTGTGCGAGGGCGCATCACGACTGGATGGCGGTCCAAGGCCAGAGCGAATGCTACCTGCCACCGCGGTACTCCCACGGCCTATGCTCGGAATGGCTGAGAGGAGGAGAGGAGGAGGAGAAGCGCGCGAAGCTCAGTGTTCCCCTCATGAATACCTAGATAAATGAGATGATGCGTGCCCTCCTCTTCGTGTTCCCTCTCTACTGCATCGTTCGAATCTTCCTGTCCTGCGTCCGTCCGGCCTCGTTCCTGGGTATCCGACAGGTATCCGATAGCCACTCACTTTTCCAAGCGACTCGCCTCTGCTTCCAACGTATTATTGCCAGCCCGGCGTCGAAAGTGGATACTCGCTGTACATCCGGGCGTTCCCTGCTCTTCACTGCAGCCTTGTCGGTCGGTTGTCGCCAGTCTGAGCGTGCCATCTCTGCCTCAGACCTTTCTCTAGCGCTGGAGTTCTGGTTGATTGCCACGGCAAGCCACGTATCGTACCCTGCAAAAAGCATTGTTTCGAGATTCAAAAAGAGCACGCGACTCAGCATTCTCTGTTGGGGAAAACCAAAGTTTTCTTTTTTTCCAAGGATATCCATCGGCATCGGTGAGTTTGACCATCTCGTACCTCGTCATTGGCCTCATGTCAGCCGGGTCCAGTGACAGTCCTTCTCTCATGCAGCAGATCAGATCCACTTCCTGTTCCGTCCGTCGGTCCAAGTTGACTGTCAGTTGCGTCTGCCCCATTCAAGACACGCCTGGGCGACGACGGGCATGCCAAGCGGTCCCTGCTCGCTCGCACGCCCGAGCCAGTCTACTCGGATCTCGTCGGCACTCACAGTCTCACCCCAATCATACAACCAATCCTACCGCCTCGCGCGGCTAGCTATTCCAGCCATTGTTAGTCGGTTACTGTACGTAGCCAGGCTACCAAGCTAGCTGCAACCCCGGGCTCGGCTCATTTGTCCGTCAATCATCATTGTTCACATGGACGTGCCCTGGCCAAGGGCGCGAGGAATTCTCGCGGCCAATATCTGGCCCACGGGACGGCAGTGGCTGCGGCGATATTTAACATGACCATGGCGTCCGGGTAGCTCTGGAACCCTTTGGCTGACCAAACACAAGATTCAGTATTCCAGTATAGGCTTTCATCCAAGACCAGACCAACGGTACACTAGTACCGGAGGCCTTTGCATACCCGACCGAAACCTACGAGACCCTCGCTTCTCAGCATTCACAGCATGACCACTGGGAGCTTGAAGCAGGCGGCTGAATCAGCTCGATCCAAAAGCTCCGAAGTCATGGGCGCCGCCAAACGCGAGCCGGCCTCCGTGGCCACGGACCTCCTCCACACGCCCTTTATGCGCGCCGCCCTGCCCTTCATCAACGGCGGCGCCGCCGGCATGGTCGCCACGACGGTCATCCAGCCGGTCGACATGATCAAGGTCCGCATCCAGCTGGCCGGCGAGGGCACCTCGGGCGGTCCCAAGCCTACGGCCCTCTCCGTCACCAGACAGATTGTCGGTAGCGGCAAGGTCTTGGACTTGTACACGGGCCTGTCTGCTGGTCTGCTCCGGCAAGCCGTGTACACGACGGCCAGACTGGGTTGCTTCGACACCTTTATGGGAACACTGACACAGCGCGCCAGGGACCAGGGGCGTCAGATTGGCTTTGCCGACCGCGCAGGCGCTGGTCTGGCGGCCGGTGGCCTAGCAGCCATGGTGGGCAATCCAGCCGACCTGGCGCTCATCCGCATGCAGAGCGACGGCCTCAAGCCCCTCGCCGAGCGAAAGAACTACAAGTCCGTCATCGACGCGCTCTCCTCCATCGCCAAGAACGAGGGCGTCGCCGCGCTCTGGTCCGGCGCCGCGCCCACCGTCGTCCGCGCCATGGCCCTCAACTTTGGCCAGCTGGCCTTTTTTAGCGAGGCCAAGGCCCAGCTCAAGGTCCACACGGACCTCTCGACCCGGACCCAGACCCTCAGCGCCAGCGCCATTGCCGGCTTCTTTGCCAGCTTCTTCAGCCTGCCGTTTGACTTTGTCAAGACGAGGCTGCAGAAGCAGCAAAAGGGACCCGACGGCAAGCTTCCCTACAAGGGCATGGCCGACTGCTTCCGCAAGGTGGCCAAGCAGGAGGGCGTGCTGCGATTCTACCGCGGGTTCGGAACGTATTACGTCCGCATCGCGCCGCATGCGTGAGTCTTTTCCCTCTCTTCACTGCTCTCGTCGACGCAGCTAACGAAGTCGTGTGTAGGATGGTGACGCTGATCGTGGCAGACTATCTCGGTTTCCTGACGAAATAATGGCGTGTTTACTGACGGGGAGGGAATTTATCGTGATGACCATGGCGTTCTGGAGTGCTTGCACGTTGGGATTGTCATTAGTATACCAGAATTGGACTCTCATGGCAGTGTCTCTGCCTTTCACCAAGTTCCTTGAATATGATTCTCTGTTCTTCGTCCTGACATGGCAATGGGTGAAGGGAGGGGAGAAGTGAAGACAACGTTTGTTTGAAGCAGCGACCGTGATCTTCATGATCAACACAGCGCATAGGAATTTTTTGGTGCATTTTGACAGGCAAGAAAAAGCAAAAGCAAAAAGCCATCCACAGGGCAAAAAGAATGTGCCCAAACCCAGACTCGAACTGGGGTTTCCACGGTTCCGAAATGATCCACAACGTGGTGCCCTAACCACCTAGACTATTTGAGCTTTGTGATCAAGAGATGGTAGGGATGGTCAATTCAAACACTATGTACTCTACACCGGGAACCTTTGAGCTGAATTTGGTGGTAGTCTCCATTCTCACGCCGGTCAGGTGACTTCGTGATTGGACTCGGACGTGTCCGTGTGGATCCCCAGCGGCAGCTTCAGATGACCGCGGATCGGCACCACGAAGCGACGTCATAGGTAACTTGCACGCGCATTTGATACTCCCATCCACGCCTCTTGGTTTGCGCGCCTGCAAGCTCAGTGGCAATGGCCCGACCAAAGCGCGGCGCAGGCAAGATGGGGGAGTCAGACATATATGGGGATATGCTGGCGGAGGCCGGAGTGTCCGCTCACGCAAGCACAAGTGAGCGCCCCTTGAAGCGCCGGCGCGCAGGACCCAAGACGGACGACGTTGATGGCGAGACCAAGGACGTCAACTCTTCTCCAGCTCAACTGGAGCATCAGAAAAACCCCGATGTGAAGCAGGACGATGCGCCAGCACCCATGGTGCAGACAATGGAACGGGAGTCGGATGACGATGACGATGAGGACGAGGACATGGAGTTTGAAGACGTGGAATTCGAGGCCTGGCTGCAAGGCGATGCGAAACCGTTGCCGGAGCCACAAGCTCCACAAGATCTGGAACTGAACCTCACTGCAGCCATGACGCCAGCGAAAAGGCAGATTGAACGTCGCAAACCGTTGACGAGGGAAGAAAAGGAGCGACGAGCGCATGTTCATCAGACGCATCTGCTTTGCCTCCTCTCTCACGTCGCGAGACGGAATCACTGGTGCAACGATCCCAAGGTGCAGCAGTCTTTGCAAGCGCATCTTCCGGAGAAGATCGTCACGTTGCTCAATCCCAGCCCGAACCTGTCGCAATTTGGTCGGACGGAAAGCCTGAAAAGAGGGCTGGGCGAGTTGGACAAGCTGTGGAAGGCCAAGTTTGAGATTACGGAACGAGGCATGCGGAGGGCCCTCTGGGCCGAGGACGTCAATCAATTACAGGATGTACGTATATCTGCAGACCCCGAACCTACGTTTACCTTTGCTGATGGTAGTCGGCAGTATGAACTGCCAGAAGACATGGAAGTCTGCCATGATCGAGAGGACTTTCGCGCGGCGGCGAGAACGCTGCAAGGCTCTAGAGACGTTGGCGCCCAACTCTACTGTGCGCTCCTCCGGAATGCTGGCGTCAGGGCGCGACTTGTCTGCTCGCTGCAGCCATTGGCCTGCATCTCAGGTGCACCAGCCTTGGCCAAGCCCAAAAAGGGCCTCGCGACGGCGAGCCTATCGAAGGAGGACAGGGTGCGAGCTTCGATGGCGAACCACGAGAAGATGTCAAAAGCTGCGCGACACGAGATCACCGCTGCGGCAGGGAGTCCCACGGCTCGACGAAGACTGGGCCATCCAGGGGCTGCGTCCTTCAATTTCGAGAGTCAAGTTGGGCGGTCGCAAGACAAGGCAAAAAGCTCCAAGATCAAGACTCCCAGGACCATACGCGAATCACCGTATCCCATCTACTGGGTGGAGATTCTGGATGTCGGGCATCAGAAGTGGCAGCCTGTGGATGCGGTGGTCACGCACACGTTTTGGAAACCAAAGGCCGTGGAACCGCCCATCACGGACAAGGAGAATGTGCTGTCGTACGTCGTTGCTTTTGAAGGCGACGACACGGCACGGGACGTCACGCGACGCTATGCCAAGGCCTACACAGCCAAGACACGGAGACTACGGGTGGAAACCAATGTGCAAGGCGGCGACCGCTGGTGGCGCAAAGCCATGAGACCGTTCCGCCGCAGGAGACCCGAGAACCTTGATCAGATTGAGGATCAGGAGCTGGCGGGCGCGGAGGCGCGTGAGCCCATGCCACGCAACGTGCAGGACTTTAAGAACCACCCTGTGTACGCCCTGGAGCGCCATCTGCGGAGACATGAAGTGCTCCTGCCGGACGCCACACCGTCGGGTACGGTGGCTGCAGGTACCAAAGGTCCGCTGGAGAAGGTTTACAGGAGGAAGGACGTGCGCGTGGGTAAAACGGCCGACAAGTGGTACCGCAGCCAGGGGCGTGAGGTGAGACCACTGGAAATCCCTGTCAAATGGCTACCCAAACGCGCCCGACCCCGGGGTCGCTTTGGCGGCTTGGACGACGACGAGAACGAGGACGAGGACGATGACGATGGAGGACAGAATGGCGTGCCGATATTCACGGTCGATCAGACGGAGCCCTACGTACCGCCAGTCGTGAGGAACGGAAAGGTCCCGAAGAACAAGTTTGGGAACATCGACGTCTACGTCCCGAGCATGGTCCCCAAGGGCGCCGTGCACTTGCGGATGGAAGAGGCCGCGCGAGCAGCGCATATCATTGGGGTGGACTACGCGCCCGCCCTCACCGGGTTCTCCTTCAAGGGCCGGACCGGTACGGCCGTGCTCACGGGCATTGTCGTGGCAGTGGAGTACGAGGAGGCTATCCTTGCTGTGGTTGAGGGTCTCCGGGACCTTGCAGACGAGGCAGAGGAGGAGCGCAAGCGCCTGGTTACGATGCGCTGGTGGCGCCGCTTCATGATGGGGCTGCGGATACGAGAGAGGGTGTGGGCGGGTGTGAGCGAGGAGGAAAGGCGGGAGGCGGAGAGGGATGCATTGATGAATGCGGAGATGGATGAAGACATGGCGGACGACGAGAGCGATTTGACGGAGGAGTTTGACATGGAAGTGGATGGCGATGGCGGTGGGGGGTTCTTGGTGGACGATGATGAGGGAGGAGGAGGGTTTATCCCGTAATGCAGCCTTGTTGACGATCTCAGGGGTAATTATGCGTATGTACTCTCGGCTCCACACGTGCATCAAAGAAAAGCGAGTCCAGGACATGACTACCTCGAATGCTTTATTTACGTCCCGTGTTCCTCCAGGAACGCACTCCCGTGAAGCCATGAAGACCCGAGGTAGGATTCGCTATGCACTGGTGTGCACTGCAAAGAGCACGGCTACTTCATCCGCATCATTCATCCGAGGACACTCGCTACGTACCTCATCACTTACAGTGGAACCGGGCCCACCGTGGCACGGAGACGGAGCAACTCCATTTTCTGTCTTGTTGTGAAGAGGGACCACGGGCGGAGCTCGCACACTCATTGACCCCGAACCCCGTACCGGTGAGGCAGGGATTGACGCGGCTAGGGGCAGAAGCTTATTTCCCTAGTGCTGTGCCGCGACTTCTAGCGGTCATGTATTCTGAACTACCTTGTGGATACGTACCGAGTACGTACTGTAGACTGGAAATCTGGCAATGGCTGCATCATCAAAGGCGAAGCAACAGTGGAGCCTAGACAAGTCAGCACCAACACTTCTACCTGATGATGCACTGCGTGAGCAGCAAGCAACTGGCTCTTGATGTCGATGATGTGACCATCTGTAAGCGCTACTGTTCATGGGTGCTTACGAGTAGTCCGTCGAGCAGCCACGCGGCGCGGAATGCCACGCTGTACTTGTACCGTACCTACGTGCACACGTGTGGCCGGCCTCACTCACTCACTGTCTCAGCCGCCCAATGCGCAGCAAGCGAGGAGGCCCCACTCGCTACGAGTGATCAATCTCACTATTATACGCGTATTCGCAGACTGGCGCTGCTCTTGGCTTGCACGAGTCGCAAATCCCGTCCCGCAGGCGGACGTGAATGGGCGGAGTGCAAAGTCTATTGCGTAACGCCCAGGACTCCCCAAGCCCGCCAAGCTGGAATGAGCCCCACATTGTCGTGGACATCACACAACACTGCCTCAAACCTCACGCGCTGAACTGAACCTCCTTCAATCTTTCACGTCTGTGTTCCTACCACGACCATTTAGCTATCTACACATTTAGCGGCCGTCTGTCGCCCACACTGGCCCTCGCCGTACCATGTTGTGTCCTTTCTTCACGCACTATCCAGCTCCTCACTATTTTCATGTCTGAGACGAAATAGAGGTCCAGCAAGTGCATTCAATACCGACTGTCCTTTCTCCCTCTATACGATCTGGCCTCGCGCGCCCGCGCGCAGACCCGTCGCCATGTCGATCGTCAAACAGATATGGACGCTCATGAAGAAGAACTGGCGATGTAACGTCCTGCGCCATCCCGTCGTCACCATCTTCATGGCCTTCTTCGTGCCCATTGTCCTGTCCGCCTTCTTCAGTTTCGCCCGGAACCTCTTCGTGCCCCCCGCGACCTACGGCATTGGCGAAGCCCGCCCCATACGAACACTCTCCGATGCCCTCTCGACGGGCGTGAGCAGCGGCCGCGACAAAATCGTGCTGGTGAACAATGGCTTGACGGGGGGTGACATTGACCGTGTGCTCGACAGGCTCGAGACACAGATTGCCGACGCGCACGATGGCGTTCAGACGGTTCGCCTCGAGGACGAGAATGCTATCGCGGGCGAGTGTCGCAGCACCCTTCGCGGCGTCACCACGTGCTTCGACGCGGTGGTCATGCGCGCCTCCCCCGACGAGGGAGAAGGTGGCTTCTGGAACTATACCATCCGCTCGGATGCTGCCTTCGCACAGAGCGCCCTTGAAATCGAGGCCGATTCTGGTGGCAACCCGCAGCAAATCTACCTGCTCCCCATGCAGCGCGCAGTTGACACGCTTATTGCCCAGCTCGACGACGCTGATGCTGAGCCGTTGGCGGACACTCGTGAGCTGCCCTTTACCAGTCTGACCTCGGAGGAGCGCGACGACGAGATCCGCCGGCTATATGCGCGATCTGTCATCAACTTTATGGGCGTTGTCTTCATCGCGGCTATCATCTGGGTCACGTACCATCTGACGGGCTTCGTCGCTACCGAGCGCGAGAGCGGCATGTCACAGCTCATCGACGCCATGATGCCCGTCCGCAAGCAATGGATGGCCCTGGCGGCACGCATCGTCGCGCATCACCTTTCCTTTGCGCTTGTGTACGCTCCGGCCTGGATCATTGTCGCGCCCATTGTCCGCTCGGGCGTCTTTGCCCACACCAATGTCGGCGTGGTCATCATCTTCGTCGTTCTGTCTGGCCTGGCCATGACGTCCATGTCCATCCTCTACGCATCCTTCTTCAAGCGCGCCCAGCTCAGTGGCATCACCGCCATCCTGGCCAGTCTGCTGCTCGGCATCCTCGCGCAGTCCATCACCCAGCCCAGCACGACCATCGTCGCGGTCTTGTCGGTGCTCTTCACTCCTTGCACTTTTGTGTACTTTGTGACGCTGATGGCTCGCTTCGAGAGAGAGCAGAGGGCCACCAGTCTCACTGCGATCCCCGACCAGACGCCCTGGGAACTTCCGGGCATCTTCTTCTGGATCATGCTCGTCATCCAGATCTTCGCGTATCCCACCATCGGCGCCATCATTGAACGCTCGCTTTACGGAACGACGACAAAGGGACGTCAACTCCAGTACCCAAACTCCGGTACCGACACTCTTGGTGATCACGCTGTTCGTCTGGAAGGGTTTTCCAAAGTCTACAAACCCGGTTTCTTCTCCAAGCTCTTTGCGTCCAAGTCCAAGCCTGCCCACCCCGTCGTGGCTGTCAACGACCTCACTTTCAATGCTGGAAGGGGCCAGATCGTTGCTCTTCTGGGTGCCAATGGTAGCGGGAAGAGCACCACGCTCGATGCCATTGCTGGCTTGAACAAGTTGACCGAAGGCACCATTACCATTGATGGTACAGGTGGCCTGGGCATTGCGCCACAGAAGAACGTGCTATGGGACGATCTCACCGTGGAAGAGCATATCCGCATCTTCAACCGTCTCAAGAGCCCTAACGCGGTAGCCAGTCGGGATGAAAACCTCAAACTTATTGAAGCCGTTGACCTGACAAAGAAGAAGAAGGCCTACTCCAAGACGCTCTCTGGCGGACAAAAACGCAAGCTGCAACTGGGCATGATGTTGACGGGCGGCAGCGCTGTCTGCTGTGTTGACGAAGTCAGCAGTGGCATTGACCCCCTGTCGCGGCGCAAGCTGTGGGACATCCTGTTGGCTGAGCGCGGTCGACGCACCATGATCTTGACCACCCATTTCCTCGACGAAGCAGATCTCTTGGCGGACCATATCGCTATCTTGTCCAAGGGAAGCTTGAAGGCCGAGGGATCATCCGTCGAACTCAAGGATCGGCTAGGCGGAGGGTACCGTGTCATGGTCCAGAGGTCGCCCGATTTGAAGAGTACACCTGATGTCGAAGGCGTCCGCAAGAAGGTAACCCTCGACCTCATCACCTACATCTCTCCTTCATCAGCCTTGTCCGCCAAGGTCATCAAGGAGCTCGAGGCCGCCAGCGTTCCTGATTACCGCTTCTCGGGCCCCACCATTGAAGACGTCTTCTTGCAGCTTGCTGAGGAGATCCGCGATGAGGAGGCCTTCCGGTCCACGGACCGTGGCATTGAGTACAACGAGAAGAACTCCAGCGACGATCTCACAACAGATTCGCCAACGGGTCTCAAGCTCACCGATGGCCAGCGTGTGGGCTACGTCAAGCAAACCATGATTCTCTTCATGAAGCGCTTTACCATCCTCAAGCGAAACTACTTGCCCTACATTATTGCCTTCCTGCTGCCCATTATCGCTGCCGGCTTGACATCTCTCTTCATCCAGAACCAGGACCCCCCTGGCTGCTCGCCGTCGGACCAAGCGTCTGATGAGGGCACACAGGATGCCTTTAGCCAAAGTCGGGAAGAAGACGAGGCAGGGCCGTCGTTTCTCATTGGCCCCACTGCCCAGCTCTCTCTAGATATGATTCAGCGCCTGCTATCTCCTCTGTTCAACAGCTCCGGCAACAGCGGTACCAGTAGTATGGGTAACAGCCCCTTGAGCAACGTGCAGACCGCCGATACATACGATGACTTTGTGAACTACATCGAGGCCAATCGCAAGACTACCAGCACTGGTCTGTGGCTGGGCGATGACAATACGGCTCCCACAATCGCTTGGGTGGCCAACCTCTACGTCACGAGCCCTATCCTCGCCCAGCAGTTCCTTGATATCATCTTGACCAACACCACCATCCAGACGACATGGTCCCCCTTCGACGTGCCGTTCAGCCCGCAGACAGGCGACTCGCTGAATCTCATCGTCTACATGGGCCTCGCTCTATCATGCTACCCTGCCTTCTTCGCCCTCTACCCCAGCAACGAGCGCCGTCGCTTCGTCCGCGGTCTCGAGTACTCAAACGGCGTCCGGCCTCTCCCTCTCTGGATCGCCTACCTCCTCTTTGACTTCATGTTCGCCCTGGTCAGCGCTGCCGCGGTCACCGCTATCTGGGCCGGCGTCTCCAATGTCTGGTATCATATCGAGTACGTCTTTGTCGTCTTCTTCCTCTATGGACTGGCGTCGATCCTCCTGGCGTACAACGTCTCCCTCTTCACAAAGACACAGCTCGGCACCTATGCCTGGTCGGCCTGCATCCAGCTCATCGGCTTCCTCGCCTATCTCGTCTCGTACATGTGCATCACAACCTATGTGCCCGTGCAGAACATTGACAGCAGCATCCTTATCGCCCATTTTGTCATCTCGGCCGTGGTGCCCATCGGCTCTGCCACGCGTGCACTCTTCTTGGCTGTCAATCTGTTTTCCACGGCGTGCGACGGGAACAGCGTTGCCTCGGATCCTGCTGGTATTTTGTACTATGGCTCGCCTATCCTCTACCTCATTGTGCAGTGCTTCCTTCTCTTTGGTCTTCTCTTGTGGCTCGACTCGGGATCTTCGGGGTCCTCCATCCGTCGTCTCTTCCACAAGGACACTGTCGACGCTTCATCAGAGGGCTCGGACGAGGAAGTG